AACTAACAAAATTAAAGTAGATTCATTAAAATGTTATCTACGTATATGATAAAAAATAGTTACTCCATTATATAAGCGGAAGACGATGCTGAAACAATCATAGGCGTGTTTACGGGAGGGGCTGAGTCAGTGGCGTACGCAGGATTTTTCAATGGTAGGGGGAGCTTGAAAATAAATATTTCCATTTGGCTTATAAATATAAAGTACATACATAATTTTATACTGCTGTAATAATAATATTTTACAGCTTACTTCAATGAACAAAGTACACATGAATATAAGATTTATAAAATCAAAAAATTTGATCAAATATGGCGATAATAGGTATATAACCAAAATTAACAGTGTACAGAATAAATACTATAAATAAATTTTCTTTGTTTTGGGTAGATAACCCTCCAGAAAAAGAAAAATCTAGTATATAATATAATAACATTACTATGTACCTAATCATTTTATTGCAAGGAATTTTATCATATACTCGTACTTTAACGCATACTGCAAAACTGAATTCTGATATAAATAAAATATATATATATTTATAATTATATTTTGATAACTTAAATATTATTCTTGTCATTAGTTTATCATTAACGACTCATCAAAAATATTTTGCAACGCAATGTTGAGTCACGACCCATTAATTATGAAACGCTGATCAAATCTATGATAATATGGATTTATAAGCTGAAAATATCTCATTACTGATTAGATATCGTTTAAAAAATGTGTTTAGATATTTTCCGAATGTTAAAATAATTTAAAATTTTGTCAGAACCAGATAGATGGATTAATAAGTACTTAATTTTTTTAACAATTTTTAATATTTTGTATGTATTTTTATTTTAGTTTTAAATGTATTTGTATTGTTTTGACACACCAATGGTTATATTTTTTGTTCACAATTAAAAAATATTTCTATCATTATGAGTGTTTTAACATAAAAATAAATATTTCTTCGTGTCTAAAAAAATATAAGTCTCATAATTTAAAAATTTGTTATGTCCCGTCGGAAATCAAAATTTGAACATGACTATAGACAATAATTTATAGAAATAATTTACTGAAAATAATATTGACTTTTTAAAACCCAGGAAAGAAAATATCGAATTACATATTTATTCTACTCGTGAAACTTCAAAGATTGATCGAATTAAAGAGTCGATTTTATTTATACACACAGTGAGTGATTAGTTTCGTGTCTTTTTGATGTTGAAAAACTTAAAAATTTTAAATTATTGAAAAATATCCAGACCTTCAACGTATCATCAACATTTTTAGCAATCTCAATTCATTACCAGATAAAATCTTAAAAGTAAGTGAACAATATATTCTTAAATTTTAGGTGAACCTGAAGAACTGTCTATTAACAATCATCGTTACTATGATTTTATTCAAAACGCTTTCAAAACAAAATGTAATTTAACTGTATTGCCTCCTACACAAGAAGCCTTAAAACAACATTGATTCCGAATGTACCATCATATACTGTCAGACATGATACGAATGTAAAATAAATGGAAATAATTGGGGTTGGAAAAAAATGAAGTAGGCAAGCGCACCCGCAGGATAAAATCCTACCCGGGGCAAGATTAAAATTCTAAGGGTCACAACGAGTGTCTAAAAATCGGTTTTGGTGAGTTGCGATCCGATCCCTAAATTAAGTACGAGTTGCAACCCGTGTTTATGAAACAAACGTACAAGTTGCGGTCTGCGTTTATAAAATAAACGAACGAGTTGCGGCCACATTTTATTTATCACTTCATATCAGCCTATCAGCGTTACCCAGAAGACATCATGAGGAGGTTGTCTGAGTCATCTCCCAAAAATTTGTTTTTTTATTTTTTATTATTATTTATGTAAAAATGGCAACATTTATGATAATTTATGGTTAAATTCATTTTTTTAGAATTATTGGTTGGGCATGAACTTAAAACTTAATGATTTAACGAAATCAAACTGCTCTATTTCTTTTTGTACTAGCTTTGTCATCTGTTGTCTTATAAATGCTTCTTTTTCACATACTTTCTTCGTTTTTATTCCATTGCTTCTACATTTGATAAACGTTTCTGATTGAATTTCTACTAAGACATAAAATTACGAATAAAATTATAGTTGTTAGGATGATTAGAATAGAACGATGAATTTAGGTGTGAATGAAAACTTTCACAGCCGTTAGTGGTACGGTTACAGCTAGCAGAAAACTGTGCCCAAATATTTGGGGGAAACATGACGTCCGGGGATTTATAGTTTTCGAAAACATAGTTGGTAAATTGTACAACCCGATCATCTTAAGCGGACAGTATTGCTAAAAAGTTATCCATGAAATAATCAATGACGTTGTCAGAATCCAAAAATGGCAAACCAAAAAAAAAAAATTTGAAATATTTTTTATCTATATTTGTGTTATACATTTTCGTGAGTCCTAAACTTTGAATTTTCCCTCACCAACTTTACCCTTAGTGAAATCGACATCCTGTTATTTTTGCATTAGGGAAGACTTCTGCTACAGTACTGTAGATAGCTTGTTTAAAATCTATAACAACTTTGGTAGGAGAGCACGTTAGACCAATGAACATGGAATGGCGAATTAATCCCGGGCCGCAATTAACTTAGTGATAAAATATGACCGCAATTCACCGGTCTCCATCACGTTAATGACATATCGGAATGCAACTCAACTATAGCTCTAAAAATATATGAGAACAAAATCAAATACCATAGAAATCAGTACTCGGGAGAATTTATAGTTATAAGCGATATGCAGTCATGTGTAAACATTGTATACAAATAAATACTTTCAAGATTATACATTTTAGAATGTCTAAAAATATAATAAATTTTACTGAACTTCATAAATGGATTTCAATAAAATTATGTTATAATTAATATGCGTGGTATTAAATTAACAATAATTTTGAAACAAAAATTCCCAATAGGGGCAATGACCTCTTTGCCCCCTCTGCAGGCGCACATGGAAGTAGGTACAGATTACAACCAATATTGACAAATAATGAAACAGCGTAATAACATATTTTGGAAAATATTTCATAAGCCTGTTTAAAAAAATTGTGGAGCGGCTTGTGGCTGTTGGAAACAAGGGCTAACATTTTCAATTATATATAAAACATATTATGATGTATTAGGCTTAAATAATGTACGACCCGATATTCAACCGGACGAACAATTGAGTGATATTGATTCTGACCACGAAGAGGAATCCACGAGGCGGATTAAAAAATAAATACAAATAGGTAGTTTTAAAAATTTCAAATATAATAATATATTAAATTGTGTTTCATTTTAATCAATAAAATAATAAGGTAAATCGTGTGTATTGATTATAATAAGGTAAAGATGAAAAATTGAGCGAATGAAATTGTGATCAATAATTTAAATGAACAAGTGTAAAAAAAAAAAAAAAATTAAAACACTTATAGTTATAAAATTTGTTTTGTTGTACTCAATATTTTAATCATGTTTTTAATTAAAAAAAAAAAAATAGATTTTATAATTTTAATTATTTCGATTAGATTAGATAGCAACGCACGACAGTTATGTAATTATTTCCGTCACCGTCACCGCCAGATAATATTATATTATTATGATAAATATAAGCAAGAACCAATTTACCACGAAGAAAAATCCACAAAATAATTTTATTATTAACACTGCATATAACACCTACAACTTAATATATATTATATTTCATAATGACTTTTGTCCCGTAAATTCATGAATAAAATACAGGTATTATTAAATAAAAAAAAATATAGTTTTCCATTTTCACAGTGCCCCTGTACAGATACTGCGGCGCACACTTTGAGAACCGCTGACTTAGGTATCTTTTTCAACAGACATCAATAAGAATGTTTCTAATTTAGATTTCCCCAAACAATGTCGGTTAGGTTTAAGACATATTTAATTTTAGAAACTATTTTTTCACAATTAACTTTTGAACAAGATTTAAAACAAATGTATATGCTAAATATATATATAACTGTATGATGACGAATGTACATAATATTTTAGTAATATTTCATACACGCAAAAACGACAAGAGAGTGGGGCAGGGAGAGTTAGAGCCCCGGGCTGAGAGCCGAATTTAACCATTGTGCCGCTTTAAGCACTAAACAAATTGCTGCCTTTTAATATAAATATTTTTCTAGTCTAATAAATTATATTAAAGTATACAATTATAGTTGTTTCCTTTATTACTTAAAATTTGAATGAAGTAAAATAAAAATATACAGCTGTTATAAAAATGCATTCATACGAAAATACTTAATTATAAAAATATGATATAAAATATAATTTATTCAAATTTTTGCAAATTCGAATATTTTTATTGTATTAAAGTATGTTCAAGTAGTATTTATATCTTGGTCAAACAAGTGCAAGTAAATAGGGCCTGGAACCAATCAGTCCTGAGTCTCTCAAAATTTTTTGTCGACCCTGCACACACACACAATATGCAATTTTTATAATCTCTACGATTATTCTATGATAACTTTTTCATCTTCTGAAAGTACTTGTATTAAATACAAAAATAAATAAGTAATAAATTTAATTAATTAATTAATTTTATCCAACTATAATTAACTTAATTGTTGGCTATTTATGTATGTAATCATTCAACTCTTAATACTTCTAGGTGTTATATTTGAATTATTTTTTTTTTAATTTTGAAATATGCAATTTTAAAATTTTGCATTACATTATTGTATAAAATTATTCGTTGACAGACTTCAGTCTTCAGTTAAATCTGAGCACAGTTAAAAACTATTTTAGAACCGCGGGCTTTGATTATATTTAAGGCGCGGGGCCCTGGGCAGTTGCCCCTATTTCCCTCCCCCCCCTGAACGAGACGTCGATCAAACGTTCACACCGTTGTTTTCAGTCTATTTTACCTTCGTCGAGGTGCAGCGAAACGTTGTTTATGATTACCCAACATTTCGTGATGTATTTTGACCGGTCGCCCGCGGACGAGATAGTACGTTATCATCGGAAACGCTTAACTGATAATAACTCCGTGTTCGATCAGTATTTCCAAACCGAAAACCGTTTGTAATCCGTAAATATTCTTCTAAGACCCGTTCGAGACCTACGTACTTATCGTATAATGTTCGCTGTCCATCTCGTCTCGACGGTTGTCCAATTGTAACCGATCCTACGCGTGCACGCTTTTACCTTGTTGGCCTTAGTTGCTTATTTCCTCGCATTTTGTAGATCGTGATAAAATTTCAAGTGACAATGCTAACAGGTATTCTACATGAGCACTGTTATCATGAAGACCTATAAACTGACCGTTCATCAAAAAGCTTTTAGCAGTAAGTAGAGTACTTAAAGTATCAATCACATCGAATCTAATCAGAAACATGTCTGTTTATGTTGTTTTTAATGTCTGTAACAATTCTTGTTAGACTCAGAACTGATCGTCAACAGTAAAGACTTTCCAGATGCAGTCCTGGGAGATATTGTCGAGGTTTACCATGCCGATTCGGAGCAAAACAAGTTGTTGCTTCAAATTATGGCATTTAAAGATGATACGCAAAGCAAAGGTATTACTGAAGACCTAATTTTATTATTATTTCTATAAAAATTCACATAAATACTCAATAGCTGACTAGAATCAAAGATAAATATTGTAACAATCTTGTATGGCATTATCTGTTTATAACTCATTTCGGTATCCAGTGGTCACATCAAGCACTATCTGTATTAATATAAATACTGTAATTATATGTATGATACTTATAAAAATATATTATTTAAAAAAATTATTCTCGTAGAAAATTTAATTGTATACATATTTGAATTACTGGATGTTTATTTATAATAAAACAATGATATGATTGAATATAAATATATAACTTTTACTTAACTGCTATATTTAAAAAACAAATTATTGAAATAAGCAATATGTGTGTTGATTGGAATTTTTAGTGCATTTAATAGTAATTTTTTTAAATAGTTATTTTTATTTTGTAAATCATTTAAAACATGTTATAAATAATGCCTTCATCACTTTTATTAAAAATTACAAAAATTTTTTTTACAAATTAATATAAGTGTTTTTGTAATATGAAATAGTATAAACTCATTAATTAAAACTTGATTTTATTCCATAATCTTATAATAATTTTACATTTTTAACCTTTTAATGTATTTATTATTTACCTACTAATTTTTGTTTTATTTTTCATAAAATAATAATTATAAATAAATAAAATAAATTAATTAATTAATAAATAAATAATTTACTATTCAATTTTATAGTATAATTTATATTTTTTTTTTCTTGAAATTAATTCTTTTTATAAAATATGAATTATTTTTATTATTTTATTAAAAATATTTCATTTGATGTAATTTAATTTAGTATATTAAACTTATTAACAAACTTATCAAATTTATATCATGATTAGGGATGAGATTTTAATGCTCTAAAAAATTCAAAATAAAAACTACATTAAATTAATCAGTATCACTTGAAACACATTTTCACTTACAGACTTATGCGTTGGGACAGTGGCGTATCCAGGAACTTTTTATGGTGGGGGGTTCAGCAAATTTATATACATTGAATCTTATCACTATCATTTTGACTACTATTTGTATTGATCTCCATATTTTTAAGTCTGGTTGACATTAGTTTTTTTGACTCAGGTAAAAAAAAAAATTAATATTTCTAATTTGCTTATTTGTTAGAGAATTTACCTATAATAATAAATAATGATAATAATAATAACAATTTAGGAACTAGGAACTAATATAGGAACATTAATATTAGATATTAGAATATTTTTTCTTCAATCACTTAGGTATTCTAAAAATCAAACTTTAAAAATATCTTACCATAATGGAATGTTGTTTACACGTCTTAGAATGATGTCAAATTAAAGTAAAACAATAATAATGGAATACAAATGTCAAATATAAACAAATAAAAAAATAGTAAATAAAGAATAAGAAACCAACGACCAACAATTAACTAATAACTATTAGTTTTACACAATAAGGTGTTTGTGTTAAATGATCAGCGAGCCTGTTGCAAATGCAATAGGTATACCCAAAATAAAATTTGAATACAGACATTGATATCGCTTTTATTTCAGTTATCAGGACCAGACGACTGATTTAGAATCAACTGTTGTAGAAAACCTAAATAATATGTTTCCAAACAAAAATTATCAAAGTAGTAGTAAAGTATCTTAATATGATCATAATATTATGACATATGTGTGTGTGTGTGTGTGTGTGTGCAGCTTGTGTATAATACGTTTATAGTGTTTATACAAACTATTAATATGATTTCCAAGTCAAAATTCTAATATATAAAAATTTTAAAGAAAAAACCGTGTTTCATGTAAAAGTTAATTTACCATCTCAGATTCATGGGGAGGGGTTTTGACCCCCAAAACCCCCTCATGGATAATTATAACGTTACTGTATTGGGACATTAGAAAAAGAAATTAATTTTCATTAAAATCTCAGCCCTAATCATGATAATATATCATTGATAATTTTTAATAATTTAAGTTTAACAAATATTTGAACCAAATATTGATAGTTAATTAATTTACTTAAAATTAAATAAAAACTAGAGAGTTATCGCACTTACAGTTATATTACTTTTAAGCTACTGTTAATTTTAACATTTTTTATATTTATGGTATTAATAATTATAATATAAGTATCAATAGGTTTGTAAGACTTGAAGATGTTGTAGTTTTAACATACTTGTTTAATTTAAATATATTTTTCAGATACAATAAGCATTGAACACAGTGTAGCTAGTTTATTTCAATTACGTGCATATAGTGATGTTACAGTAAATATTGTCAGTCCAGAATCTGTCATATTAGATTCTGTTGAATTAACATTTAGGGACCAATATCTTGGACGATCAGAAATGTGGCGTTTAAAAAATTCAATGATTGATACTTGTGTATATAACAACAAAAAAATGGAATTTTGTGGTGGATATACACGTGTACAAGTTCATGAAATGTGGACAAAAGGAAAAATTGTTTCGTGCGGAGTTATCAACCATAGTACTAAGGTATATATTGTAGTCTTAATATAACATTTTATTGTTTTTATTTTTCCATATTTCATCAAAAAACAATTTTTATGCTAATTTTTTAAACATCAAATAATTGTATGTTATTTTTATTATACATTTAGATTTTTAAACTATTAGCATTAATTACAATTCATATATGATTTATTATCATTTTAATTGAATGACTGATATTGACATTCATTTACTAAATTATTGTTTAGATTATTTTTAGATCTGCAACAAGTATGGTATATATATTTCTACAAATGACTTCGGAAATGTGGGAGTTCAACTTTTTAGGCGATACTTATTTTGAAAAAGCTGTGGATGGTTTTTTAGTTGATTTGTTTGATAAATGGAAGGTAATTTGTATTTTCATATTTAATTTTTTATACTTCAATAAATTCTAAGTATAATTTTTATAAAGCTTGATTAATTATTTATAAAATTAATAAATTAAAATTTAATTCTAATGATCAAATTTTATTTTTATATTAGTGTTTTGGTAGTAATCATGAAGTAACATTAGTTGTATTTTCACGGGTATTTTACAAAGCTAATAAATTAGAAGAATTTCCAGAATTAATGAGAGAATGTCTTCAAGTTGACTATAAAAATCGCTTTTATGAAGATTTTTACCGGTAAATTTATGATATATTTTATTAATGTAAATATAATGTAAAATTATGTATGTATAATTGTCTCTTCAGATTTTCACTTACTCACTCCATTAAAAACTCTCTTCTGTTTCTTAGTTCGTCCCCTCCTTGAGTATGGAATCATACTCTGGGACCCGTCCACCGCCCCTCTGCATGTAGTATGATTGAAAGGGTTCAAAGGAAATTCCTCCGTCACGCTGCTTACAAATTAAATATATCCTGTCCACCTCACGACTACACACCAATCCAACGCCTACTTTCCCTAGAGAGTCTCGCTGACTGTCGTCACTCAGCTAACATTGCATTTGTTTCTAATCTTCTATCCTCTAAAATTGACAATCACGAATCACTATCTCGTGTTTCGTTTAATATCCCCTGTCGCCGCACACGATCATCTGTTCCATTCCACATACCCTTATCCTCCTCAAACTACTATCTTAACTCACCGATCATCCGTCTTATACGTATTGCCAACATTGACCCTTCATTTTCCCTCTAAAATTGAGCCTTGTTTACTCAGAGCTTATACTATTATTTTTTATCATTGTATATTGTTTATTCTTGAATTATAGGGTTCGTCCCGTATTTTTAGATAAAATAAAATAAAATAAATGAATTACAAAAAAAAAAAAAATATATGTATATATATATATATATATATATATATAAACACAATAAGAATTTGCCTCTATTTATTAAATAACAATTTTTATATAATATATATGATATTATTAATTAATCAATTCATATCTTTAAAAATAATTATATCTATTTTAATTTAATTTTTAAGAAAAATGCAAATACTGTTTAAAGTAATCAAATTCTAAATAATTTTTTTTTTTTAGAGTAGTTATTCAAAATGAACGGTATGAAGATTGGGCTGCAGCATCGTTAATGTTACTTAGACGTCTGTATTTTACATACAAAAAAGATGTGTTAAATTACCACCATAAAGTTCTACATGAATCTGGCATTTCAACTGATTTAATTCCAGAAGCGTATTTATCCCAAGCATCTCAAGGCAATTTTCTTGAAGTTTTAAATATGGCATTAAATGGTAAGTATAAACTATTTATAATGTCCATCAATAATATTATAAATAAGTTGGCTATCTTGTCATATGCGCTCTACCTGCGATTACGGGACGCTTTTTTATGCGCTCTATGCAATTTTTATCCTTATTATCATGAATTACCATTAGGTAATCAAAATTTGCATTATCTATATATTTTAGTCGTTGGATGATAATCAATTTGAGGTATGAATAAAAGTGACACATTTAATGAATTTCTGAGGAACATGGTACAAGTACATATCATATACATATCGCCAGCATATCGAGTGGAATCGTGGAGATTTCTTGATGGATAGTCTCCTTTAGTTCTTCAATGGTTCTAGGTTGATGTTTGAAAACATCATCTTCATGAAGGCATCAGTATTTTCGTACTCTTCAATTTTCGGGCGTAAAAAGTTTTCCAACATCTCGCAGTATCGGTTGGAAGGCACAGTAACTGTAACACCACCTTCTTAAAAAAAATAACCGATGTTTTTCCGGCAATGTTTTCCGGTGTTCTCACAGACTTGGGATGTTCAACCCGTTTTTTAGGCATTGCAAATCCCGTTGCTTTTAAATTATATAACCAATTCAAAATCGTTTTCCGATCAGGGAAACTTTCGTTTGGATTCAAATCGAACCGAGTGCGAAATGCTCTCTGTGTCGCAGTCACATATTCGGCGTTTTTGAAAAATGCCTCGATAACGAAACTACGTTGTTTACCGGACCACAGCATGATGACGACTTTATTAATAATCTAATCTATCGAAATAAACCACTTAAATCTAATAAGTTTGATTACGAGTTAATGATTATTTGAAATATTTGAGTCCATTACGCCGCACTCTGTATTTTTAAATTTATTCAAATTTTTTTATATTTATAATTATTAATGAAACGAGATGACAACAGACAGTTGATAGTGCTTATATAATAATTTGCAAGTCCTATAATATATTATATATTTATAAAAAAAATTTGTTCGTCATTAAAACCAATTTTACACCATTCCGCATTGGTGAATATATTTTCTAAAATCTAAATATGGTTATAGAATGATAAAACACAGTAGAGTTGTATTGCAGTCGCGTTGCTGTCAGTAGAATGCGTTTGACAAAATAGCCAATAAGTTTTTAATTTTATCATGAATTAAAATATGATGAGAGTTATAACATTTGAATATACACTTTATTTATACATGTATATATATATATAAATCCAATGATACATTTTTTCTTTAATAGTTACTTAGTGGAAATTAATTTTTTATTTTTAGTTTTTGAAAAACACTATATAGAAAGAAGTTTAGATCGAACTGGTCAATTAGCAATTGTTATATCTCCTGGTATGGGTGAATTTTATGTTGATAGACAGTTAACTAATATCACAAAACAGAGAGTTATGGATAATGGTGTAGGAATTGATTTGATTTGTGTGGGTCAAGAGCCGTTATATGCTGTTCCATTATTTTTGGTAAGAACAATTTGTAATACTTTATCTGTACATATTCTATAGAAGTATATTGTAAATATATATACATTTTAAAATAACCTTATAAAAATATATTTACACATATTTTTATGAATACAAAATTTTTTTAATATAATTTGTATATATATAAATATTTTTTATAGTACAAATTGTATTAATTTTATTTTATTTTATGAAATAACTAATAAGTTTATAAACAATCTACATATGCCAGTTAAAGTATTTATTATACTTTAACTAGTTATTTCAATGTCCAGCTATGAATTACTATTTTAATTTTATTACTCTTAATGTATAAAATGCATTAAAATATAAAATTTAAATATATTAAAATAATTTTCATATATTTTGTAGTTATTGAATTATTCATATTTTATTAATTTTTAACTGAATTACCAGTTAAAAATTATTATTTTATAATTATATGAAATTATTTATTTATCATTATTGTGTTTGGAAAGCTATTATACTATTTTGCATTGTACAACATCTTTGTTTTTCCTACAAACACATAATTAGGTCTCAAATTTGTATTGAAATTACACTTGACCAGTTCTAAGTAATTGAGCAGTTCAAGCAGTTATTAATTTTATTTTTATATTTTAAATCCTATAAGGTTAGGCTAGATTTTTAAAAATTATATTTAAATAAATACTTGAAAAGTCTTTGAGATCATTATAAAATAAATCCATATATATATACACACACACATATATGTGGACAGAGCATTTAACCTTCTGTGTTCAATTTTTAAATCATAGAGTAAAATATATAATTACACTCCAAAGTTTATCTTAATTGTAGAATGAACATAAAATAACAAATAAAACTTAAACAAATTTGTCATCTGTTAATAAATTTAAAAATATTAAAAAAATAGTAACTAAGAATCTACAAATTTAACTATGTTGTAATAATAGTTTATTCACAATCGATAACAACACGAAAAACTAGAAAAATTGATAACTTAATTTATGTAATATAATTAAGAATAAAACCATCCTAATATAAATGCGCATTTTTAGTATAAAAATATGTTCAGCTCTTAACAACCATATTACTATATTATAATTTATTTTTTGTTATTAATCATCAATGTTTTTTATATAAGCGTATTTTAGAGTACATAATTGAATCGCTTATTTCAGAAACCCCTTAAGTATAGAAATTTTAACTTTCGAGAAATTAATAAAAACTTTGCATTTTCCTAAAAAAAATTTTTTTTCATTTCTGGAAATAGAGGAAGATTCTATACATAACATCGAACATACTCATATAATCATATGCTCACCAAAGTTAAAGGGAAGAGGTAAATTTAAACCCTTTCCCTTTGCAGTTATGGTGTTTCTGCAATAAAATACATTTACAACAATAATTTTCTAGTTTTAAGGTAATAATAAGTTTAATTTGAGAAAAAATTAACAAAGTAGACTTTTGACAAACTATTAAAAATTAAACTATTACAAATAGATGTTTAAGGTATCAAAAAAATATATTTTACGCAAATTAAAATGTTTTAATTTATTATTGTTCTTCATATTCTGATTCGTCCATTTCTTCCTCCTGAGCTAATGTTGGCCAGCTCAAAATAATGTCATAGAAATCTGAATAGTCTATAATATATTCCGAGAGCTTTTTCAAGTCTTCAATTTTTTTTTTTTATTTATTGGAACTTTCCCAGTAGGGTAGGCTTTGGTAGTTGGTAAGTTAGGAGATTGATTGGTTTTTCTAAAAGTAAACGTAGATGAAGAGAGACCATTAATGAAGGTCTTGACTTCTACTTTTTCAGGTAAGCGATGTCTGAAAATAAATTGTTTGTATGAAGATATTTTGAATGTAATTCGGTCGTTCTTATGAATTCCTCTTCTTGAAGTTTCGTCTGATTTTACTGTTTTCTTGTATGAAGATGGCCACCAGTTTTTAAAACTCAGAATTTCATTGGTTTGCACTTCGTGAACGGAAAAACGACTGCACCTGCTAGCCTCTATGATGAGTTGAGCGTATTGCTGTGGTGTATAGATACGATCAGTTTTTCTTAAAAGTCTTTTTATGGAACCAAAATCCCTATCACATGGCAAACACGAGTGGCCGCGAACTGGAAAAAAATGAGTTATGGCCTCAAACTTTCCTCGATCGCACAAATTCATAAGAAACCTCGCCACTGTATGGTTTTTGTTCTGTCCAGCTGCCCCATCACTAAATAGAATAATATTCTTTGTGTTGTCGGGGATACAGTTTTCAAAATAATGTAGAAGAAAAGAACAAACCTCATTCGGAGACTTACTAGCTTCTCCTTCATGGTACATATACATTTTTGCTTGATTTGTTTTTACGTCATGTATACAAAAAATATTTACCCATAACTGACGCATATAAAACATCTCTTGAACAGGTATGTTCGGTAAGGGTAAGTTTGACATATAGTTAAAACATAAAACGACCGTGTTATCATCTTTATTTTCTTTGGCAGTATTTAACTCGGTATAAAACTGTTTAGCTCTTCTTTTGTGTAATATAAGCTCACCAGCTGCACCCCGTTTAGCACTCTCACTTAAAGCTGGATCTCTTATTTTCGTGTTTAAACTTTCGCACTGGCTACACACATCTACTTGTGGTCGACCAAAGGTATAATCAAAATTTTCTTTGAAATATTTATAATAGAAGTTGTATTTCACTTTGACTGCTAAATCTGGGTAATTTTTCACAAACATTTGATGCATTTTTACGATGTTCAATCGTGCATCTAAATACCTTTTAAGTTTTCCTCCATAATGGGTATTTTTAACACTAAACCGATTGATGTGTTGATGAATTTTAACACAAATGTCACCGGGTATAGCGTTTCCACTAATATTTTTTTCCACGTTTGTCTTCTGGCATTTTATTATTTGAAAGAAGAAAAGTAAGTCTACGAACTCGATCTGCTGTGATACCATGTGTAGCGATAAAAACATTCTTACAAACCGTGAAAAACTCACCATTGACCCGAAGTTTATAAACATAAGAGTTATGTCTTTTAAAATTATTTTTCTGAACGTTCTGATCACCACACTCCAACTCCTCGTCGTCTATCTCATCTACGACCATATTGTTTGTATCATTACGATTTTCTGTAGTTGGTATTAACATTTTAGATTTTGTACGACGTTTAATTTTCTTTTTTTCTATCAACGATTGTAGATAAGTGTCCTGACTATTTTTATTTTCCATTGAGTAAAATTTTGTCCAAATATCACTCAACACTTCCTTTGTGATAAACTTAAAACATTTAGCAGGGTATTTGCATTTTATTTCATGAGAAGTTTTTTGACAAATTTTCTTACCTTTATAATTTATATATTTCTTTCCGTGGGTTCGGGATTCCTTAATGATGTTTCGTTTGTAAATTTGTGGACGGACAACACCTTTTATTCTTTTATTCGGAATATCTTCATTAGATTCAGATTCACTCGACATTTTAAAACACAGTAAATGAAAAAAAAATAACCGAAAATCAACAAACTAAACAGCTAAATTAATATATGTCATTCAAATATTGTGTGCGTATCGTCTAAATATTACTACAGTAATGCATAATAACAGGAAGGGCGCAATATTGTGTTGCCTCTATCGTAAACGAAAATAACTAAGTATTATAAGTGCACGTGCTTAAAAACCTGTTTACAACTACAAATGCATTAAATTTAAAAAATAAATTGTATTTGAAGAAAAACGATAATATGATTATTTTAGTGCAAAAATCCCCTATGCGATGTCACTTGTAGGGTTTCTGCTCTAAACATATTCCAAAGACGCGATTAGCCACATAAATAAGACGCGCATGAGGTTTCTGCACAAATCGATGCGTCTACTAATAGAATACAAGAAAATAAAAAAAAGTTGTTTTAAAATTTCTGTCATTTATGGGGTTTCTGTAATAAGCGATTCAATTTATGTTGGCTAAGTACTCTGGGAGAATAACTTTTTTATACATGAATGCTACATTTTATTTAATTAATTATAAGTATATGTTTATTTTTTTTTTTTTTTAGTTTCAAAATCGTGATGAATCTTTAGGAGATGATTGTAGCATTCCACACTGGATTAACTTAAGGTTTTTATTTTCATATTATACTTGTATTTTAATTTTAGCTATTGATATCATGTAATGCCTAACAGTTAAACATTTAAAATCAGTTTTTACAGAAGTAAACATATGCCACCCAAATCAACATTTGTTCCTCGTATTAAATTACCTAACCAATTTTCAAATATAACTTTAAACCGGCCAAAAATAGGCTTAAAAGTAGTTCCATCTAAATGTTTATCGGCTTCAATGCAAAAGAATTTCACCAACAGTGCACAAGATTATATGAATTATGATGCAGATGTTTTAGATAAAAATAATAGAAATGTTGTGCCAAAATTTGGGTAAGTTCCATAATAATTTCAAAAATTGTGTTTTTTAACTTTCAGTAATTAAAAGAATAGAATATTATTTAAATTATTATTTGATTGTTAAATAATTAGTTTAAATTTTTTTTTTTATTGTATGTACTATAGCTGTTGTTATATAATATTATTATAATTTTATTAGTATACTATTATTTTAATTATTATTATTTTTTTTTTTTTTTATAGTAGTACCAGTAATATTTTACCACTTAATAAATTAAATGGATTAAGTGCTTCAAGAAAGAAAAAATTTAGTACATGCAGCTTTGATATAAATTCAGATAAAGCAATTGCTTTAAGTCGTAGTCTTTCTCCTCTTAAACAACGGAGTATTACTCCTCCACCTAAAAATCAAAATGATTTAATGAATTTACCACCATTAAATAGTAAGTAAAATGGAAAATATTATTAAAAACAATCATTCAATTTCCTAATTTTCAAAAAAGGAAAAAATGTATTAATGAGCCATGATATTTATTTTCCGTAAACACTTTCAAAAAGTAAATTTGAAAAAAAAAAAATCTTATTTAATGTCTTTTAAAGTCAAAATTTCACCTAGAAAGAAATATAAAATTGTATTTTTCAAATTTTTTTTGTTACTAAAAAACCTAGATTATTAAATTTTGTTCAAAATATTTCATATATTTGTATAATAAAATAGTGTTCTATTATATAATTTCATAAATAATATAAAGATTATTGAACCTAGTATTAATGAATTTTTGTTCTGTAAATGTTGTTAAATTTAAAGTATACACGTAGGCGCCAAGATAAAAAATCAAAAGATGCTCAAGAATACCCTTCTTTTCCCTATAAAATTAATATGTGAAGGCTTTAACTTATTTTATTCATACTTAATACTATTTATACTTAATGATATATAATACATAATTATGTACCTGGACTGATCTACATTCAAGTAATCAGAAAATTTTTAGATGTAGGTAGCTTATTAATATTGATTATTTTTATAACTTATATAAAAACTGTAATGTAATAACTTAAGTATTTAATAAACTGTTGTTATTAAATGTATATTAAGACAATTTAAAATGCATTATAATACATAATAATAATAATAATACATCAATTTATAAAAAAAATAGATTTTGACAAATTGAATAAATGTATTAAATGAATAATGTATCTTTTGAATATCCACATTATCATTCCAATGAATATGCAGTATAGCTATATCATTTAAACAATTTTGAGACATTTTTGGCCTCAAAAAGGTTTTTAAATGTCACAGTGCTGAAAATGGTCTTTCAGCAGTACAAGGAGAAACTGAAACAAATTTATTTATTTCAATTTGTTTTGATTTAGCAATATCAACTAACATATCCCCAAACAGTTTTAATTTTTCATAATAAAAGACTTTTCCATAACACTTTTTATCTTCACCAATTATACAGAAACCTGTTATTCAATGATGTTATTATTATGTTCAACAACTAAAAAAATAAACTTTAAATTTATCTTTGTCCAATGAAAATAAATGTGAATTATTGTCTTGTACACATTTCTTTGGAATTATTTATATTCTCAAATATGTTACTTTAATGTTTAGCCCATTAAATTTATTTTATGTCTTCCCATATACTTGTATCATCAAAATTCTCATATATTTGTTGCTGAATTGATGCAATTAAATTTTTTATTTTAAGGTGTCTTTTCCTGGAAATTTAAAGATACTTTCTGATGTTCTGAATTAAGAATTTCAACTCTTTCAAAAGTAATGATCATTATTCTAACATAAACCAAAAAAACAAACTTAAGTAGTTATTTAAGAAAACTGCTTGCCATAACTTCATTTTCAGATTTTTATTTAGAACAATTTTACATAAAATCTATTAAAACTACATAATTATACAACATTATTAATATAGCGATGGCATAATTATTGCATTACAGTAACTTTATCATATTATTATTAAATAATATATATATATATATATTTTTTTTTTTGAATGAGTAGAAAAAAAATTAAATATTAACAAATTTAATCAGAAAAAAAATTAAACGAATACCTGAGTACATGGTCACCTTTCAGGTTAGGTTAACATAGAGCCTATGAGTTGAAGTCATTATTTTCACAAATATTGATGATAATTTTTTGTATTTCTTAAATTATGTTTTGGTTAACAAGTCTTCAAATAAAACCAATGGCTAGTTATAGGAATTTGGTATTAATTTTAATTTAAATATTTTTACTTTTTAAATAACATAAAAAAAGGTAAAATATGAAATATATTTTATTATTCATTGCTTAACATTGTTGTTAATGTGATTAAGACCGCCACTATATCATTTTTAATATTGGAAAGGTTAATGTTTTGCCTGCTTTTTTATACTGTGATATAAATTCTAGGAAACAGAAGTCATAGTATTGATGAAACTTTTAAGAAGTATGAGAAAATGGGGGAAAACGAACTTAATAATCAACAAGCTGATGATGCCACTTGTGAAAAACCTGATCGTGTGAGGCGTTTAATTAATCCATTTGACAAATCACAGTTCTTTGTTAAGCTAACATCAAATCGAAGAAGATGGAGTCATATATTCCCAGAAAGTATACAATTAAATAATTCAATTAAAAATTAATGAAGTCATTAATATAATTACTTATATTTAGAAAATCCAAAAACGCATAAGTCTTATGAAGATTTTGAACTTGGTATTACTAATCCAGACATGACTTTATCTGATGTAGAACATTTTCAATCTTTAAAAAAAAAAGTGTATGAATTTTTTAATTTTTAATATTAATATTGATATTTATTGATAGTTAATTATTTATTTAATTTTGTACAATAGCTAATATAAACATTGCAAAATTTTTAAAAAATCGAATAAAGGAGAAACAAAATATAAAAAGTTCATTCCATTCAGCAAGTGAATGTGAATGGATAAACAGTTGTACTCCAGGTTAGTTATGTATAAATGTTTGTAAAAATTGTATTTGATTTAGAATTATAAGAAACTATAATAACTTTTCTCATACAATTTGGTGATAAGTTTCTTTTTGTAAATATTTATTTTTTTGTTCTCATTGTGTAATTTTTAATTTCTCAGGTGCTTATCTGGTATATCTGACCCGTGATCTTGAGGCTTTTGGTAAATTATAACTAATTAGGTATTTAATTTATATATTATAGTTGGAATTTTTTTGCTTTGTTTTATAATTTTTTTACAGAGAAATGAGAGGTACTCAAAAAAGTAACAAAATATTAGATACATTCATTAATATAATATATTTAAATATTTTTAATGCATTAGCATTAGCTTTGTTCTAACAATAGTGTTTTAAATGTATCAATGCTTCACTATTAATAATAGTTCATAATAATCTAATTGTTTTTTAATTATAATAATGTTATTAATTTATTTTATAATTAATTAAGCAATTTTTTTATAAGTTATTATTGAAAAGCATTTATTGAACAGGATTAATAAAATATTAAATATTTGATTACTGAATAACCTATATCAGTATTATGTATATAGTTATTTTTTGAATAATATATTTATTATATTATATATAATATTTTATACCAAAACGTTATTAATTTAGATAAATTAATATGTATATTTTTCACTTTTATCCAAGTCTATTTTTAAATAAAATAGTGTTAATAGGATGAATGAGATTTTTAGAAGCATTTTTTATATGTATTTATTTTGTCCTCGAGTAGAGTGAAAAGTAATATAATGTTTTTTTCCATTTCATAGTATTACTATACATATAGTATTTTAGTATAATCAACTTACTAGAACTGATCAGTGTCACTTCTATTTTGTATTTAAAAATATTTTAAAAACTCGAAACCTTTCTCTTTGTAGTTTATCTTTTACATCATATTTCCTAATTTTTTTAAGGAAATTACAATATGTATATTTAAAGTATCTATTCAATTTCATAGCAATATTTTTATCGTTATTATTTAATATTATACTGATCTCATAAAAGAGAAATATTATATTATATATTATTATATTTGATAATTTTACTGTTACTTACCTTATTTATGTTATCTATAAAAGATTTCTTAACAATGTTACAAATTTATGAAAAAAACTTATGAGATTTTAAATTACATATAACTTGTTTGTATTTTTGTTTTCTAGCTAATTTAAGAATGATTAATTTATTTTATCGCAGTTAATAACGTTTTTGTATATGAATATTTTTCATACAATTATTATTATTAATATCGGGACACAAATTTAATGAGTTATTTAATTGTTTTTTTTATGCAGCACATAAAAGTGAGTACTATTGTAAAGTCAATAATTTAAAATACATTTGGTTTTTATGTATCTAGTATCTTTTTATTATTTAGTATTATTTTAGTTATGCTAAGTTATTTTTAAAAAAAAAATCATAAATATAGCCTATCCAAGGTTAAAATATTGTTAAGGTGTGATACTTTAAGTTTACCCTGGTTTTAACACTCTTTGGATCTATAAAGAAAATAATTATTTATCTACGACTTTTAAGCAGAAAAACTATTTTGTGCTGGACAAACTATTTAGTATAAATTCATAATAGAAGCTCCTTTTTTTTTTTTTTAACTAGATTGCACACACAGGCATGTTATCTTCGTCTTATAAACGTATAACATAGGTAATCTGCATTCAATAGAGCCAATATTTTATTTTAGCTTTAATATGAGAGTATGAACCTCTTATTAAACTTAAATTAATGAATATTAGCTGAGCAATGACAGGTTTTTTGCAATTTTTTAAATTTTAAGCGAGTTTTAAATTTTTTAAAATTATAACATTTTATATAATCACAACTCACTTAAAAATTATAGTATCATTAGAAACCTGTATCATTACATAGTTAATGTTCTTTTCTTTAAGTTTGATAATTAATGCAATCTAATATTAAAGCTAACAACATAAAATTTATTCTACTTGAATGCAAATTTGCTATGTTGTAAGTTTGTAAGACGAAAATAACACAGTGAATGTAATAAGATATGGATCAGAAAAAATATATGGAACCCCTACTATGAATTTACAATGGATGATTTTGTCGTTTGTACAATATATTTCCCCCAAATTACTGATGTATCACATCTTATTTAGGTTTTCATTATTATTTGAAGTAGTTTAGAAAATTGTATAAAATTAAATTAAAGTATCAATAACAATTTTGATCTCACTAAGCTTAAAGAAAATAATAATTTTATTTGTAATTATTAAATAAAGCATATAAGAAATGTCTAAGAGATTTTATACCTTTATTTATTAAAAAATTTTGATTATTCAAGATTTTACTAACAATAGTAATGTATATTTAATGTTTAAGTACAAATCAATTATTAAAGACAAAAATTACTCATAATTATATGCTTTCTTTTTATACATTTATTTTTTATTCTAAAAATGAATGGTAGCTATTGAAAATAACTTATTATCTTTTAAGTTTATGTTGTTACCACAAATATATATACTAACATAGTATACATATCTATGATTGTTACTAATTTTTTTACTGTACAATATGTTTGTATGCTTTGTCATTTAACACTTCAAACCAGGGTGTCAAAACGGGTTACAACTTAGTTTTGAAATCTGGGATACCCAGGAAAAATTTGAAACCTGGTTGGATTAGCTACCCTATTAGCTTACCTAACCAAACCTGAAAACCGAAACCCAACAAATAAGTGAACCCAATTTTTACTCAAAACCCAAACCCGGAAAAAATTCAACATAAAAACTGAGATTCAAATTAATATTGAAATGTAATTTAAATGTTAAACCTTGAACTATCCAGATACAAATAAATAATAAAATGTTTTTCTTTACTTTATTTTTGGGAAACGGAAATTGGAAATTACATTTTTTTTTGTTTAATTTCTATCCATTAATGCTGACATGCTGGTAGGCAGTAATACTTAAAAAAAAAGCTCAATTAACCAATTAATTATTAAATAATTTACACGAAAATCTTTCTCCAATAATTCATTATTATGTTAGTAAAATGTAATATACATTTAAAAAATTTTATATTATACAGTTTTAACTTAAACCTTCTTAGGTACATTATATTTCATAGTGCACCTTATTATTATTTAAATTTTGTTTGTATGTATTTTTCAATGGCTAAAGTTTATATAATAATTAGGCTACTGCATACATAGTTCTACTAACCAAAATATTTAAAATAATGGACCTAGTCATGTGCATGTTGCATGTAAATAACTTTAGTTGTTTTTGTTATTTTTCAATAATTAATTATATGAAATGTAATTTTAGGCAACTTTCTAGTCTTAACAGTACAGTTAGGTTTATCATATGTTAACCATAAATCAATATAAATTAATTTTTTTACATAAATAAAACTTTCTGGTGATATTTTATAGTTATTATTAACACAATTATCACTTAATACTGATCTAATATTTTATCATTTAATGTCACTCTTATAAAGAATATATTGTTTATATTTATTATTTTTTTTTTTTTGTTTATACTATATTTAGCTAGAATTTTAAAAACAAAGTTGAAAATTAATAATTATGTAATAAATAGTATAACAAAATTTCAATCATATAAGTATCTTTGACTAAAAAGTTAAAATTTAGAATTATGTAATATGTAATACTTATATAATTTAATTCATTTAATTAAAAACAAATTTTGATACTTATATTTTTTGTAAAATAAATAGTTTCTAAGATTTCAGAGAAAACTTCTCGATAACATTATAACATATATAACCTACCTAATAACAATATGATGTACCTTATCATTAGAATGAGAAAAAATAAAACTCAAACTTAATCCATTAATTGATACTAGTAAAACAAAACCCGAGTTTAACCCGTTAACTGGAAGCCATGAAAAGTCAACCTACTTTGACTCCCTGCTTTAAACTTTGCATGTTTATTTGCTATAAATAATAGTTTAACTAACATTAAATGTAAATATTTTATATGTAATAATAACAAATATTGTGGAAAAAAATTTACTACTATTATAAAGTTACACTAATAAATTAGAAAATAGCATTATTATTACATTAAAATATAATTTCAATACCTTAAGAAAATAAATTATATTACTTTTGTGAAAATATACTAATAATCTTTTATTAGGCGTTGATTGGAAATCAATGGTGTTTCCTGCATGTTTGCCAATAACTACTGACTATTTTCCTGATGATGTTAATCTTCAGTCATTCTATGTATTTTCCAATTATAATTTGTTACCTGAAGATGTAAATGTTGAAGTTGCCTTACAAAGGGCTGTTTACCGTCAACCATTATCTACATTAGAAGTTTTTTACCAAATGATATGCCAACGTCTATCACACGTAAATATTTATAATGTATTAATATTAAACATAAAAATATGGTATCATGTTAAACTAAAACCTTTCTTGTTTCACTTAGAACCTAAAAATGGTTAGATTTATATCAGTGATATTATATATACAAAAATAATTTTTCTGTAATTATTATCAGATGCTCCATCTGTATTCTTTATTATTTATAATAATATCTATAATTTTCTTGATTTAATGATTTATACATTTTTTTATCTCTTTTACATCTTCATATATATATATATATATATTACTTCCATATTTACAGTCTGTTATGTAGAACATTCCATGAAAACAACATTACTTATTTGTTAAGACTTATGCTTTTGCCCAAAATTATTTTCCCATTTCTTTATTTGTAATTATTTTAATTTTACTTCATTATTTAATTGAACCTTTTTTAACATATAATTTAAGCAGGTAATTAAATAATAATCATGTCAACTATTTTAAAATATTAATTTTATCCTACAGGGTTTTCAGTTAGTGGTAAGTAAAGCTGAACATGTTGATCAAAAAAAGAAGATTAATAGTATTGTAATGAGATCAACACAATCAACTTCTGAACCTTTTATTGAAATGCGATTGAGCATTGGAAGAATATTTCATACAGTTACTTTAGTTGGTTCAGAAATTCGAGTAACGCGATATAGACCTAGGTAAATAAAATTATCAAATCTAATTGAAAAGTTCTAATACTTCTAGAATACTGTAGTTTTATTTATTATAATCAAATTTTCCAACACTAATGAATCACTTACATAATCTAAATTATGAAAAATATTTTAATATGTTATGCTCACAACCAACCTTAACAGACTCATAAGCTAGTGAGATTTAATGTCTAGTATCTTCCACTGTCCCATCAACCATAATTAACAATATAAATATTTAATTTCATTAAGTATACACGAATATCTGTAAAAACACCAAAATATGCATATTTAAAAATATTGATTTATTTGGTTATTTAATATCTAGAAATGTTATTTATTTTATTTATATATAGTGGCATAAATAATATTATAAATCTTTATAGTTAAATTTGTTAAAAATATATTTGTGTTATATATACATTTAATTTATATTTTTCTATTGCAAACATTTTTTTTATAGTTTAAATTGTTTTATATTTAGATTTCCATATGCCACATTTGAAATACAATATCGATATCGCTTTCAAGCTCCAGATCATTCAACATATGGTATTTCATGGATATCATTTATTACTGAAAAGCTAGAAAATTATAATTGGAACTACCTGGACCATTATTTATGTGCACGCGGAGACATGGACTATGCTGTACATGAGGTTAAATATAAATATTAATTATCTATTATTATTATTAATTATCTTTTCTCCTAAAAATGTATTGACTTCATGGAAAATAATTGAAGTATACAATAGAAAACATTCAGAATAAATTAATGATTTTATATTTTATCCTATTGAATAAAGATTTGATTATTTAGCAAAAATTAAAATATTGGAGGTTTCGTATGTATTTATTACCTTGGCGTCAAGAAGCTACAAAACAAATTATGGAGAATTTAAATGAAATCTTTTACTGTGATATTTATAAAATACCTACAATGGAAGAACAAGTTCGGTTTACAAATAAATTTGTTAAATTTATAGAAACATGGATAAATCGTATTAAACGATCAACAACACTAAGTCTTAAGGTTAGTTATAAATTATGACATGAACTATATTTATATTTATAATAAAAACTATACCCAATTTATTTATTTTAGAGTGCAGGTGACACATCACCTTATAGAGACCGTGTCAATTCTATACGTCCTACAGACAAACCACGACCAAGGTTTTTACAATAATTATTTGTATTTATTTGTAGAATTAATTTGTTAAAATTAAACATTTAGATATTTTTTTATTATAATTGTCATTAAAATAAGTAATTAATTGCAAAATATAATACTTATTAGTTATGTTAGTTTATAGATTACCGGAAATAAGGATAATTTAAAAATTATGCATCAATTTTAGGTATTATGAACAATGCCAATTTGTTATAAGCTATGTGAATAAAATACATTATACCCAACTTTATTTTAGATAATTCTTTTTGTATAAAGCAAAATAAAATCAATTTATTTATAATATTTAAGTTAAATTCTCCATTTTTTATGAAAACTATGAGTTTTTTCCCTCTTAAAACCAATACATATTTCCTATAAAAATAGTTGTTTAAATAAAATTATTTTTAAAACAAATAATATTATTAGCTAAATGTTTACAATTTTTATATGAAATTAACTTATAATTTTGTTTGCGTTAATTTATTGATTTGCTAAATGTTTATAAACAGAGAAAATTATTTTTTTTAAACATAAATTTTGTGTATATAACCATTTTTTTTTTTTTTATAAAGTATATTCTATAATTAATTTTTATACCACACTGCCTACTCGATTTTAAAACTATGTAAATGTGCATTATAATTTTAGGCATTTTTTAAAATACTTAGGTTTATGCATAGTAATAAGTTATCCATATTGCCAGCACCATATTATTATATAATCTAATATTTTTAAATTTAAATGTTTAGGTCAGGTTCTAAAGTTTACGATAAATCAATTGCAACATTATTTTCTGAAAATCCTATTCAAGATGAAACTATTGACGATGTTGATAGGTAAGAACAAATTGTATTAATTATTCCTAATTCATACTTATACTCTTATATTACCTTCTAAAAATAATTTATGTTTTTATTAGTAAACCACTGAATTTAATTAACTCAGAATTATTAATCAAAGAAAATTTATCTAACGCTGACTTAGTGGAACATATGTGCAGTATGCAAGTTGGTGTAGGTTTTGTAAACAGACATATGGGTTTACCACAAAATACATTTGTCAGTTATGATGCAATTACATGGCTTATGAACAATGTGAATACATTTAATAGTAGGAATGAAGCTGTTGAACGTTTACAGGTCACTATTAAAACCTTTTCTAATAACTTAATTTAAATAAACTGGTACTAATTGAAATAATTACTAGGAAATTCTATGCGAAGGATTAATTTGTCATGCATCTGGAGACTTTTCTCATCCTTTTATTGATGGATTTTATTTGTATTATTTTCCAATGTGTGAATCGCCTACTGATCAATGTAAATAAATTAAATATATGGTAAATTCATAATTAGTAATCAATTATATTTTTTTCAGCTACATTTCCTCCACATGATTTTCAAGCTTTTGAGAATGAATGGGTAGAAGTAGAAGTCAAACAGCCTATTGAATATACAAGAAGTATAGAATTTTTAATGGAACATTTAACATTACCAGAATCTCTAAAACATGATACTAATAGAAACGGTTGGTTTTGTAATTTTATATTAAATAAACATAATTTTATAAATTTCTCACAATTATGATGTGTTTTTTCTTTTTTTTTTTTTTTCATTAGTTCCATGGTATAAAGAAGCTCATTTAGAGATGGATGTTAATAGTAAAAGTGATCGAGTAGAATGGGGTCATGCCCGTTATCAATCCGTTTATCGATGTGATCAAGCTTATGAAATTATTGCTCAATGGGTTGCAGCCTCTGGTTCAGTTGTAGCTGATTTGGTATAAATTACATATTAATCAATTTTCTTATTAGTAACATAACATATTGTTTATCACTAGATATACAATTGGGCACGAAAAGCACAATCAGGTGGATTTCAATTGATACCGTTACCAGCTGATCCATTTGCTCTACCGTATACATTGAAATCTGATCCTCTACGTGGCCCAGTATTTGTACCTCTTAATTTGGAATGTCTTCTTACAGATGGAAAAAAATGCTTATTTCATGGTAATATTTACAATTTATAAGTATACAGTAATATATAGTAAGTATTAGTTTATGCTAATATATATAAATATATTTATAAAGAATATTCTGAAGATACATGGCTTCGAAGATTATTACTATTCCAAGAAGTTATACTTTATCGATTTGGTTTTATAATATGTAACTCAATAAATAATAGAACTGAATCATATCATAATCAGTATATTCATCTAACTGGTAAGTATATTCGAGTGAATAAATATTCCTTTAATATTTAATATTTTGAAGGTTTAACCATTTCATATTATTTGCAGGAAATGTGTTTGTGTTAATATTATCGGATTTAATTGATGAAATAAAAGAAAAAAATCAATATTCAGATCAAGGTTTAAATGAATTAGAAACTAGTAATAATCAAGAAGAATTACCATTTAGTCCTCACATGGAGTACATATCACGTCATGTGTATCATAATTCTAAAAAAAATGATCCAAAAAGAGAAAAAAGGGTTAGTAAATATTTATTTATAAATTCATTATATAAAATAACGTAATATCAACACTTTACCTGACAACAGTTATCTTAATAATTGTGTGTATTTTGTTGAAAATAAGTTATTGTGCAAAACTAATAAACATCTAATTAAAAAATACATGTTCTTATTCAAGGCTTGGAATTTAGAATATAAAAAATAATTATTATAATATAATATATATAATAAAATTATTGTTGTAAATGATAAAATATAGTCATTTAAAAATATTGCACCAAATTTAGAATTTTGGCAAAAATGAATACACAGATATATTAATGTTAAAATCATAAAATTATTTATTTAGGTTGGATTTCTTTGGGCATGGAATCATATGGTTAGTCGTCGTTGGAAATGGTCTAATCCAGCAACTGGTGATGAAGAATATCAAAATAAATTGTTAGCAGATTTTAGATCATTTTGTAGTAATAAAGATGGACGGTTATTCAATTTTTGGGAAGATTGTAAAAATGAGCTTAAATCAATTAAATGCCAAGAATAAAATGTTAATTTTATATTCAATATATTATAGTTATTATTTACAATACATAATAGGTTAATTAATTAATTTTCAACATACCATCTTAGCCTAAATCGCTTACAGATCTTGTAAAAATAATTTTTGTCTATGATTTTGTTCAAAAATAATTATTTGTGTATTTTATTTTAAATCCTGCTTTTGGCTTAAGCAAAACTATTTCCTGGATCACTATCATTCACCTAATTATCAGTGAGTTTCTTATTAAAAGTGTTTAGATCGGATTATTGTCAGTACACTTGTACAACTTAAAAAATCTGGTTTGGCAATATCATAATATCAATATGTAATTTTTCAATGCTTATAAAAATGTTTTATCACTTTTTGGATAGTTTTTTTTTTTTATTGATTACAATAGCGGAATGAAGAAAACTTATAAAGGGTGTTATATACACTTTTCTAGAATTAAAAACTAAAATTGAAAAATTTATAAATTTTTCACTACAAAAATTATACATATTTTTGTTATTTTGGTCAAATTTTATTAAAATTATAATCAAATGCTTTTGAAAATTAGAAACTAAGAATTTTATCGACAACTCTGTAATGTTTATTTTATCTATATTTTAAGTGGCCCTCACACAATCAGTAACACTGACAGTATTTACATTACTGATGTGTACTCTTTATATGGTCGGTATGGATTATTGTCTCATATACTCAGTTCATTTGGCATTCGACTGATACAAACTTTGATGAATTGCAGCCCTAACGTATCTTTATTAAATAAAGAATTTATTATTACAGTCGATTCGTAATAACTCGAAGTTGAAGGGGGATAAAAATTCACTTCGATATATGTATTATTCAAGATATCTAACTAATTTATAAGGGAAGAATTTTCTAGAGGAATAAAACAAAGTTCGAGTTGTTAAGTTTTTCGAGTTATCGCGACTCGACTGTGTTATTAATATTATTTATATTTATTATTTATTTATATTTAATTTTAATTTTATTTTAAAAAAAAGTTATTTTATTATAATGAACGAAAAACAAAAAGTGTGCGTAGCAATTATTTTAGCATTTTCTATACGGATATAAATTGATTACTAATAGTAAGTGTTAGGTAAAATAATAGATTGTCAAACGTAAGAAGTTAAAAAATTAAAAAATGTATACAATTGGTAAACATTTAAATGAGGGTTTTTACAAATTCAAATATATTAATTTTTTAACATTATCAAGTGTATCAATCAGACGCGTATCCATAATTTTATTTAGAGAGGGGCTGAATGAAAATGTATAAACATAGTCATACAGTAAAATAAAAAAAAATTTAAGTATTTAATGTATTATAAAATAACATTTATCATGTAATGTATTAGTTACTAAATAATAACTTCTAAACGTGTGGCTCATGCACAATTGGCAAACTTACCTAAAACCATATCATCTGTTATAAATACATTTCTATGAATGTTTCTTAATTCTTATTTGTAAAAAAAAAAAATAATAAAAAATATAAGTACTAACTTAATTTTTAATTTTAAAAATTTTAAAATATAATATTATAGGTATTTCATTGACTTACTTTCGTAATTCCAATCATAAATTCGTCCATTGTTATTTAAAAATTTAAAACCATATGAAATTTAAAAAAAGTTTTTAAAATGTATTTATCATATGTAATAATAAATGTATGAAATATATTGTAATATAAAAAATAATAAGAAAAATAAAATAAAACACTTTCTTGCATGTGAACTCAGTTCGGTATAAGCAGTAAATAAACACAAACGTAATTATTTTGGTAGATTGTACATGTACACGAAATAATATTTATTGATAAAATTGTTTTCAGAAAAACTTGTAACTTTTGTCCTAATCGACTATTTAAAATTATTATTAATAATAGATTCCCAATTTTTGTTTTCCCGTGGTAAAGTGTTGTTCATGAACGATATTGCGATAAGATAAGCTAACTAAAAATACGAATTTAAAATAAATACAATGTAATTTATGACTATTGCAACAACTTTTATAGACCATGAAAATAATTTTTATTGTCGGAGTGATTGAACTGAACTAGTACCTATGTTATGGTATTATAGTATAATAGGTTCTTTTAACCCGATATATGCTAATTTATTTTAATTTACGTAAAATTATTTTTTATTAAAATTAGCACTTACCTTACTCATTTTCCGACTGCGCCAATACGAGGCGCATATATTGGTATAATATATTGCTAAATAAGCCGTACACCGATGAAACTAAATTTACCTATGATTTCAACAATGCCGTCTGATGATGAAGATGTGTTTATGTTATATTGGTGGCTTCGTAACAAAAAAAGGAAACGTAGATACTGGATTCATCCACTTTTAAAAGATAGAGAGCATAGTAGCTATGTAGATTCAAAGGAATTGACCGCCAATGAGGATAAATTCCAAAGTTTCTTAGGTATAAGGTTCTTATAGGTTTCTATAAGTTTCTCAAGTTGCTTTTTACCGTTTAGTGTAGTATTACTATCAGTATTTAACACTATTCAATTAATACGATTCAAACTTCTCAAGTATAAATATTATTTATATTAATACTATTGCTTTGAATGTTAACTAAATGCTGTATAATATAATACAATATATTAATTATTATATTTAAATTTGGTAACATACAAATATAACCTAAATAATGTACCCGTATATACAAAACTTTTTAACATGTTTTTAAACTATTAATTAAAAACTGTCATAACTGATGAAACTATGTTATTGAAACCAAAATCATAAGTTTCACGAAACCGCAGTTGCACAACGATGAGAAATTTTTGAATTTCAGTGTGCGCATTTCTTTGTTTTTTAATTGAATGGTTTCATGAAACTTAAGTTTCATGAAATTGGTTTCTCAAAACTAGTTTCTTCGGTATGCCGTCTGCCTTATGTTATTGTTTTTATAATCGGATCCAATTAAGTTGTTTATCTTTATCATAAATATAATCTGGGACCCAACTCGAATACGTGCAAAAAAACTATGTGAATTTTTCTCCGGTTTATTGGCATGAAAAATGTAGTCCCCCTTAACAGTACATATTATTAGGGATAGAAATTCCAACTCATTCAGCTGAACTGAATCTTTCAACTCAGTTTAGTGTAATGAGTTGAATTAAAGAGTCGACTCCCAACTCTGTTTGAATCAGATCACCACCACTCTAATCAACTCTTCAAGTATCGACTCTTGATTCGACTCACAAGTTCACAGTCCATATTCATGAATAGCTTATCGCATATGAAACTAATTATGACTATAAGCGTACAACATTACGAATTTTTCTCAGAAAGTCAGAAATCTTGTTTTAAGAAACAATGGACATATTTATAACCAAATCCGAGAGGAACTATTGTTTAAGTTGGTATCATATTTTCCGTTTGGATTCGCAAACCGTTATCAAGAGAATCGAGAGTTGAGATTCGTGATCGAGAGTCGAGATTTACAGTAGTACAGTTGCGAGTTTAACTGAGTCAGTGATTCACTGAGTCGCCAACTCTTGTAATACTGATTCGACTCGTCCAGTTCATTTTTAAGAGTCGACTCACTGAGTCGACTAGTTCATGAACTACACATCCCTGCATATTATTATTTGTTGTCTGTACATGAAAGACGATACGATGTGAATAATTTCAATTTAATAATATTTTAAATGTTCAAACCATTTTAAAAACAATATCTTATATCAATACATTCTATATAATACCATTATAACATTAATTAGTGATTTAAATGTTAGAAAAATGTCATATTCAACATTAAATCAAAATTTTGGATTCTTTCTTAATTTGGAAAAAGAAGATAGTAAAACCATTACACAATGTATGGAGAATCTGATTAAATTATACCATCATAATATTTATTATCAAACTAAATATCATTTAGTTGAAGAAATTATTCAGTTTAAAGGTATAATATATAATTTCAACAATGAAAAGAAATCATCTTTATTAAATATTTTAAAATCCTTAATTAGCACTCAATTACATAATACATTTCCAAACATAGAGATACATTGAGAATTTTCTGCAGATTTCCATGTTCAAATGCCACAGGAGAACGTTCATTTTCTGTATTGAAGAGGGTAAAATATTATTTAAGATTTTCATTAGCAAATGAAAAATTATCCACATTATCTATATTGTGTATTGAAAATAATATTTTGGAAGAGATGGAATGGGATGGTATTATTCATAACTTTGCAACAAAAAAAGTTATGAGAAAAAAAGTTATTTGAAAAAAGTTTGATTCCTGAAAGGCTATATTATATTATATGTATAAGTTTTTATTTTTTATTATTTTTCATAATAAATTTTAATAATTTGGTGTTTTTTGTTTTCATGTTGAATTCTTCATAGTGCTGTATCAATTTTAATTTTTAATATACCTATTACTATGAGACATTTTTCAAAATAATAAATTGTTTTCTACACATGATAATCAATTTACATATTGACATAATTCAGTATTGTATTTTTTGCAGTTCAAGTCGTTTTTATTAGTTTCCAGTACAACAAAACAAAAAATGAATTAATTTTTATATGATTGATTTAATAACATCGTATTTACATAATTGATTATATAGATAGGTATTAATGTTAATTAATACTACTATATGTATACTATAATTATTATATATATTATATACTATAATTAATACTACGCCCAACACCTATATTTTGTCCAAGGAGTGATGGCGTGATGCGATGAAGTATCATCTGTATCATATTCATTTGATCACTATATTATACCTTTTTTTTTTTTAATGATTGGTATTGATGTTACTGTGGTGGTGGTGAGGGAGGAGGGTTATGAGGTGGTAAAATGTGTGTGGCCCCGGCGGCATTACAGCTTAACACAGCACTGGTTACAAAGCCACGGAAAAATGTGCCTAGTCTCGCCGTGTTTCCACAGGACTCTTATCAACTTTTCGCCGTGACGCGACGAGCACTGATAACGCGAATGATAGTGGACGCCGGATAGCATTTATCCATAGAAAAGAGATTAATTGTATTTATCGCGCTGATACAGTCATAACGCCGCGAGACGTACGGGACAAGTAACGCTGCCCGCCCAGGTTCGCGGATGTAGTCTGCGTGTTATATGGTACAGTGTTGTTGGAACGCACAAACGCAGTGGACATGACGTGCACCCGCCGACCGGTGTCGCAGACGCTTGGCCAGATCGTTGTGTCACTTGCCGCGGATTGGCACCGCGTAGTCGTCGTTTCCACCGTACCGCGAAGGCAACGTCTTCCGGGCGACCGTTGTTGATCGCGAATGCCACGTGCGTCCTCTTAGTCCGTCCACAAGTAACTCTTACAAGCACCGACCATGACCTTATATCAGCCGATCAAAGGTAATGATTGACAGCATTCATGCCTGTAGTCCCGATCAACCCTCCACATTTCCTTGCATCCTTATTCTTGGATAATGTTGTTCTTTCCCTTACTGATTAATATAACTGTTGCGTTTACAGCACAACATATTTGATGCATGTTGTGATCATTGTACTGATTCTATTGCGTATGGTGGTTTTCGTGGATTTTTAATGAGTCGACAGATGGGCGACTAAATGCTTATTGTTCCAAACAAATCACTGGCACTAAATTTGTCCATCATCTAATGGGACACCTACTTATAATATATTTTCAAAAATATTTATTCGTATTCACCAAGTCTGTTTATAAATTACTTGCATCTGTTCAATAAAATAATAAAAAATAAAATTAGTAAATGATTAATATACATTAATTGCTATATATAAATAAACAAACATTTAAACTTTGAAGACTAAGAGAAAGACCAAAAAATAGATAGTAGGATACGATTGAGAATGATTTAAGGGCTGTTGGTGTATGCGTAGGTAATGCAGAAAATCGAGACGAGTGTAGAAGAAAAAAAATATTTTGCCTAAAATATTATTGTATTAAATCATAATATATGACTTTTCAAATAAAAAATCATAGTCAGGTGATTCGCAGAGTCAATAAAATCACTAAATATGAAAAATAAAGGAAAGTATACAATAAGAAAAATTGGTCATTTTATATAGAGATAATTTAGGAAGAATTATTTATAATTATTTCCTACAAGACATAGATATATTAAAAATATAAATACTTTGGTTATTATTATTTATTATTATTTAAAATGTTTTGAAATAAGATATTATTTTTAAAATTGTTTGTACATTTAAAATATTATTAAAATTATTTTTCTTTATTTCATTATAAACATATATAACTTTTTTGCAGTTGAATTAATGGAAATATTATTTTGAGTGTTTAATATTTCTATGTCTGTATTTATATCAAAATTATTATTATGATTATTTTATAAAACACTTAAAGCAAAATTTAAATTTTAGAGACTATGGTTTTTAATTTAATCTCAGAAATGTGTTCTTTATATCTTATTTTAAAATTTCTATTTATCTTCTTACATACAATTTATTGCAATTATATTTTTATTTATATTTTTTTAAATTATTATAAAATACTTCCTAATTCCATAAGTGGTATTCTTTAAATATTGAACTTCTTACAAGTTGTTATGGTTCTTACCAAATAATAGCAGTAGGCTCAGACTGATTGTTATGAAATTAGTTTTTATTTTAAAATAACAGTTTCGTATAACATATAATTGTTTATACTATTTTTATGGTATGGACAATTAATGGTTTTATAATTGATACTTAATGTAATTTTGTTGTTATTATATTTTTTTACAGAATCTGTTCAGTTGGTTACAACACCTACTAATAGTCCTAAATCAGTATTAATGAACAGTAAAACTACAACATTTGAAGAATTTATGAAGAATATTCACAATATGTCACGGTTCAGATTAATTTTGTTTGTGATCTCAATTTTATTATGTTTTGCTGTCATTATTGTTGTGTTATTCATAATACCATGTGAATGGTCTAACTGTATTTCGTCAAGAAGTTTCAAATTCAAAGATAAATTCCTACAGACTGAATACATTTTCACTGACATGGGTATTTTTTATTAAATTTTATAATTATTAGCTTGTTATAGTTCACTTTATTGTTTTTATGTTAACAGAATTAAAAGGCAAGCCGAGTGTGATTGAGTTGAACCATAAACGTCTGGTGTTCATTGTAAGAGGACCGATTCTTAATAGTGTGAATGTAGCACCTCGAACAGAACAGTTTCCATTGTTTGGTGGTGGTTTATTACAAATAGATATGACTGGAAAAAAAATGTGGTGTAAACATGTAAGTCCACTTCCAGACAAAATTGATTGTACGTTACTCAATAATCAGCTGAAAGAAAACGATGAAGTATATTGTATAGTTGGCGCATCCAATGGCAATTTATTAGGAGTAGTGTCTAGCAGTATAAATAAAGGTAATTTTTGAGATTTAAATATTTTAAAATTGAAATTATTAATATTAGTTTTTTCATTAAAATGATTGGTTAATTTAAACTTAAATAATATATTTTATAAAATGAATTAATATTTAACTAACATCAGTGGCGGCGTGGAGTTTATTTTCTAGTGAAGCAGTTACGTGTATTGAGTATTCACTCCAAATTGAAGTTTTAGATCCAGAGTTCAATCGTATTTGTTGGTACATAAATAATAAAATAAACGTGTCCAAACAAAGTATTGTATTATAAAATTGTATGTCAAATTTATAAGTTATATATGAAACTTCTTTATTGCACAACACTATCAACCCACCCACCTCATTTTAGTCATGAAGCAGCTTCTTCAATAAAACTCACATTGCACCGCCACTGCCTAACATTGTGTTAATTCTATTAATACTATAATACTACTATGACACATAAAAAAAGCATAAATGTTTTTAAATTAATATTATTAGTTCAATCACTTATAATTATTTATATTAAGGTACTTTATTGTTTTAATTATTTAATTATATTATTTTTTTGAATAGGAGAAATTATTTGGAAACAAACTAAAAATCGACTTGAATCAAACACTACTAAATTGTACAAAAATGATTTAGTCTACATGGAGTTTCCTGTTATAATACCAGATTGTGACTCAGATAGTATAAATGAAATGGCCATAGTACAACATAAAAATAATAAGTCAACACTTGATATTGTATCTGGAAAAAGTGGCAAATCAATGATTAACAGTTTTGTTAACAATAATTGTACTAAAATGACTGATCTATTTTTGAACTATGATATGTCTTTAGTATATAGTTGTCGTAAAACTTCTGGCACAGGTATATAAAATTGTAAGGTTTAATTTATAAATATTCATCTAATACATAATTATATATATTTATGCTTATAGATCCTCTAGAAACTGTTCCAATCAAATCTATGCTAAATTGTTCTGAAAATTGGATACCAAATTCCGTTCACCAAACAAAACGAGAACATGATCAAATTGAAGAAAATCAATATTCTCTTGAACTTGGATATTATCATCTTAATATTTTTAATAATCATTATAACTGTCCAACCAAGTGTAAAGTTGTTATGAATGTTACAAACAGTTCTGGAGGAACAGTATGGTCAAAAAATATTGATCGTTCTTATGTTATGAAGCCAGTTACATTTGAACTACGTAAAAATATCTCTGGATTTTTAATTAAAATTTGGTCCTGGGATAATGAAACAAGTGTGGTAAGAGTGAAAATATATCTAGTATTAAACTATAAATTATAAAGGTTGCCACACACTAGATCGGAGCGGAAACGAATTTTATCCGCACACTGTATCGGAACCAGTCGGAATTCCGCGGCCATATATACTTGGTCATTTTAATCTTATCGCTCAAGCTCGAAGGTCGAACTAAAGCTTATTGCTACATTATTTATTTTTTAATATTTTTGAGTGTTTATAAAATATAATATTATAATAAGTGATACAAATAGTGACGAAGAAGAGATGATATTCACATTAGCTCTTTTGTTAGAAGCTGAAGAAAAATAAAATATATACAACAAAAAGACAGTGGGTTCATAGCGTACATAGAGCAAGGAAAAAGAAAGAGAATTCCATACACTATTCCCGCATTTAAAACAGGACAATACATTTTTTTTCAATATTTCCGGATGAGTTACGAAATAATTTGCCAATTGTTAGAACATATAAATTCTAAGTACAAAACGATGATGACCAAAGTTTAGCACGTATATATTTTGCGCTGACGCAAAGTGTCAGTGCGCTTGCATTAGCGATCGGAATGCTTCGGAATCCGTCAAAATATTGTCAACAAACAATTCGGTCGTGTTCCCATCCGTTCCGTTCCGATCTAGTGTGCGGTAACCCTAAGAGTTGTTACTCATTTTTACTTTGTTATGTACATTTTTTAGTTTACTGATTGAAAAATAAACTCAAGAGTTAAAAATAATTACTTAGAATATTGATCATATATTATGTTTAAATATTGGGAATTTGTTTAACTATCATTTATGTGATTAGTGTACAAATTATAATTTTTATTAATATTATATACTATATAATTTAATTTGTATTAATAATTTATAAATATTTCTTGACTCATTAAAATCTCATGGAAACTTTATTTAATTTACATTAATGCAAAAACAGAACTATTAATATATTAATTTTTTTTTTCAGAATAAAATTACATTTCCCAACATCAATAGGATTGGACATATTCAAGAACAAGTATTAGCGATAATGTATAATTCATCCAGAGCAGAAGATTTCCATGTAAAAATTATAAGTTCAAATACAATTTTACAAGTATGTGAAAATGAAACTAGGTGCCAACCAAAGTTGGAGTACCAAAAACATTCATGTAAGCGTATAGATTATATGTATATCTTATTATTATTTATGTAAGCTTATAGATTAAAAATGCATTAAAAAAATGTGTCCAAAGATTAGTTTAAGTATAAATATATATAAATTAAGTTGTTTAAATAACAAAATAGCTAACCAACAATATTTTTATAAACAGCACATATTATGCTAAAATATTAAATTATAAAAATAGTATAAAAAATATATTTAAAAAGCGCGAAACTCCTAGATCAGGTGAAATACAGGGATGGGTAAATTATATTACTGTACTTGTATAAACTTGAAATCAATATGATTTGCTAATAATATATATATTATTTGTAATAATATCTACAGTTATATTAATTTATATAATTTTTATTTCTTTTATGTCTTCATACATTTATATAAAACTATTACTTTTCCACATTTCGCATATGTTGTGAAACAATAGTATATCCATTGATTATAAATACTATTTATAATCAATGGTACATCCTATAATATTAATATTTAGCTATAATTAACCAAAAAATATTAAAACAAAAAGCTAATAATAAAACTGTTGTGTTTTTAATTATTATTTAACCAAGCATTTTATTAAAGTTTTATATTTACAAAAAAATATCGAAGATTTATGGTGCTCTATAAATATATTATGTACACTAAAAGTTTTCAAACAACTTTACCACTTTAGTAAGATAAGCTTTATTTACAATATCTTTTGATACAAATATAATATTATTGTATTCTCTCAATAGCATTATGAATTAGTTGTCAATGTACCAAATTATTTTATTATTACTTTACAGGAATATTAAATGTTCGTTAGTTTGATATAGTGGTACAATATTTGCTGGTAAAAAATTGGTCATATTGACATTTTTAGTGAAACTAATCAACATTTTTCCAGGCATCATAAAAATTTAAATTTTTGTTTTATGTTTTTTTTTTTTTGTAATTTTTCTTGAGGACTCTAAATAATTATTTTAAAATGCTTAAGCTTAATCAATCTATTATTTGTTCTAGTAAATTTGATCGATATAGACAATGATGGTTACATGGAACTAATCTCTGTGTTGGCTACATTTAAACCGATCAATGCATTCAGCAAGTTTCCCATGAACGATAAAAAATCACTGCAACTTATTTCAAAAGTTAATGTTTTTCAATTGGAAGAGAATCTCATTCAAGAATTTGAAAATTAGTTTTTAAATTATGTAATTTATTAAAATCTTAATATTTCACATGTATGATGTAGTGTAAGAGAACAAGTTTTGAAATTATTAATTTTTATTCTATTATAAACAATTAAATAATATACTTATTTAATGAAAAATTATTTATTCAATATTAATAGAATTGTGTGCGACTATATTTTTTAAATTTTTTTTTTTTTACTTCATAAATAATTGTGTTGAACCAGAAATATATTTTGTATTTAAAATTAAATTATTTTTGTGAATCCTAAATGGTCTACTTTAATTGTTCATTCAATTATATATATATATATATATATATTTCTTTTTCGCTTGTAAAACATTTTGGATATAAATTAGAGAAATAAGTCAAATTAAATCTGTACTTGCCAATTATTGTTAGATTCACAATAATAATGCACTGGTATACTTAATTTGTGGAATAAAATTAGAAATATTAATTACTGATATTATATGAACTGTAGCTTTAGCCTCATAAAATTGATATATGTAATGCAGCTCTTATACTATATAATAATAATATTGAATTATATTATACTTCAATAATTCATATTTGAGACCTATTTTAATAATGGAAATAATAATGATTTGGTTATTTATAAATGAATGTAGTTTAATTACTTAATTTAATAATTCTTTATAAATATTTACAGATGTTATTTATAAAAAATGAAATTTAACTAAGTTTCTTTTATTTCAATTTATAATTCAGCTAAGTATTAATAAACTTATTAACTTTAGAAATAATGTACTTCCATTCAATTTTGGTGTAATTAAAAAATATTTATGATTGATTATTTCAAAACTGCAATGACCAAATAATTATGCCCACTCAATTTTCAATTGTAAATAACTTTTAAATATATTATGTGTGTAATTAATTCGTGGAATCTAAAATCATCTTCAAAACGAATTAATAATTCACATATTTATAGGATAAACAAATTTTAAAAAGTAATTTATTTATTTAAAAACAATTTTTTTAAATAGTTTGACCAATAATATATATAGAACCGGATTGTTTGTAATTTATCTTTAGTTTTTATTATTATACTTATATACATATTTATATCAAGGGTCCACATTGTGTAATCACATTTTAACAATATTCATTAACCATTAAGACACATCAATTTATTAGAAAATAAGAATCAAATGTGAATTTTTTTTTTTTTAATTCATTACATTTATATTATTATAACTGTTGAATGATCTGAAAAAATGTCATTATTAAATAATGAATTATAAATATTAGTTTCAAGATAAAGATTTTATCATTTATATAATACACAATTATACATCACCATTTAATGACAAAAAGTATATCATAATATTCAATATATATTATCGAATTTAAAATTATTAACTAAATGGTTACCGTAAATCTTCTTATAGTTAGAATAATAAATTAGTAAATATTTAGTTGTATTCGGTAATAATATCAAAATATGGGGTTTTCTTTACTGCCTACCGTCGCGGTGCCAATCTATTTGTTACCGACTGTACTATATTAACCAGTGGTGTATCGGTAAATATATTTGTGTATATATACACACTAAAAAAATATGGATATTAATCCAAAAATAAATTTTCTTGCTTTGCTCGACAATTTTTTCTCTTGATACGTTCGAAAAAATGTTATTAATCCTTTATAATTACATGTTTATAAATTCTATTAAGACTAAAATATAACATCACAAAATATACTTTTATAGCGCGTTATAAATTGCATGATGCAAATTTAAGAACCATACGTATTGGCTGAATGTTCATACTCCATACTATTTTATTCAATGGTAAAATGTTATTCATTACATTTATAGTATTATAGGGCTTCTGACCATGGTTTTTCAATTTTTATTTTTCGAGGTAGTTTTGCTACGGTAAATTTACTATATTTGACTTCTTCTTAAATCATGATTTTGGCTTCTCTTATTTATTTCCGAGGTAGTTTTACCACTGTAAGTTTATGAAATTTACTTTATTCTTAAACCATATTATTAGCAGCATTTTTTTTTTCTTCAATCAATAGTTACCTGTATTATACTTCATACAGTTTTGTAATTAATGTTAAAATAATAAATTTTCAGCAATTTTTTTTAGTTGATATTTTTCTATTACAGTTAAATTATTTTTTAATTAACTAAATGTCGTTAATAAATAATATAACTTTTTAAAATATATTTATTAATTTTTATTTCTAGAATAAGTAGGTATATTTAGTATGCTGATAATAGTCAGCAAATAATTACATATGTTTTTTTCAAGCTATGTTTCCTTTGAATATTGTTATTGGTGTCGATTTTAAACATTTAAATGTGAAAAAAATTATGTTGCTAAAATATAATTTAGAGAACGAAACTGAAACTATAAGAAAATCTTCATGGATTTCAAAACCACCAAAACGTTTTCACAATGAATTTGGTTATTAATATTTTTTAATTATATTCTACATCATATTATTAAAATATCATGACTTCAACAGTAGTATGTAAATTAGTTTTTATTATTCAAGCTTTTAATAACAAAAAAAGAATTTCAATTGGATTTTTAATTGATTATCAGATTAAAACTGTTATTCTATTTGAATATGAATTAACAAAACAGACTTTGAAATTATACGAAGAAAAATTGAATTACATAATGTCTGAATCTAATTTTAACACAATTCTTAGTGGACTTTATACTCATTCCAAATGAAATGTATTAACCGATGATATTTTTTATTCAATTAATGCAAATAATGAAACTATAACATTAAGAGTTGATAAAAACTGTATAACTATTATCTCGCTTCAATTTATTACGTTTGAAACAATGACAACATTGTGTTAATGCATGTATTCTTACAAAACAAAAACAGTTACATTTGTATCAAACATGTTTCAATTTAATTTTATCATTAATCAAACAAGATATTGTCGATTTACCAATAGTATGTCAAAAGAAAGAATTAATAAATGCATACATTCAAAATTATGAATTAAACTTCAGTAATGTACGTTGTGAAGATAAATATTTTATTCTTGAGTTACAACAGTTCCACTATAAAAAAATAACAGATATGGTACTAAAAGAAATGTACAACTAATATGTTGGTTTCGATTCAGTTTTTCATTATCCAAATAAGACGTTTAACTTTTATCAATTAAACGTTAAAGATATGAATAATTGTTGAATTCATTGTTCAAATTTTTTATATCAACCTTAGTTATGATTTACGTTATACAAATTAATATTTTATTTTTGAATTACAATAATTCAAAAACTTTTTTTCTATATTGTATTTTCGATTTTAAAAATAATATTTATATTATTATTTATTATTATTTTAAGTATGTGTATTATTATAGGTATGTTATCAATATAATAAAATAAAAATAAAATAAAAAAAATTGTTACTGTACTTTTTTTATTTTTCAAACAATTTGTTAAAAATATTTAGAATAATCATGCTTTATCATTTTTTCGCTTGGTAACTTTTTTATCCGGGTCAGAAATAATCTTCCTGCTATTATTTCAATCAAATTAGTAAATTCATTTGAAATATTCATATCTCTAGTATTATCATTTGATGTAATTACTTTCATTGAACAGTTTGAATGTTTCCACCTAATAATACAAAATATTATTTTATAATTGATATTGTTTAATCAAAATTTATAATAGAAGTTTAAATTAAGAATGTGATAATGAAATGATTACAAATAATTTATAAATAAATCATTTGTAATCTACATATTGGGTCACAAAATTAATTTGTTTTTGATTTCACTGTATATTTCTTACCTATCATTAACCGGTATATCTTTAATGTCTTTAATTTTGTAATGCTGTATACCCAATAGTCCTTCCCATTATTTACCGGACATTTAAACATGAAATTATATCCATCCTGTTTAACTGTCATTGAATTCACACTTTCATCAAGTAGGTTCACTCGTATCTTCATTTTCAATGAATTTTTAAATTTTATCTATATACGATTTCAACTATAAATGAAAATGGATTAAAAACATATTTCATTAAAGTTTTTATAAAACATACTTTCATTGGTTCAATTTTTTTGCCGGTGATACTGATTTCCATGATTTTGTTTTTCTCTTTTCTATGGTCTTTGTTTGCCAGACAGGGCCGTGAACCTCGAACACGAGCGATTACCTGCGCCGACTCACGGAGTGTATGCAAAACTAATAAAATTGAAATATGAAAGAAAAAGGAACGAAATAATAATCAATTATTACTATGATTGTTAGTCACAAATTTAACGTGTATTGTATATACCTAACTAATTCAAGCATAACAATAATATAAACACGCCGATAACCGATATCGATCACCGGACGATAACAAGAATAATAATGTAACAATGACATAATGAATAAGTAACAATAAGTAACAATGATATACAATTAATGCAATGCGATACAGATCAAACCTGCTGACAGATGGGCTATAACTCGTTTGCGCAAAAATGCACAACTCGATTGTGCACATATATTTTGGCTACTTGTGACGAAAATCCCTAGTGTCAGAACTCGTTTGCTAATTATCGTTGATTATTATACACCTCATGATTATGAGAGTTAATTAATTTTATTATTTTGTTTGATTTATTATCAATAATACTCGCAGTACATTTTTTATTAGTGCTTCTAAAATTTGAACATCCATTCATTAATACACGGTATTCACTAAATTTATAACTATCAATATTAAAACATCGTTTTCCTTACCGAGATTCAAAAATATTAGAAATTTCTACGCCATATTAAAGTTTACTTCGTCAACACACTAGTCACCACTGTACCATATCGACTGTACGTCCATATTCATTGTTCATACCTACTTAAATTGTGTTAAAAGTTGTTTGGAAAATCCATATTTATATAATTTACAGTGTACGCAGTCGATTATAAGATAGTATTGACACTAAATGTGGTTTTGTTCCTAAGTTTTTGGAACAATTTGCACTTCACCTTGCTCAGAAAGATACTTTGAAGTGTCACGGAATTCTAATTTTTGATGAAATGTCTACCCGCGAAAGCGTATCTGTAAATTATAAAAACCTTACCTATATTGGTAAATGAAAATTTATAGTTTTTATATTAAGTATTTATATGTTTTTGGTTTTGACGTTCCTATTTTAAAATTTTGTAGGACTCATTGATTTTAGTGATGATGGCGATAGTGAAAAATCATTTAACGACAACGCTAATCATGGGCTTGTGTTTATGTTTGTGCCCCTGACTGATAATTATGTACAACCAGTTGCGGTATTTGCATAAAAAGGTCCAACAAAATGTTTGGTCATCACTCAATTGATACTAAAAGCAATAACTCTGCTTGAGAATGCTGGAGCTTTCATACATGGAATAGTATGTGATGGAGCTGCACCAAACCGGAAATTTTGTACTAAAACGGTCATAAGTAGAAAATATAATGATGTGAAAAATTGGTTTGAATACCCCATTGATACCAACCGAAATTTTTTTATTTTCTCAGATACACCTCATTTATTTAAGAACATCAGGAATAGACTTTATAATAAGAAATAACTTCAGGTTATTGAAATACTTTAACGATATATAATTAGGTATGTTAATATGTATGTATATTAGGGTGGTCCTTAGCTATAGATGAAGAAATTTTTTTTTTAATATTTTTGATTTCTTACCTCCTCATTTTGTTCATTACTATAAGAAAGTAATTAGGGTTAAATTTGGTCATAATTACTCACCCCTTTCACGTGCCCCAAGAGAGTTGAATTTTAGTGAATAAGGTTGTTTTTGTCGTTTTTTGACTACATATATTCAAAAAATATTGCATTTATCTTAAAAATGTATAAAACATATATTATAGATATATATATTTTTAATAAAAAACATATTTATACAAATTCTCATAAATCTATTATTTCCCAAGAAATATGATAAAATATTAAATATTTTATTTATTTAAAAAAAACGATTTTTTACAGTTATTTAAATATATTAAAATAATGGTCGATGATACGACAAAATATTTTATATACAATTGATAAAGAATTTGATTTCCTAAAAAAAAGTTAATTTGCATAAATTTCATTGGATTGACTGTTTTATTATAACAGTCAGGTTAACGTAAAAAATTTAATGTACCTATCTAAAATGTTATTATGTTAATTCAAGAGTTTCATTAATAATACATGTTTTAATATAATAATAGTTATATAATGTCTAAAAAATCTTTTATTATTATTATTTATTATTTCATAAGAAAAATTATATGATAGCAATTATTATTATAATTTTTTTTACATAGTTGATTTCTTTCAGTTATTTTAAAGATCTTGGACAAGGTGGTTTTTTACAATCTGGGAATCACCGACGATACTCGCTCACTACTTGCAGTAAATATTGCTTCTGGTCTTCGCTTTTAGTTATTAACTTGCTATAATCTTCAATTAATTTCACTTCTCGCTTCGCAGTATCATTTACTACGGTTAAATTATTTACTAATTCTTTTCTTTTTACATATTGATCATTTTCGTTTCACAATTTCGGATATAAATATAATATAAATTATATAATTTTATATATAATATAAAAGTCCAACATCATACCGAATATATTAAAAAAATTCCTAGATTGGACTGATATAAAATTTGATTTGATATCAAAAATCTTCATTGCTTTAACCATTTTTTGCCTTTGTTTTCAGTGATACATTGTTACCAAAAAATGCTAATGATGTTACTTTTGGTATTAAGTATCACAAATGACTACACATTTTTTTTTAATGTTTATTTTGAAATTTGTACATCAATGACCACGTACAATATTAGCACTTTAATAAATTGTAAGTCCATGTTTGGTCCCAGAGCAGTAGCTGAAGCACAATATAACTTCAAGCATATGATATCTACATGGTAAATATATTATATCACGTTCTAGCCATTGCTCTAATAATATACAAGTGCCTTTTAGTCGACCCACGATGGATGCGGTTGTATCACAACAGGTAAAGCCAGGGCCGTATTTATGCCTAGGCCCGTGAGGCCCGGGCCTAGGGCGACAAATTTTGTAAAAAATAAAAATAAATAATATATATATATATATATATATATATTTTAAGCATTTATATAACTGCGTAAATTAATATTATATAATATTTAATATTATAGTACAGATATCTGTGTATAAAATGTACGGGCGCATAACATTGAAAATGTCAATAACAAGAAATCAATTTTCTCGTACTGTGAGCTATAAAGATAAGATACCTACTTAGGTACATAATGTAAGTTGTTCCTAAAATTACAATAATAATATAATATATATATAGAAGTTGGCTAGAGATATTGTGTATCCACATCCTACACGACGAATTAGAATTGATAATTATTTGTTTTGTTTATAATGACTATTGACTTAATTTCTTTAAAATTAAATAAATTTATTAAAAATAATTACAAGATTTTTTTTTTCTTGGGGTAGGGGCGGCATATTTAAAAGGGCCTAGGGCGGCACTTGTTCTAAATCCGGCCCTGGGTAAAGCTTGTATGTTTTCGGTTAAACCCCAATTTTCAAGAGCCTGATATACTGCTATTGCTTGATTTTTTTCTAGTGCCAGATAAACGTTCTGATACACCAAGCAGCTGCTCTTTGCCTTTAAATGATAATACTATTGTTAATCCTATAGGAGGTCAATCATTTTTTTTCCGGACAGTGAGGAAAGAAGTTTACCATCTCATAATCTCAACTGTAACATATTATCCGATTCCGATACAACTATAAGGTATAAAATATTATCTACTCATATACAATGTATTATTATCTTAAGGGGTAAGAAATCAAAAATTCGTGAGTTCAAAAATAAGGACCACCCTAATATATATTATTGTTAGGTACATTATATTATAATAAATCATATGTTTCTTACTATATTTTAGATTTCTCACAATGAACCATTAATTAAATGAAACCATTTTCAAATTGTTTATGATCAAGATAAGCTGAATAATGGAGAATTGAGAGTTTGTCCAAATATTTCAGTTTCCCATTTGACTCTGAATAGTTCAGCCAAAATGAGAATTAGGTTGGCTGTACAGCTATCCTCATTGTTGTTTATATTCATGACTAGGGAGCTCAAGACTATACTATTGTTTATACTTATTATTATTAATATTATTTATAATATAGGTTCTTAATAATTCAATTACAAAAGCTTGCTTTGGAGTTCTATCGTCCATATTTCTCTCAGCTAAAAGATTCTTCTGCAACAGAAGAATTTTGTTTAAAAATGAATAAAACATTTGATGCTTTAAACTGGAAGTTAGTGAACGAAGGAGTTTCTTTTGATTCTAAAGACTATATGGTATATGATGGTTCTTAAAATATTTTTGGTCAACTTTATTTGATTTAAATACATAATATACTAGTTTTATATTACAGTTATAGATTTAACACTGAATTTTTTACCCAATATTAAATCCAATTCCTACTATTTTACGGTAATACCAATTTCCAATGATTGTGTATTCTATAGTCATTAACCCAAACTTACGGGGTTCAATTTTAGTATATTTTATTAATTAAAAGCTTAATTTTGCATAGCCCGTTTATTATATATTATTTATATGCTGCTACATAGAATGCTTGATTGGCACTTGACACAGGCTTATATAGGCAAATATATTTATATTATGTAAATTAATTTTAATTCAACTTAACATAAATTGTTGAGTGTGTGAAATTAGTATTTAAGAGCTTGGATTTTTTATCTATTTAATTATTAATTAAATAGATTGATTAATTAATTGATAACACATTACAATAACTGCTTGTCTGTAACCTATATTTACTTTCTTAAGAGTATTTTAAATAATTATGTTCATATTCAGGTTTTATAAAGAACTCTTAAGTAGCTGGACAATTGGGAACAACAATTTCTTAACAAACTTATAAGCCCTGATTACTTTCTTTCAAAAAGCACAGCTGAAGGATTGAGAATAACTTTAACATCATCAATGCAAATTTGCTGTTATTTAAAGGAGAAATATAATATGCATTATATTCTTACTGGGAAAATTAATCAAGATTCATTAGAGGTAAAATAAAAACCTATTAAAATAAATATTTCAATAATTAATTATTAAATTGTACCTATATATTTTCAGAGATTCTTTGGTACAGTTCGGCAAGCAGGAGGTGCTAATGATCATCTGGCAATACCAACCTTTTTGCATCTGTATAAAATGTTGTCTGTTTATAGTGTATTAAAGCCATCGACATATATTTATTTTTATTTTTTTTATTTTTATTAGTTTAAATGTAATATAAAACAATAATACATGCATTTAAATATACTACTCCTGTAAGCAAGCTTGTGATGGAGTAGAGAGTTACATTCTTATTTTACTAATTATACAAATTTATACAAATTGCGACATAATCAATTATTTTCCATACTGTATACAACAATAATAAAACAAAAAAAAATTAAAATATAAACAAATAAATAACAATAATTATTTTATATAAAATATCATTAATAAACAGAATTCATTTTAACAAATTTACAAAGGCTACACGTAACACAGTTATGTAAGCACGTCATTTGATAAGATGTAAAATGTATCACCTATAGGTATAGTGTATATGTAGTTTTGAAATAATTAATTAATTCTGAATAAAGCCACTTATAAACTATTTTCTTTCTATTATATTTCACAGATATAATATTTTTCTTATCAACAATCGGCATTTGGTTAAAATAGTGTGGACCTAAGTAATCAACGAACAATTTTCCAAAAGTTTTTTTCGTATACTTGACAGGTATATCATATGCTCTAACTTCTCTTACATGATTAAAATTACATTAATTGTTATTTGTTAGAAACTCTTTTATCGAGAACATTATAGCTGTTTTTTTATAAAGTAAACTGGCCGGTAGAACACCCAAACATGTATAATTTTTATTTGTTGAACCTTCTAAAGTTTTTCTATTTAAGATTATCCTTACAATGGTATTTTGATTTATTTCTAGATTTTTGAAAGCATTTTTTCTTGCTCCTCCCCACGCCAAAATACCGTATTGGAATATTGATTGATAAATCGCATAATAAACATTTCTAATAGTATGTAGCGGTAGCATATCTCTGAGCTTGACAAATTTGTAGAATACAGAACGTAACTTCGCAACTAAGTTATTAAATTAAACCTTAAATTGTTATCTATAATGATTCCTAAATAACGTGTTTTCGATATTTCTTTAATCTTTTGACAATATAGTGAATTACAAATATTATTTTCGTCTAATAATTTATCACATCTATTATGAATCCATAATGGGTAGACCGGGTCAAAACATTTATTTATTGAAAATCTTAAGTACATGGTTTTATCGTAGTTCAGAGTTAGACCCAACTCCTTTAGGCACTCAAAAGTTAAATTTAATCCTTTAGTAGCTTTTATTATGAGGTTATTCCATGAGCTGTCCGAAAATAACAAACATGTGTCATCCGCGTGTGTCACTACTTTCCCTTCAATATTTACATCACATACTGCATTAATATATAATAAGAACAAAATTGGCCCTAAGACACTCCCTTGTGGTACACCATATTTGATAGAATTAGCGTTACTTATTGTATCATTTAATTTCACTACTTGTTTTCTGTCCTATAGGTAACTTATAAACCAGAGTAGACTTTTGTTATTTATTCCGAATTTTGGTAAAATACGTGAAAGAGTAGTGTGATTTATGGTATCAAACGCTTTTGCTAAATCTAAGAAAACTCCAATTGATTTATTACCCTTATCCAATGCCTCATATACAAATTGTGTAACATTATATAAAATATTTGATATCACTAGTCTGACATCTTGAATAATAAAGGTAGAACAATTAATATATTTTCCTTTTAAAAGAAGCAGTTATAATTTGTTATAAGAAATATATTATATTGTGTTATAAATTCAACAAAATCTTATTATTATCATTTATACATTTTTCAGATCAGTTATCTCTCTAGATTAGAATGACCTAAGATATTCAACATAATAGGTAGATTATGGTTAGACTTTTTCATAACAATTTACTCTTTTGTACTTCTTTCTTGTTCATTAATATTTAGTAAATATTTATTTCTTATTTCACTAAGTTTGTATCTGCATGAAATACTTTCTTTTAATATTTTTCAGATACTATAAGGAATATTTTTAAACATAAATATTGTAACAATTTAGAAGTTATTAGACCATTAAAAACGTTTTTAGTAAATGCTAAATTTTGTGAACAAAAAAAAAAAACAACAAATAGGCTCAGATTCAAAATAGCAGCCAAAGCTGTTGTAAAATTTATATTTAAATTTCAGTTTATTTATTATAATCATATAAATTTAATATTTTGAAAAGATTATTAGATTAATAATAATGAAGTCTAAATTCAAAAAATTAATTTGTACTATTTGAATGGGTTATTTGTTTTGTTTAAAGAATGGAAGCATAACGTAAATTATGTTATTATTATTATTGAAATTTTCCATTTAAAAACTGGTCCATTTAGTTCCTGTTGTTCATACAATGAAAATGTATATTTCATGTATTCAATGAATATGTAATGTAATTCATACGATTTCTGCAAATATTTAACTACACATTTATAATGCATATAACTTGAGAAAATATGTTTTTAATAGGTTTTTTTATATTATAAGTAGGGTTCGGGACTTCTTGCATTTGCATGTTTTTTTGTAGTGGCCGTAGTCTATTCTAAGTGAGCTATAAATTTGTTTTACGAAATAACAAAATTAAATACTAAGTTTGAATTTGCATACTTTTGCATATTTCGTCATATTTTAAGAAAAGCACATATTTGAGCAATTTTTAGTATATTTGGGCATATTTCACATTTTTTTATTTTTATAAACGTAAAATTGTCGGGAAAAATCTGTTATATCTAACACGAACGTCTGTTTGCGATGATAGTCTTTTTATCGCTTAATAATCAACCTTATTATCGACAATTGTATAGTTGTGATATAACCTAATGAATCTTATACTCCTACAGGCTTATCTTCATATTATCATGAAACAAATATAAATTCAAACTCTCCAAAGTAATCAGTTATTAGCCGGGTATGAATTGTACAATGAAATCAGTACGTGTTCGTTCGTTAATCATATCACGCTTACATTATTTCTTATTAACTGTACCATTTTTTTTTTTTTTACAATTATTATTTTTTTTATACTAAGTACCTACCTACTTTTTAGATTTTTATTTTTATAATAATAATTTATAATATACCTTATGCGTTTTTTAAAAATAAAATAAAAAATTAGATGCATATTTTAAAGCATATTTCGATAATTTTTAGTGCAAGAAGTCCCGAACCCTAATTATAAGAGTAAATGACTAGCAACAAGTGCAGGTACCTATAGATTATAAAAATTGAAAATGTGCAATTTTGTTTTATCATTCATATAATAATAATTATTATATGATTAATTATTATTTTATTACTTTCATCGAGAACTTTTTATTAGATAAATATTTTAAAAATAAATATACACATGTGTATTTTAGAAATATTAGTACAATTTTTTAAAAAATATCTGAGTTTTATTTTGATGATGTTTATAAGAAGACAAAAAAGGTTTTCAAAATATTTAAAAATTATACCATAATCATTTAACAAGATTTGGAAAACATAATGTATTTCCTAAAATATATTTTATATATGATTTAAAAATATAATTGTGATGTGTGAAAATTTACTGTTATTTGGCCCTATAGAGAATGTTGAAAATATAACTTATCTAATAACAACATTTTTTCTTTCAATCTTCAATAAACACTGGAATAGTTTTTAGTTACACTAAATAAATACTTTTGCTTATTACTGGTATCAAAAGATATCTTTTAAATTAAGTATTGGTAATTAAAGAAATTAAAAATCTATTGATACATTAAAACAAAGTCAGACTTATAAATATTTAAAAAAATTCTAAATGTAAATATAAATAATATATGTATAATAGACATACAATTGAAAAAATTTTAAAACTCAATAATTTTTAATATTATAACTTCATAATCCGTTTATTATTATAAACTATGAATGCAATATCACAAAAATTATTATCCATAAATATTATTTTTTTTTTTTTTGGTATTTTGCTTAAATATACTTGAAAAAAGAAGTTTTATTAAAAACATTTTCTTATTTATAAAGCATACAAGAAATACAACTATTTGATAAAATAATTTAAAAGTTACCTCAAAATATGATATTTGTAACAAAAATTATTGTTTTCCTTAAAATGTGTATACATATTGTGATGATGGTTATTTTAATATTTGATGTTTATAACTTATGTATAATATATAAAATAATGTACATATATTTTTATAGGTAATACAAAAAAAAAACTTAAAAAATAAAAACATTCTAAGAAGTTAAATATTTAAATACTTTTAAATCTAATATGAACATGAATAGTTTTTAGGATATAAACCATACACATGTTTAGCAATTTTCCTTGAAGTATATGTAGCAAAAAAAAAATCATCTGGTGTCCACCATGAATTCTAAAAAAAAAAAAAATAATTATTATAATTGAATAAATGTATAAAATCTACAAATAAAATTTGCATAATCATCGATTAAATAGGTATTGTTAATCAATTATACAAAACAATAGCATAATAAATACATTTTTTTTTATTTGATCGACAATGTAGATAATAATGTTATTTATTAAATTTTTAATATCTATATCCAATATATTCACATAAATTATTTACATTAGACACCACACCACATGAATCTTTATCGCGCTCCCTATTTAATAGCTTCCAATAAAAAGCATCACGAACATCGCAACACCACCTATTGGTAATGTACTCGTATATTTTAAAGCACAAACCACACGTTCATTAGGACGGCATTACTGCAAAACTTCTACGGTGATTAATAAATCATCATAAATATCTTGGAAAAATCATGGAAAAAATAGTTATCAATCGATTATTTGGTACGCTATGATTTAAAAATTCTTCACTGAAAAACAATATTTTTTTTTATTTTTTTTTCGTAATCACTCTATATGATCTACTGAACTACTCTTAAAATTGCACACCGATATAGTAAACACAAAACATTTTTGTTTAATTACTCTATACATGATACAACGTAATAGAATTCTTAGAATAATCCAAAATGAAAATGTCAACGAAAAAATGTTCTTTTTTTACAAAACTCTTAAGCAATCGAATAATCAGTGAAAATCGACAATATGTTTCTTATAGCAATAAACTATATATTTCAAAATATACTAAGTATTCAACAAGCATTTGATACAGCTAAATTATTAGAAAAATACTTATTGTTTAATGAAGATGATCCTAAGTTATTCCAAAACATGGGACAAATTCATAGAAAAAAAAAAACTTATAATAAAAATATTGGCAAAATAAACAAGTCCAAACAAGGATGACAGATTATTTTAAATAATTGTATAAAATATAATACGTAAATATAATATAATGTAAAAATTATTATGTTTATGATAACTATTGTCTAAATTTATAAAATAAAATAAATAAATCTACTGTAAAAAAAAAAAAAAGTGCATCTTCGGCTTTCAGACAGCACAATACTGAATAAACTTGTATTGCTAATTAACTTATTGATTTAGAAATGTTAACATATTTATTTTATAGAAATTGAACTTGATTAGATATTAAGAATTTGACAGCAGCTTAAATTATAAATGATTCAAATAAATATATTTTGATTACCCAACTATCGACTAAGTCGGATGATTAATAAAATAATGATATAAATAAAATATATTAAAAATATATTATATTAAAAATAATAATATATAATAATTAATAGAATGATTAATACAAAGCAATTTGATAATCATTTGAATACTGAAATATTAAATATTTATAAATATAAATGTTTAATAATAAGTATAAGTTGTATATTAATAGAAATTCTAAAATATACATTAAAATTATGATATGAGAAGTTAAGTACTTAACTAGTTCTTCATTACTTTAGTATACAAATAGGAAATTAAACAGGTCACAACTTCGTGTTTTAAATAAAATTGAAAAATAGTAAATTTTAATAAATACTTTATAACCATGTTGGTATGTTTTTTCTCCTTAAACATATAATGTTATTACACATATTCTAGCAAAGTACAATCCATCAGGCTGTTAAACAAGGATTTGGTCCCAGACTAATAGCATTTAATAAAATACGAAAAATTATTTTAAGTAATATTTTGGAAATAATTGTATTACTTTGAGAGTTACTTTTTTTTTCCCGTATTTCAATTCATATTCCAAAGATAGTTATACAATATATTAAATTAATTTTATATTTTGAACAATGCATTCAAATGAAATAAACATTATGGGTGCAGGATGTGTGTACACTAATTGTTAATTTAAAATGTATCTTATAAATATTTAAGTCAATATTTAATATAATTATACCATTAAAATCATATAAAAAAAAATCAGTAGTTAATGAAGTCATAATATATTGTAGGTATTATAAATCTACTTGCCTCAATTTCTCCATACAAGGCTAAAGCTTCAATTAGTTGATCTCTTGTGATAGTATTTGCCAATTTTCTTGAAGTAAATTTAACTGTACAACCAACTAATGATTCTGGAGATAAATACTAAAATGTAAAAGAAAGTGTCTAAATTATTCATTAAAATAAAGATTTGTTATTTAATTAAATTTTATATTAGAAGTGCGAATAGTAGATGATAGAATATACCACAATAACTGTGCTAAATGCTAACTATACTAACTGTGCAAAAACTAACTTCATATTATTATTTCACTAGAAATCAAGATTTAAAAATAACGAAAATTATTTTCAATATAAAAATGAAAAATATTAATTAGGGAAATCAAAGACCCAATTTTGCTTCTTACATAAATATAAAACTCCATAAGTTTTTATACTTACAAATACATAAATGTATATATGGTTAAAATAATTTAAAATATATAAATGATAATACAAATAAGAATAAAATAGAAAACTGAGTGAACACTTACATCACTTATAATGTGTTGAGTTTCATAGAAATCAAATGATTCGGTGTTGTCGTAATTTTCAGGGGAAACCAAAACTTTATTTGCTTGAAGAACTTTCTATAAATGAATATTTAATATATTTTATTTATATAACTGTTCAATTAATATTAATACAAACCTCTTTATTTTCTATGATTTTGCCACTATCAAAATTGTTGTTTGAGTTTATACAGGTATTTGTGAATTCAATATTTGATTCTGAAAAATAGTATTTGTGTTAAAATGTTTAAATAATTTGTGTAATTTAAACATACGGTTTGAACAATTTAAACTGGTGCTATTGTAAATTTGATCAAATGATGGCTGGCTAGATGTAAATAATTTAGGAATACCGTTTTCGACAATTGGCTTAACAGCAGCAGAATTCTAAAGCCAAAATATTAAATTAAATAAATAATAAGTTATTCATTAATATAAATTATAACATAATAAATAAATTTAGAAACAAGTAAACAGCTTTATCAGAAATAATCTGTTAATAATTTACCTGAACGTATATTTATAAACGTAATAATTTCCATCATTTAATATTATAAACATTATATTTATTATTTTAAAATAGTTTATTTAAAATCTAGAAAAATATACATAATAGACATTTTTTATAAAACAAACAATATACTCATTAATTTAATAAATTTAAATATCAAAATAAATAGAAATAACAAAAATGTTTGAATAATAATAATTTCAAATGTTAAAATGTTTTTCCTTGTTAATATTTAAATTTACAGAAAGTTATTTAAATATATTCTAAAAAAAAAAAAAATAAAATAAATAAATAAAAATCTATAATATTTAAATTGACACAATTTTAAGTATACAAATATGATATAATATATAATTATTTAAATTCATTAAAATGTTGGGTAAATTATAAACTCACATGTTTATAAGTATGATATCCATTTGGAATATTTAAAGATACATTATGTAAATTCTTTAAATTCTTCTCGTCAACACTTTGAGTCTTAAACAAATTAATTTATTAATTAATAATTATATTAAATGATTGAGTGAACAAAAAAATTATATTTTTCATACCGTTATTTCATCAGAATTATGTCTAGTAGATAATACAGGTAAATTCCAAGAACAATTAGATTTACAAGTTTTATTTATTGGTACAAATGGCAGTTGAAAATTAATAATCGGTTGTGGTGATTTTATTTCTGGAGATTTCGGTTCACGGTTTCTTGATTTTTTCCAATATGGTTTTATTTGTTTATAATAGCTTTGTGGAAAATAATTTTTTCCTGAAAAAATTTAAACTCATGCTTAGTTATAGTTATTTTAATAGAGTTAAAGTAATGAAACATATAAATTAAAAGCATAACCAAAGTAATCTAAAAGATAATGAAGTAGCCATTAAATATAATAAGTATAATTATATTAAATAAAATATCAATGCACTAAGACATTGTTTTATTCTACTATAATATTCCCTTTAATGATATTACTTTAAAATAATTATTAAAAACATCCCATACATATTTCTCACATACCTCGCCATACTGCATTTACTGGTTGCCTGAAGTCTTTGTTAAAGTCCTCATTATGTGATTGCTTATACCATCTTGATTTATCTGATTGAGGTTTATTGAAATGCTTCTTAAATTGTGGCGGTTCAACAAACCAGTTTTTTTTATTCTTCCGATTATCCTAATAATTTATGATTGGTTAATTTATTTTTAAGTGATACAAATATTAATTTTAAAGGTTAATTAACTACTTCTTGAAATTTAACAGAAAATATTGAACCTGAAAGTTGAAGGACAATTTTTGATGTTGATCTCTAGAATCTGAATAATTATTTCGTTTGAATGGAGCCCAAGTTTTATGATTTTTATTCTTCATAGTATTCTAAAAAAAAATGTTGCATATTAAGAATTTATGTACAATAACTATGCACATTATGAGGCTGAATAATAATCATAAGTATCATATTACAATCAGTGGGACTATAAATAAATCCCATTGGTTTCTCGCACACAAATATTATGTTATATGCTCATTACCAGGGCTCGGAAGTTGTAGCACTAAAAATCAAAAAATATCCATTTAACTTGAAAAAAATGTAATTTTACAAATTATTAGACTCATTAGACGCAGTCTGGACTGATTGAATCATAAAATGTTAACAGAAATGTTAAATTACTTAAATATATTTATAAAATGTACTTATTATTAAATTATTTTATATATTTACCTTGGAAATTATCCTAGATTATTAAAATGTTTGATAATCTAATGCAAAGATACAATAAGGGAATAACAATGACGTCACTAACTATTAATACATCAAATTGTCAATGAAAACATAAAATAATATTTGAGAAAGTCTAATTATTTCCAATAATTAAAATATTTATTAAAAACATAACCAATACAATTATTATCAACAAAATTTGATTATCTCCTGCACTATGTGAAAATATATTCTAAAATAGCAATGTAAACCCTAAATTAGCAAAATAACAATAAAACCTGTAAATATGCAAAAAATAGCAAAAATAACTTTTGTGTATGATATCCAAATAGTGAGAAACATATTTGTATTTTACTTTGGGTGTTCTAAGATGAATCAAGAAAAATATGTATTTGCCAGAACTTCCGGGCCATGCTTATTACAATTTCTATTAACATAAATTTTAACATTTGAGTTATTATTCATTAATACGATTCAACGATTTGGTAACAAAAAAAAAATTGTAATCTAAATATTTTCTGTTAGTTCTTTAAATTGAATTGTTTTTACAATTTAAAACCAATTCAATGTTCAAGTGCTGTGTTTCATATTAAAAGACTATACTTAACACACTTTCAACTTATTAATATGAATCACCACTAACCTCATTTTGTTGTTTTAATTTTAATTTTTTTGACATACCATTAATTGGACTTTGAAAACCAAAATATTAAATCATTTATATCATTTAATTGGTAGAAAGTACTAATAATAAAAAAATGAGTGATAGTTAGCTAGAATGATGATTTGGTATTATTCAAAATTGTTGTGTAATTATTGTTATATATTTCAGTATAATAAAAAATTGGAGATATTAAATTACCAAATTTATTTTGTACATTAATATAAAATTTGGTAACTTATTGTAATTACAAATTATACAGGATGATTTTTTTTATCATAAACCAGTCAAAATCTATGGAAGTATTAGGAATTTTAAAATAATTCATTATAAGATTTTTAAGTTTTATTGTTTTACACCGTTATGATTTTAATCACTTTAACTGTCTCCCTTATTTAATAAAATACTATCAGGTTTGCAACTAATTGTAACAACGAAAATCTATAAACATCTATAAACAAATTTTAAATTTGTTAGTTATTATTAATTAAATGTTTAACCACAGAATACATTTTAAGTAAATACTAAATTAAATATATTATTTAAAACATAAAGTTAAACCAATTATTTTAAATCATATTTTTTGATAAATTTTTTATGTTGTATTTTGGTTAACAATTCAATTGAAAATATACATATGCACTTGTAAACGTATACTATTCAATCAGCATTATTATGTATGGAAATTAGATTAGATATTTTGCTGATTGATACTGAACATTGTATAATTTATTGGTAAATTTAAGCTAAAATGGATTTTTTTTTTAAATTAAATTATACATATTACATATGAATAATAATCATGGTTAAAACATTTTAATATTATTTCAGTAACAATTAGTACAGTTGGTATAATTAATCAAAATAATAATTAACTAGATGACTAAATAGCTCAATTTGAACAGAAATTAATGAAACTTTATTTTGTTTGTTACAGGAATTACACATTATTAATGGTTATGTACATTATTAGATATAATTTAACTAAGATAAAATTTTATTTTGATTTCTGGTTTTTACTGTAGGGTTTGATAAATGATAAATGTTTGATAAATTGCCTTGTAGCAGTAAATTTCACAAATATGTAAGCATTAATAAATCACAAACTTAAATTAATTACTATGAACGCAAAAATCATTTTACTTCAGTTAATTCCTAATACTAACCAAAATATTGACTGGTTCATGATAAAAATCAACCTGTATAGTATGTATGGTAAATATGGTAAAAATAATTTAAAATATATAAAAGACAATATAAACAAGAATATAATAGAAAACTGATTATACACTTACATCACTAAAAATTTGTTGCGTTTTATCAAAGTTAAATGGGTTGGTGTTGTTGTGATTTTCGGGGGAAAACAAAACTTTATTTGTTTGGAGTACTTTCTATAAATTAATATTTAATCTATATTATTCATATTAATATATTTTATTTATATAACTATTTAATTAATATTGATACAAACCTCTTTATTTTCTATGAATTTGCCGTTATTAAACATTTTTTTTGAAATTTTACAGGTATTTGTGAATTCAGTATTTGATTCTGAAAAATAGTATCTATGCGTTAAAATGTTTAAATTATTTGTTTTAATATAAACATACGATCTGAAGACGTTGAACTGATGTTATTGTAAATTTGATTGAATGGCTGGTTAAATGCAAATAATTCATGAGTACTGTTTTTGATAAATGGTTTAGTAGCAGCAGAACTCTAAAGCAAAAAATATTTAATTAAATAAATAATCAATTATTTATAAATATAAATTATTTCATAATTTTTTACATTACAATAAATAAATTCAAAAATAGGTAAACAGCTACATAAGTATATCAATTAACCTGAACTAGTTACAAATATTATATTTATATTATTAGAACAATCATAAATGAAGCAAAAAAAAAAAAAAATTGGTCTATTGATAAATGAAGAAAAGAAACAGCGACTAGCAAAGATGAATATTTTGATATTGAAAACTAAGTGGTTGTGAAAATCTGAAATTTTAAGTACCTGTGTTTGATGCAAAAATCACTGAAAATAATGATTGGAGTATTGAAATGTGTAATTGAATCAATAAAGGTGAAAGGGTATACTACTTCGCTCTAATAAAATACTTAAAATCAAAGATATTTTTTAGAAGCACAAAAATACACCTCTAAACGACAATAGTAAGACCTACAATTACATATGGATATAAAGTACAGCCCATAACAATACGAGTTGAATAAAATGTATAATATTACAAACCTTTAAAAGCAAAGTATTGAAAATAATATGTGAACCCGTTAATGATATTAAAATTAATAGGTATAAGAAAAATAAATAGTCAAAGGAATGATAATAAAATCTGTATCAACAAATTATGTGAAAAGAGAAAGGCTTAAATATATAAAAGAGAGAAAAGTAATTAACAAAGCTTAGAGCAATTATGGAATGGCAACCTAAGAGACTAAAAAAAAAAAAAAAAATGATAGTTAGATGGCATTATAAGACCTAGAAGATTGGAAATTGGAAAGAATTGGTCCTGGGTCACGACGAAGTTAGAGAGCATTGACAGTGTCAGCGAAAACTCTTATTGAGTCAAAGCTATATGATGATGATAATAAATAAATAATTGTTGATTGGAAAAATAATTTTGTTGTAAGCTCAGTTTATCTTATGACACAAAAATATGTTCAAAATAATTTAAGTTCTTAAAATTTTAATTATAATTGGAGATTTTCTCAGAAAATTTGAATATTTAATTAAACACAAAAACTTAAACTATTGTTTCAAGACAGAAAAAAGAAACTAAACAATATAATAAGCATTCAATCATTAGATTTGATTTAAATTAAAAAATATAAAATAAAACATTTATTTATATTTAAGAACGTTTTTTAATATTATTTTTTTAATATTTAAACAGCAGTAACAGAAGAAATTATTTGAGCTGATTATTTTTCTTAGTAATAATAAATAATATTAATAATAAAATAGTAATTAAAATGCAAAAATTTGCATCATTCTTAACCTGGGACTTGTTAATATTATCAAGTGAAAATGAAAAATTTTCCATTTCAATCTTTGACTTTAAGATATCTTCCTGAGCAGCAAAACCTGAAAAATTTTTTTCTGCTTAGAATTAATATTATTAATTATGGTTTAAATTCGTAAAATTTACTCTCACTTGTTGAAATGTTTTTAGAAGAATTTTCTTCCAAAATAACTGTATCCTGTATGTTAAAAATATAATAAATTATTTATTCAATTATGAATAATTACTAATTAAAATTATTTTAGTCTTAATAACTCTTCAAATTGTTTTTGATGAGTTCAAAAATGAAATTTTTTTGCATATTTTGAGGATTTTTACAATTATATACTTATATATATATATATATTATATATAAAACTAACAAATTACTCAAATATCAAAATAATTGCATTGCACAATTAGAGCGTATTTTATGTTATCAAAAGTAAAAGAACGACGATTATCTGTTTATAAATATTTATATTTGAAAAAACTTCTCTCCACGTCCACTTAAGTGATTGGAGACACGACGAACACTAACCGACGTTTTAATTTTTGTTATTATCGAAAATATTATGAAAAAAATAATAAAATTTAGATATAATTTAGAAATAAGAAGAAAATAGAAGAATAGAAATTAATAGATACAACGCAAAAAAGTTTTTCAAAATTACTGGGGAAATAAAAGTTGGTTTTAAGCTACAAACATGGATTATAGTTGAGGATACAGGAACTATGATCACAGAAGAAAAACTAGTCATAAACCAAGGAGCATTTCGAAGACCTCCTGAATTGACCCACAGTAGGGCATGACTTATATCTAAATAGGGACTGCCAAATAGTAGAAATAGATATAGACAGACCCAAATACGAAGAAATTGAGAATTTAATTAAGAGGTGTAGTAATCCGGAAGATACTTGTTATTTATCCTTCACATATCCTTATGTTGTTTATAACCTTGGAATTTTATAACTATTGTAAAACTATTAAATATTAGTATTTTTATTATACATATTAATTTTTAGCCGGATTGTCAAATGTCGTTAAATGCTAAAATTTGTTATTGTGAACGACGGAAAACCTTGATGTTTTTCTTTATCCACGAATCACTTTTTGGTGCCCTTAACTAATTGTCTATGTATACATTTTTAGACATGATATAACTTTACTGTTGTACAGACCGGTAGAGTCGATTATACTATATTGACTTTTCGGACTACCAGTACTCGTGTTTTAGTTAAAATAAATTAATCTTTTAATCATAACAAAATGTTTTATTTTATTTTGACTACAAATCTATCAAGTGATTGAAGAAATTGTTTGCAACAAAGGTGGACTTCGTCGTTAAATCGTATTGAGTCAGTCTCTAGCAACCCGGCTCACTACATAGGCTTAAAAACAACAAAGCCCCAAGAGAGAACAGCATAGTGGCGGAATTACTTAAAAAGGTGATACAATATTGGTGAGCAAAATCATAGAAGTTAATAAGACAGAAAACTGAGACTATTCCAGAAGAATGTAAAACCGCCATTGTAAGTCCAATATTTAAAAGGGAAATCCCACTAAAATTGAGAACTATAGAGGAATCTCATCACTGGACACGTTATAAAATTTTGATATTAGAAAGAATAAACCCGTGTGTCGAAGAAATAGTTGGGAATTACCAATACGGATTTAGGAGAGGAAAATCCACAACAGACCATGTCTTTACATTAAGACAGATAATGTCAAAATATTACAAATTTGAAAAGAACCTGCATTTAGTTTTTGTGGATTATAAGCAGGCATATGATAGTGTAGACACAGAAGAGCTTAGGAAAGCACTGGTAATTTTAGGAATATCCAAAAATTATGTGAACCTAATAATAAACCTAATAACCTAATAAGCATGCTACGGAAAAACATTATGCAGAGTGCATTATTTGCAAGGCATCTCAAATCCTTTTGAAGTTAAATCTGGCGTAAAATAAGGAGACGCTTTGTCACCTGCATTATTCAAATTAGTCCTCGAAAAATTAATAAGAGACACAATAGACGACAGAAAGATGGAGATAAGCAATTAAAAAGTTATGTTAGCTTATACAGATGGGTGAATGGGTGAAACCAAAGAGGGAGTCATAAACTCAACATCTAAGCTCATAAATAAAAGTAAAGGAATAAGATTACATGTTAACGAGGGGAAAATTAAGTACATGGCCGTATCGAAAAGACCGCCAAATATAGATTCCATAGAAGTTGTTAATTTTAAGTACTTGGGTGTGAACTTCAACAACAAAAATGATATGCATATAGAAATTAACGAACGGATCACTAGTGAAAATATATGTTATTTCAATATTATTAAACTTCTGAGATTAAGTTGTTATCTAGAGAATCAAAGATATTACTATATCATACCCACGACTTATGAAATCATACGCCTGTGAAACCTAGTCGTTGACTAAAAGTGATAGCAGAAGATCAGGTTATCAGGTTCGAAAGGAAAGTGTTAAGAACCATATTTGGACCAATTTTTAATCCAGAAAAAAAGATATACGAAAGAAGAAGTAACGAAAATGTAGAGATTCTTTATAATAAGCTAAACATATTCTCTTTTATTGGGAGAAAACGATTAGAATGGTTCGGACATGCATGGGGAGCAGATGGACGGTTAATTAAAAATGTAATTATCAATAAAATAAATAAAACGAGATCTCTAGGACGACCCAAAACCGATGGATTAACGAAGTTGTCAAAGATATAGTAATGATAGATCAGAACGCAACTTTAGAAACAGTTTATCAGAAAGACAAATAAAGAGAGATTTTGATGACAGCGATGGTCCTGAATGGACCACTAAGCTGATAAAGAAGAAGATTATAGGTATTATTCATTATAACATGACAACGAGGCAACGACTGTAATCGACGAGATAAAATCGGATACTAATCGATTAGGAAAAAATAATAAATTGTAGGTATAATAATATTCACTGAAATACGACAACTAAAAATATAATCGGCGAAAAAAAATTGGATAAGTCTTAAATTATCGGCATAATGGTCGACTAGAAATTATAACTAGTGAACTAGTGTGAAATCAGTAAAAATGAATAAAAATATCAAAAATGACTTAAAAAGTAATAAATACCAAAAAATGCAAAATAAAAATTAGTTATTCGGATTCAAATGCTAATGAAACACATTTGTGGCTAGGGAAGCATTGTCTAAAAAGTTCAGAAAAAAAAAAAAATAATGCAAAATGCATGAACTTCCGAGCACTATTCATCACTAAAACGTATACTTTGACAGTGTAAGTGTAACCATGTAAACGTTATAAGAATGTTCTTAAGTACAAATGTATAACGACTTCATAAATTAATTATTTATATTGTTATTACGAGTATATAATAATCAACGTTCTTTGATTTTTGAAAAGTTATTTTCATTATAGTCGAAATTAATACAATACAATGATATTTTGTTTGTAGGTAATGCAGCACCCCATTTATGGTAAAAAGCTGTTAAATCTATTTAGACTCATTATTATAAAATTATTTATATAACATATCTTGACCATGGTCTACATTGAGTATATGAGAAAATACATCTGAAGGAAAAATAGAAGGCCTTCCAGAAAATATTCAAACTAACGATTTGGTACATTTTAAGTACTCTCGCCAATTACATCAAAAAATGAAAACCGGAGACTTTTTAGTTATAAAAATATATTGTTTGATAACCAATGTTTGTTTAAATTTGAAAACCTGTCAAATTCCTAGTTACAAATTGTAATTCTTAAGATAAATAAAAAATTACGTGATATTTTATGTTAATTAATTAAAATATTTTTTATGTATATTAACAAAAATTTGATAAATTTTTTTTTTATATTCATGGCATATTTTGATAGCTTTAAGTACATGAACTTCTAGGTCATAATCATGACATACACTTATTATTAAATAATAAAATTCAATATAAAATATATATGAAGTTAAAAAAAGCTATTTAATCATATATAAAAGGTTTACTCTAAGAATTGGTCGAAAAAGTTAAATAAAATTTGTTATACAACACCTTTTTTTTAAATAGTTTATAATACAATTTTAATGATGTTTTACATAATAATTCTCATCTATTTTAACTAATATGAATGATTCTCAAAGAAATTTATACAAAGTAATTATACAGAAATATATTCATCAATCATATTATAATATAAAATATTAGAAAATATTTTATAACTTGCCTGATCTTGAATACCTATTTCCATAGGTAAATGAGGATTGTTAAGTTCAAAATCATTGGATTCCTGTAACAATATTTATAAAGATCAAAGAATCCACTATTATGAATAAATTATACTTAAAATTTAACTTATAACAATTTATTTATATTGCATATCTAAAATTAAGTGTAAATATATATATATATATTATTACTTCATTTTCAAAGTTAGACAAGAAGGAAAAGTTGTCCAATATATTGTTTGTACATGTATCAGAACTTGGAAGAGAACCTAGGGTATATTAATTATAATAACAGTTAATAATATAATTAAATAATAGTCTTATTATTATAGCATATAGAAAATAAATAAAATTTCACCATTTGAAACATTTTTTCTGGATTCTTCTTTTGAAAGTGTGTCTTCTTCGGAATTCAAAACTTCACAAAAATGTAATGGCGAATTACTCTAAACGGAACAATTAAATTAAAAGGTATTGAAACATGTTATTCAAACAATGTAAATATAAAGTATAATAAATTATTCTCAGTATTAAGTCTAGGTAACTGTATTACATGCTAATTTAGTGGTTAATTTATTATTTTGAGTGTGGTCAGGTTAAGTGAGTATATTTTAATGTCAGTTAAAAACAACAAAACTAATGACATATTTAATAGGCATTTTCATTATTTGTACGTGAGTCAATGGGATTAAAATGCAATAAATAAAAAAAAAAAAAAATGCATTATTTTTTAATAAATCATTAATTTAATTTTCTTGTATGCTGTGGTATTAGGCTGTCGGTAAAAAAGTTGATGAATACATTATCGAAGCTACAATTCTAAACGGAAAGTTTAAAGGCGAAGATGTACTGTTGCCTCGCATCCCAATGATTCCAACAGATATACCTTTCGAATTCAAACTTTGCAGTTTCCGGAGCGACTCGTCTTTGCAATAACCATCAAAAAAGCACAAGGCCAATCACTACAAGTGTGTGGACAGAATTTAGAAAATCCAAGCTTCTCACATGGACATGCACACGGCGTTAGAAAATCTTCTGATTTGTTTGTGTACGCACCAGAAGGAAGAACAAAAAATGTTGTGTATCCAAATGCATTTCAATAAATATCATTCAATTGAATACTTGAATTTTCAGACTTTTCTCGATAAAATGAATAAAATTACATAATGATAAGCTAAATTGAATATCGTTGTAAGATTATTACGTAGTATATTTAATCTTTATATATCTATATGTATAAAAATATAATGCTAGCATAATCACAGGTAGCGAATTTAACCCACAGTTGGAGACACAGAAAAGGTAGAATTTTTAACGGGCTACGAAGTGCAAGGGTTCAGCTAGTATATATATAATGCAAGGAGATATTAAAATTTTCCTATTAGAACATCTCTTAACGAAGAAAAAATACAAAAATCAGATCAAACGAAGTATGTTTTATCTAGGGGCCCATATAAACAGCGATCGCAACATGATAAAAACTAAGCCCGTACTGAAGTTCAAGAAGTTAAAAAACCAAATAATAAAGAACATAAATAGAATACAAGTCAATTAAAGTGATTAAAAATAAAAAAGTTGTTAGAAAAAAAAATGTTAAGAAAATCTTTATAAAAAAAGATAGCTGAGGACAGATGATTTCAAAAATATAGAATATAAATAGCAATACACGAAGTAATCCATCATTTACACAACAAAGAAAATAATAAATAAGGAAAAACCAGATACGAAACGATAAAATGAACGTTTCGGCACATGACCGTTTCTGCGATACGACAGTGCACTTTCCACCGATATGGCAATGTCTACTACAATATTACAGTGGCAAGTGGTATACAAATATTTATATTACTATAAATTATTATTATTATTACTACACGTTAAAATCAGATTTTATCATTTTTAGTCACTCAGCCGAAAGTGAAGTATGTAGCAATATTAATTGTCGTGTATAATCAAGTTTTTTGTGTACAACCATCATCACGTGTTTTTTTTATTATTCAGGAAAGGTAAATTTACATTAAGTCAAAAGTAAAATCAAAAAGAAATAAAAATGTGATTATCGTGCAGGGTTTTATGTACATATTCAATAAATTTAATGTGGACGAAATTAAATTGTTTTGAGGATTACGTCGTAAAAATTTGATATGTCCAGTTCGAATACATACCGGTGCAAACATGATTTTAAAATTTTAAAATGTTTTGCTAAAAATCTTAAAGCGACTAGAATAGAAGCAGACACAGCTTTAACGAGTAAGCGTCAAAGAGCTATGTTCAAGCTGTTTTCTATTTTAAATCTCCGCCTTTACGCTCGGGCGCGGAATCGACTACCGGCCAGACTAAACACGACGATGCAAGGTGAGTAAAAATAATCAGCCCGGGACTGTCGAATGTCAGTAGCACCAGGGGCGTATTTAGGGGAGAGGTGATGAGGGTATTAGAACACCCCCATCGACCGTATTTTATGGTTAGGTTAGGTTAGGTTTCACCAAATGGCAAACTTACTTACAGTATAATTTGAATAAATATTGTATACAACTTGTAGATCTTCCCGAAAAATGCAAGTCCTTAATTTTCTCCAGACGACGTAGCGTGATGCCACAACAATAGATGGTTACACAATCCTTTACGTTCCAAACCATACATACTTAGGTACATAAATATGTACCCTAAGTTTCGATGGTCTCCTCACCTTCACGGCTTAACTATTTTTGCCACCCGCTGGTCTAAGTTTCTCAGATCCGTGGCCAATACATGGTGGGGTTCCCACCCCTCTACCATAATACTTATTTACCAATCTGTCATACGCTCCAAGGTTGATTATAGTTGTTTCTTTTCTAGCTCTTCTGCCCCCGCTCACTTTAATAAACTTAATAGATTACAAATCTCTTGTCTTAGATCCATTATTGGTGCCTTAAGATCCTTCTCCCGCTATTGAAGTCGAAACATCTTGCCAAACACTCCATATAAGAACCAAATGGCTTGCCGATAAATTCTTACTCAAGCAGTTAGCAAACAAAAAACCCTATATCTTCAGTACCTTCCTTGAGGTTTATTACTCTTGGCGATATGTCCAAAAGACACCACCAGTTCTCGCCTTAATAGCGCATTCTCTTGTAGCCACATGCAATTATACTATCCAAACTAACAAACTTCCACTATATGAAACTAATTTCCAATCCTTACTTTTTTCCCCTATCACTCACCTAAATAATATCTTTCAAAAATCACTCGCGAACCATTCTAATTTCCGCACCACCCAATTATGTGAACAATATCTTTCTCGATTTCATTCAAAACACCTTCCCGCTCTTCATCCTAATTTTCACGGACGGCTCCGTCTCTTCCCTATCAGCTGGATATTTTTTTTATATCGCGAAGTTTCACATTTCCTTCTCTAACAATCTACCTCCCACGGCATCTCCTTTCACAGCTGAATGCTTCGCTAAAATTGAAGCACTCAACACAATCTCATCCTTATCTCCAAATAAATATCTCATCGCCACTGACTCCCTGTCCTGTCTTCAAGCCCTCTTCTTTAACGTTTTCAAATCACATCTCTCTCCTCTCATAATCACTATCAGACATATTTTATTTTCTCTTACGAAATCTGGCTAGGACATTCAATTCATACTGGTACCAGGCCACACTGGAACTGCGGGAAATGAATTTGTTGACAAGCTAGCTAAATTCTCTGCTTCCCTCAAATGCCCTCCAAGTACGAAAATTCCATGGTCTGATTTTATTCCCATCCTGTAATCCTAACCTGTACATCTATTCTTTGGCTTAGACACTGGGGTTCACTCCCTCCTTACTTCGCCACCTGATATACAAAAATATCTCCAACCATACCAACATTACCATGGTTTCATAACCTCGATCTTTCTCGAAAATGCATAACATCGTTCTCCCGCCTCCGGTTTGGTCATACACGACTTCCTTCTCATTTCCTTAAACTGTCACTGAACCATTCTCCTCGCTGCACACTACACAATGACCCAATGGTCTGTGATATTAAACATCTACTCTTCATCTGTCCCAGCTTATCAACACATCGTGACCACCTATTATCTATTTTGAATACCTCCAACATCCCTTTCGACTTTATAAGTATACTTTCAAACCAACAAAAAAACATCATAATAAATATATTATCTTTAACCATTCAGGCTTTTTAATCTAATTTTATATTGTACTGTTTCTATGGTATTTGTAACTGTAATTGTATTTTGTAATTTGTAATTGTATTTTTAATTGTAATTGTTGAAACTAACTTTGTAGCCACAAAGTTAAAAAAAAAAAAAAAACTTGTAGATTTTACATACACTGTCTTAATTTAATTATTTATATAAATACATGGTATTTATTAACATAACACAGGGGTGGGGGGTGGGTGCAGACCATGAGTTGATTACATTTTAAAACACCCCTGTTAAATGAATCCTGGATACGCCACTGGGTAGCACCGTATACAGAATGCGATAAATAAATTTAATAATTTATTAATGCACAATTTAACTTTAATTACATTTTTTTTTCACTTTTAATTTTCGCCGAAAATCTTAGATTTACAAACGATAACGAATATCAATATAAATAGTTTAAAATATAGAGAGAAAGTTTCTTAAAAACAAAATATGTGAATGATAGTGAAATATAGAGAAATCTCATGTGCTGTAAAAAAATTTGTTAAAAATCTATTTTCTGGTATAAAATTGATAAAAATAAAAGAATAATTTACCTTATTTGTTATATTTGCTTCATTATCAAATGGCTCGCCTTTAATATTGAACGGTTGATTTTTTCTGTTCTGAAAATATTTTTAAGAAAAATTGATAAGTTTTCTTGTAGTAAAATTTAATATAGTATCAATAATGAAAAAATATATTAATATATTATGTTTTTACTTGATATTAGATATTTTTTTTTTATTAATTTGTTTAATTTATTGCTTTACTCTTACATATTGTTATTATATACTATTTAAAGACGATAATGAAGATTTTTTGTACAACTTGTTTTTAAATTTGTCCATGAATATAAGGGATAATGAAACCAATTATTTAGATAAATGATGGTCTGAACAGCGTTATTTGTATTGTTAATTGATAATACGTAAAAATATTTATTATAAAACAATAGGTGGTGTATGTTTATTAAGACTTTTAAAATATTAGATACATATTAACAAAAATCGTGATGCATACAGGCCTATTCGACGATGTCACAGTACACAAACATAGAATGCAATTAGTGTTTATTTTTCGATATTTATTCATGAAGCTAAATTCAAAAATAAATACTTGTTTGTAATAACAAGTGGTTCTAAATCCTCAATAATTATCATTATTTCATTTAACAAAAAAATAAAATAAAATTTAACTTAAAATCTTACAACCATTTAGATATTTTATGTATTTCATGTAAGAATTATCAACATTACTTCCTTTATTAATTATTCAGCTTTAAAAGCAATCAACTTTATCGGGCTTATCAATGTTATTAGTGAAAAAATAAATATAATTAATAAGCCTTCGTAAATTAACTTCAAATTAACTGAAACTTACCCATAAACCTGTGATGAAACCAAAAAAATAGTAACTAGGAGTTAACAAATTTAAAATTTAATTTCTTCATGGTGAAACTGTGATTAATTAATATACATATTTTTATACTTGTATTTACATCATAATTAATAAATAATAAAAGAAATAAAAGAAAATTTAAATCAAATATTTTTATACTCAATCTAAAATAATAAATGATAAGAATATCAATTAAGTCTATTAAAATGGTGGAAATAAATAACGATTTTATGAAATTGATAGTTTTATAATAATTTATGGATATAAATATAACTAATATAAATATTATAAATATATTCTAAATATAACTATTATTAATTTATTAAGTTAAATTTAAATATTGAAAATAAAAAAAATTTCATACCCATAAGTTCTCACTGCAAAAGGAAAATGTTTCCAATTCATTCTGTGTGTTGGATTCTGAAATTAGATCAGAAGTGTTGAAACTGCCTAAAAATATATATATACTTATATTAATTAAGGATCTAAAATACAAAAGCATAAACACTAGTATTTTAGTATAAACAAATATAAACTAATATATTTGTAAAGAATACTATCAGACAGATTTTGGGGCAACTTTTTTTCAATAGCACTAAAATATTTCAATATGTCTTGAAAACAACAATAAATTAAAATTGAATGTAGTATAAATGAAATATATGAAATTAAAAATATTTTATTTTGTGTACATGTAATATCCTTGTAATAATAAGTATACCTTATTAATACAACTGATATTTATTTATTTAATAAAAATCTATTTACTTAAAAATTAATAAAAATCCTTAAAAACTAAAAGTTATAATTTACAATGAGTCATAATATTAAAAATAATATAGTCAAAATATTTTTTTTCTTGTTTAAAACTTATTACTTATTAAATCTATGGATTAAACATTTAATAGAAATTTGAACACGAAAATAAATGTGGAAAAAACAAAAGTACTCATATGTGGAGGGAAAATTAAACCAAAGTACATATAAAACTACATAACATATAAACATAGGAAACTAAATAATAAAATAATTAGATGATTTAATATACCTTAGGTGCATTCAAGAATAATGGGAGAAATAAGAGTGAAATAATAAAGCATATGGCAAAGCCAAAATAGCCTTAATAAATAAATCAATAATAAATAATAAGAAAACTTTACTTACATCAAGGAACATAAGTTTAGAACAAAAAAAATCTATTGAAAACATATGTATGGAGTTCAACTCTAAATGGGCAGAAACAATGGAAGGATGAAAGAGACTTGTTGAAAAACAAGTGTTTGAAATGTAGTGATATAGGAGAATATTAAGGAAATGTTGAATGAACAGAATAGCCAATAAAGAACTGTAATGAATATCAGAAGGAAAGTTAATATGGATAAAATAGTTAGAACACAAAACTAATGGACAGGCCATATAATGCAACATGAAGGATTATTAAAATTGATTATAAAAGGAAACATGGATGGACAAAATCATAAGAGAAGATCATGATTAGAATATATTCAACAATTAAGGACTAAGATATGACTCATGTGTAAAATAAAGTGGATTATAGAGAACAATGGAAGATGGCTTCAAACCAAACTACGGGATTGAAACCATAGAGGTATAAATACTAGTAAAGAATGACATTTTAAATTACCATTAACATCATCGGTTCCTGGTTCTTGCTTAATACTAAGTTGTTGTTCTCCCTAAAAATAAGTATGAAAATGTTAAGATTAGAAAATATTATTTTATCTTGAAAAGGTATAGCTTTATTCAAATTAATATATGTGCATAAATTAATTTTATTTTGTATAATAAATGGAACTAAAGTAGAAAATGTACAAATTTTTTTTTTTTTTGTCAGAATCATTATGAATTTGAAATGGTTATTATAAAGATTTCAAATGAAGGAATACACAATACAATAGTATCATTTTTCTTCATTATATGTAACTTGATCAATGATTTAAACATTATATTATCAAAAAATACACAAATTTAAGTCTTAAATCTGGGTCAAAAGGAAATTTTTAATACTCCCTCCTCTTTTTTTTTTTTACAGTTAACTAACTTAAAAAAACCAAAACATAACACAATCTAAAAATTAATATGGTAATCCAAGTGTGATTTAATCTATGTTGTTTTTCAGCTTTCTAATAGTGTATACATATTTATTATGATACCATGGTATTTATCAGAAAGAAAGTTTTAACAGAAACATTATTTTTGATGAGTAGTTGTTTAAACAGGTGTATAGCACAACATTTAAGAAATAGCAGAATATTACCAGAACTAGACAACAACACAGATTTCTTTAAATGTAATTTTATTTTGCTGAAAATCCAACCAAGTTCAATTCCCAAAATAATCTTTCTAAGTATTTGTTCATTAAATCCAATCCCATACTCAATTAATCTTGTAAATTAATTTGAAATATGTTTTGCAAGAGATGATTTATCCTCATTTAAGAGGATAAACCTAGAATTTTTGATGCAAAATATTGCTTTCGTATTTCTAATGGTACGAGGTATTCAATAATGATAAATAGTGTTTTTAAATCTTTTTTTTTTTTGTGTTAGCAAGGTGACATTTACAATGTTTTGTTGGAAGCATTTTCAAAAATATAAATATTTATGTAGATTGGTATAATAATAATAAAATATTTAGATTAAACTTAAGAGAATAAATCAAAGACCTCTAAACTAAATTCAAAAATGTTTTTTAAAATTACTTTATAAATTACATTTATAAAAATAATATTATTGTTCCTCTTTCTGAAAGGGGATCAGAATATTTCCACGGTTTCTTAGTCAATTGTAAAAGGCGATTAAATGAGGTTGCATCAGATTAACAGCAGGTGTAAACATTTTGTCAAAGAGATGAGGAGTTCGAAACAAAACCTAGGTGGTTTGTCCCAAATCAGATGTGCGTGGGAATGACAAAGTTAGAGATAGAGGCGGCTTAGATAATGAAGTATGTGATACCAGCTAGACAGCCAGTGTGGTAGCCGGTTTAAAAATTATGTGTTCACATCTACCCAACACGAATCATGTTAATAGTGTAAAAACATCACCGTTGTGCCTCGGATTAAATCTTTGTCTAGGTATGAGAGATAAATGGAATGTTGAAATTTAATAGGGAGAAGTAGATAATTAGTGAAAGTATTGAGGAGGATTAAAGTTAATATTTGTTGTGTTCAGGAAAGTAAGTGGAAAGGAGGGAAAATAAAAAACATTAGGAGGGCAATAAAATAATATATTCAGGTAAGACTAGTACTAGGAATGGAGTTGGAATAACATTGGATGATGAGATGAAAACTAACGTGGCATATGTAAGAAGAAAAAATGAGAATTATCATGGTAAAATTGGTATTTGATAAAAAAGTATTAAACATAATAAGTGCATATGCGCTATAAATAGAATGTGAAAAGATAAGGAAGAGTTTTGGCAAGAGATGGATGAGATGATATAAGGAATATCAGAAAATTAAGATATTGTGGTTGGTGTTGATACGAATGAAAATATAGGTAGAGAGAAAGAGAGAGAGAGTAAATATAAAGGAAAGAAAGTTTATTATATTTTATAGTAAATAACACATAAATCATAACAATTATAATTATTTATATTAATTAAAATATATATTTTTTTAAATTCCAGGTAAATTTATTTATTATTATTATTAATTATGTATCATTATACATTTATTTTTCCTAAATTATTACTTTTGTGATAAAATATACTTCATGAGTCAATTTATCTAAGCATGAGTAGTGGTGTTCAGATTATATATGCTAGTCACAAAAGGTTTAAATATTAGTACCCCTTTCCCAAAGACCAAATTCTTAATTATATCATGGACATCAATATATTTTATATTTCCATCATAACATATAACTATTAAAAATAAAACTAACAAAAAAAAATTAAAATAAAATAACTTATTTTTAAAATTTAAAATTCCAGTTAAAAAAAAAATTACACAATGATTCCTAAGAAAGAAAGTAATTAAGTGTTAAAATAAGTAAATTCTCTTTAAAAACATAAAAACAGCTTTCGATACCATTGATAGGTATAACCATAACCATAACACTCTTGCACATTAAAACTATTAAAATAATTATGGTATAAATGAATAATTATTTAAATAAATCTTTATATGAAAAAACTTATTTTTAGCCATACTTTATTGATTATATTTGTTTAAATAATAAAGAAAAAAAGAAAAATCACTTACAGGAGGAAGTGTTTTATAGAAAACATTCCAATTAGCTTCATTTGGATTATGATCATACACAGCATAATGTTCATCGTCTTCAAGAAGTTCAAAAATGGCTGGATTTTTACTAAAATGAGTCAATTTTTTTAATGAGTTAAAATAAATAATAAATAAATGCAGTAAAAATATATAAAAATAATTACCCAATATATTCAATATCGTTTGATTTTGTACTGATCTCATTGACCTTAAGAATCACATAAAAAATAAGTATGAAACTTGATTATTTAATACTAATTAAATTAATTTTTTTACTTATAAATCATAATTTTTCAAAAATATAATTATGAGTTAGGGACTTAATATATCTTACTTTACTATTAGGCTATCTGATGAAAAGTATACTTGATAATTAGTAACCATCTTGATTATCAACATTTTTTTTGTTGAAAAAAGTTAATACCAATAAAGGTAATCAATGATCTCAATTTAATTTAATTTTAATTAATTTCTAAACACTTTTAGATAAGTATATAAGTTAAATAAATAAGTATTTAATATTTTAAGAAAAAACTGATTTATATATATTTTTTAATTGATCCTTAATCCCAGCAACTATGGCCATTAGCTGTTAGTAGGGTTATTGTGGGGTTTTTTTTATAGCGTTTTGGAATAGATTTTAACACGTGAGTGTTTGCATATTGGCAGAGTTTCGAATGGGCATCCGTAGGTTTCTGCCATAACCAATTGGGGGACAGCAGCCTCTCTCTCTAAACAGCTGTTTATCTACTCAGAGAGAAGTACCACCCAAACCGGTGATGGTGCGCGTTGCAACCGACACTTTAAACCGTTTAGACACTTCACGTACTTCAAACCGATTTATAATTTATAGGTAATAGTTATATTCTATAATAATGAATATGGATATTCATGTACTTACCAAATCAGATTTATTAATCCCCATTAATGTTTTACCGACACCTAATTCATTTTTTTTATGATCCACTGGTGGTTCGCATTTATCCAATTCATTATTTTTATCCTCTAATGGTAACTCTTCGCCATCGGATGAATAACCTTCAAGAAATTTGTCTATTCTAAGGTAAAAACAACAAATGAATGTCATGTTAGAAAACAATTATAGATTAATCATTATCATCTCATGGATTTATAACTCTGGTACAGTTATAGAGTCAATTTTTTTTCTTCTTAATAATTCACTTAATTCCAAATTATGCATAGACTTTAATACTAAGAAAAAAATATTTAGATATCTGTATGATTATAATCTCTAATTATGTATGGTGTCAGGAAAGTGGCGATCCCACAGCCCAATATACTACAAAGTATATTGCAATAGCCTCCACACTAACTTTAAGTAGTTGGTGTGGACTGGTCCTCCAGGTTGGGGGTTGAGCGTCGAGTTAACAATCTGACCTCAGAAAAAGCACCTATTAAGAAACCTTCAAATGGGCCTTGGAATTATATTGATCATGGTAAACGACTGGATTTAGAAACTGGACTTCATTTGGGAACTTGGAATATTAGAACACTTAACAAACTGGGAGCATTTAAATATGTCTTAGATGCTAAAGACTCATATAAATTAGACATCCTAGCACTACAAGAAGTACGATGGCCAGATAGTGGAAACATTAGAACAGGTAATACAAAACTATTTTACAGCAAAACTAAAAATGGAAGGCAAAATGGAGTAGGTTTCATGATTAATAAGAAAATTCTTTATAACTTAAAGAGTTTCACATCTGTAAATAACATCATTTGCTACAAAAAAAATATCTGGACGACATTTTGATCTAATTCTAATTAACTGCTACACTCCTACAGAGAACAAAGTCGATGATATAAAGGAAAAGTTTTATGATGAACTAGAGACAGTGATAAATAGCTTACCTACTCACTGTTTGAAAATGATAGTGGGTGATTTTAATGCTAAAATAAGTAGAGAAAACATATACAGACCCATAATAGGACCAGATAGCCTGCATGAAATAAGTGATGACAATGGTACAAGACTAATTCACTTTGCTAAATCACAAGGATTAATAATTAGTAGCACATACTTTCCAAGAAAATATATTCACAAATACACTTGGGTCTCTTCAAATGGTTGAGCTCACAATCAAATAGATCATATAATGATAAATAAAAGACACACCAGTTGTATCAGAAAGGTAAGAAGTTTTAGAGGAGCGGATGCTGACTCAGACCATTACTTATTATTTGCATAGTTTAATCTTAGGCTCTCTACAAAATGGAATATGGTGAAAAAATCAACTAGAGAAAAGTATAATATGCTTGCGAGACATGGTCCTTAACAAAAGGCGACGAAAGGAAATTAATAATATTTGAGAGAAAAGACTCCGGAACATCTATGGACCACGTTTCAACCAAGAAACCAATACCTACCAAAGAAGAAAAAACAATGAATTGCAAAAACTGTACAACAGACTAAATATCTTAGCGTTTATTAGAAACAAACGTAGAGTGATTTGGACACACTTGGAGAGCAGATGGACTATTTGTAAAAAAATTACTTGTTGAAAAAATTAACAAAACAAGGGCCCTAGGAAGACCAAAAATCCGGTGGATAGATGTGATAACCAGAGACCTGAAAGAGATAGGTCAAAATGTAACTTTTGAGCTGACATACAACAGAGATAGATGGCGAGACCTCTTGAAAGCAGCAATGGTCCTTAATGGACTGGTAAGCTGAGAAGAATCTCTAATTATAATATTGTTTTATTTTTACATAATTTATACGAGTATTATTAGTAAGGAATTATTAAGATTATTATTATAATATAATTTGCTGTGCTTTAGTTTTTGGGTATAAAATAAATATTGTTATTATTATAATAACTTTACTGTATTCTTATAGATAAATTAAATAGGTCGTGAACAAAGAATTCTCAAATCTCAATTATTTTTTTATTAGTTATAATTATTATTATTTAAATACTATTAGAGTTGAACAAACTTCTAATCATAAACTTATTTCAATAAATTATGAATTGATCTAATAAGGAATATTTAAGATAAAATAATAAAATAAATAGTATTTATTATACAAATATAATTAAATTGTTAATATACATCAGAGATGACAAATAATAAACAATATATTGATTATCATAAATAAATGACATTATCATAAAGATCTACACTCAAAAACTCTAATGATATATTTATTATTATATTATATATATATATTATATTTACTATTTTGTTGTTAATTAAAATGTGGTAAAGAAAGACACAGGTATATATAATTGATAATAAAAATATAGTAAACAAAGTTTTTATTCCTGTGACATGTTCGGGAAACATTAAAAAGAAAAATTTTAGATATATTTTATATATTATAAATATTATTATTATAATATTATTTTATATATTTTTTATATTTTAACTGTATATTATATATATATCTTCTAGGTATAGGTAAATGAAAATATTTCTATACTTTTTAATTTATAAAAAGGACTAATAGTCTACAGAAAAAATTGTCTTACAAAACTTTAGTTGATTAATTGAATTTTTTATCAATTGTACTTAGTACTTAAATGTCAATAGATAAGGCTAATTGCAATTGATTAATGCCAGTTATCATATTACAGAAATATAGAAGACAATTTACCAAACTATGACCAACAATCCAAGTTTGTATATAAAATATATTGAATGATTATTAATTTAGTTTAACTTGGCATTATTTAGAATGCAACTTATTAATTATTTTTTATTGATACTAAGTATAAAATTACATTAATGTTGAGACATAAATAGTAACATGGTTATAATATGCATTCATGAACAAATGTACAAACAGTACTTAATACAAAGGCATTTTTTTTCTTCAATGTCAGTAATGTTCGGTAATGTTGAAATTATATTTGCTTGACACCAAACATAATGTAGTACTATAGGTATATTAATAATATTGTTTTTCTATTAACAAGTAACAATATAGATCTTTAAAACCATACAATCATGACAGTTATGAATTAGGTATTTTATCTAAACTATAAATTTGGCTGAACTTTTGTAATTTATTGCCACAAGCATTATTCAAAATAATGAAACAAAATTGTTGAAAAATTAGTTGGAACCAACATAAAAGTGAACAAGTTTAACTAGCTCAAGCTGCTATATTACAAATTAAAATTAAATCAAAGCCAAGCCGTAAAAACCACATTAAATGATTGTTTATTCATAAAATCATTTAACATCGAAAGTTATCAAATAAAGTTTGGAAGAGATCCCAATAATGATGTTCAGGCCATGTTTTAGACATATTTCTCTAAATTCGAGATAGGTGTGTACATTTAACGACCAGAATCATCCACTAGACATTGAAAGTATATAACAATCAAAAAATAATGTAAGGCTTTTGATTATGACCATAGTTAAAACACAACTTTTGAACAACATGCAATATTATTTATTTAACAAAGTTAAAAATTTGTTTTTTTTCTGTCCAATCGTAAAGACGTTTTCTAACACCACGACGAGTATATCACAAGGTAATAATAGAAATACGATCGTGATTCGTCAACAGTGTAGTGGCAAAAAAGCAAGGAAGCATTCAAGTGTGCGCGGGGAAACTGGACGGAAAGTGAAATTCGTACGACACCGACACTTTACGTTCGTCCGGCACACGATAGCGCGGGCGGGCCGTTACTTACTCGCGTAGTATATCCATGTTGCTGCCGCCAACGTTCAGGTCATCTTGGCCGTCATCGATGGGCAGTGACATGTTTGAGGACGGTTGTTGTAGAAGAGCTGCAGCAACGGACGGACGGACGTCGACGAAGCGCAAGATCAAAAGACAGGACGGGGCGCGGAAGAAATGAAACGCGAACGTCGATTGTCGGGCATGCGCGAACACTCGTATCACGTGCGCACCCGTAGTACATGCGCAACGGCCATTTTCAAAGTTCTCGGTCGGCGGTGGGAAGGGAGTCGGCGGCGACGCGTCAGTTCATCGAAACGTCAATTCGTACAAACGTGTCATATCGAATACGAAAATTGATATCAGTGCAGTTTCGGAACAAATGTATTGATATCACTAGGTATCGTACGGAGGAGTACGTTTGAAGTTAAACCGGTATTATAATTATAATTGGTAAAAATCAATTTGATAATCTATTTTATAGTACTTTTACGTAGACATGAATAAAGTATCAAACAATGGTATCGATACCAAAAGCACTAGTATCGATAGTTTACCACGTATTAACAGCAGGTGTTGTGCATAGGGATTAGAGTTTTAATTTTGAAAATATCGGCCCAAGAGTACAAAAAAAAAAAAAAAATGTGGTTATAATTTTCCTTAAATTTTTATTTAATATTACATAATATAAAAATAATAAAATAAAGTAATTTAGCAGTGTTTTTCGCAGCGTTTAATAAATTTTTTTTCATTTTTTATTCCTTCAAAGAACTCCGAAAAATGTTATTTCTTATAACTAGGGATAAGGGATAAGGAATAAGGGACTTATAGTTCAAAAAAATACACAAATATGCATGCAAATATGCTTCTAAAATCATTAAAATATGCATGAGAACATGCATTTATATGCATTAATAAAAAAAGACCACATAGTACGCAAAATAAAACGTGTCCATCGGATGTAAATGTATCTTTAAACTCCGAAATAAAATTTTGTAGTCGGCTACTCGTAGACTGTTGTACTTTCGACATTACACAATGTTACAAAATGTACAAGTACGACGTTTTACGTATGGTTCATTTTAGTGTGGTTGCGAGACGTAAAAACGACAGATAATAATCGACTGAACTGGACACTAAACAAATAATCTATTATTCTATATCGACTATTATTTTTATCGACATCCGGTCGATATCCAACGGATTATACGGTCGATACGGGTTTATAGTATTATTTATGCTTACACAAAAATTATAACGAGATATGAGAGGTAGTTTGTAGATAACGTATTACTAGATGTATAAAGCCGCGTCCAGACCAAGAAACATTTGTCGCAAACATGTGTTATCGACAATGTTTCGACAAAAATCAGAATTGTTTCTAAAATTTGTCTCTGACAATTGTGTCGGCGATATTGTTATCGACAAATTTTTGTGTTCCATCCGAAGTGGGAAAAATTTGACAAAGTTTATAAACATTTTCTCTGACAATGAATTGACTCGTCCAGACCGGTCAAATTCTGTTGATAAACATTTAGTAAATGCATCATATTTTATTTATTTATTTGGTTTTTGTTCAGTTTTGCCTCATCCGCCTATACGTAGTGCATATTTTTATTTTATTTTATTATTATTTTTACTCTTATATATTATATTATATTAAATTCTCCAGATAGACCAATGTCACCACGTTTAAGATTAGTCATTAAATCATTACCACTATATTTCTGCTATGTCTAGCTAGGACGAACCCAATCTCTTTTCGGAAGCCTTTCTTGCTTATAAACTAAAAATTACACAAGCATATGCGGCAATCACCACGTCATTCTCGTTCCACATTTTGTCCAAGATTAAATGTTTATCAAATATGTTGCTTTGATGCGGACGCGCTTGTTTTTAAATTTTATCGGTGACATTTCAAGAAACATTTTGTCACCGACATTGGAGACAAAGTCGGCGACAAATGTTTCTTGGTCTGGACGCGGCTTTAAGTCCTCTTAGTACATTTTTTTCTTCGATCGGTTGTCTACCGACATGTCACATGCGAACAATTTAGTTAATCAATAAGATACCAATACTCGGCGCACGTTAAGAGCATGACCGGGCGGCGGACGACTTAGTGTCCGTCATACGCAGCCAGCTTTAAATTGCTTTTCCAAAAATCAGCTCATAGTTGTACAGCACTGTCCCAAATGTGAACCATACACACTAATACACTGTGCTGTGACCACACGCATGTGGTTTAGCCCTGTACTCTTCGTGTAATATTAAATTGTGCAATTTGGTTTTTAAGACCTTATTTTTTTTTGTGAAATATTTTATTAATATTAATAAATATGTCATATGAAGATTCAACATAATATTATTACGATATAATTATACCTATTGAAAATTACTTTTTGTAATATTAAAATACGTATTTTTAATTTTTAGATTTTGATTTATAAAGATTTATTGGTTTTCTTAGTTACTGTTAGGGTATCAAAATAATATACCCGTATTTCTAAAATATAACAAATGTAAAATAAATGTAAAGTACCTATTAGTTATTCAACACAGAGGTGCATTTGAGTTGGAGCAATAGGAGCATTTGCCCCTTCAAGATTTATTTTTTTACTCTTTTGCAGAAGTTTTAATTATTAATTGGATTGACTTTACTTAATATTCATAGAACAGGGACATTCAAATATATGAGGTGACTGGTTTGTTTGCTGCAGTCACTAACTGCTAAATAGGTATATTTTAATTCCTAACTACAATGGTTTACTATAATTAAAAGCCTAAGTCACGTGGTGTAAAATCCTCAATAGCTTCATAGCAATTATTCGATTATTTGTTTTCATTATTATCATAATATAATAGTTACATATATAAAAAGCAAACATTTCCGGGTACTCCGTGTAAAATCCATTAATCATATTAAAATTTACTAAATATTCATAGGAACAGAGACATTCAAATAGATGAGGTAACTGATTTGTTTACTACCATGAAAAAAGGAATATAGTCCTTGTATTATACTTATTTTATGACAATTTATACATATATACATAATTTATATATATATATATATATATATATATATATATGTAATATTATATACATGTATGTGTATAATAATATTTTATATTGCATAATAAGAAGTTATATAAATTTTATTCGTGTATACACTGTATTACGAAATATGTAATGTTTGTTTTCCGTAAGTAAAATTAGATCCTTCTAGGCTATAATGAAACAAGTCCGATTGCTGACTGGTATTTTTGTTGGGGGGGGATGAGACTCCCCCCCAATACTCCCCCCCCTCAGAACGGCTGTATATACATAGGTACACATTACATACTATGTACCTAGTATATAATATCGTAGGTATTTAAAATTAATTGCTGCAACTTGTATAATGTATCTTATTGGATTTGTCGCAGATTGTATAATCAGTGCTGGATTAAACATTTGTGGGTCCCTAGGCAATTACAATTTTGGGCCCTACCAAATTATTTTTTTACATACATCTTTAACATTACCGTCCAATAATTAAAATAAACAGTTTTGATAATAACCAACTATTATCGATGTATAAAATCGTGTTTATTACATTTTTTTATTCGCACGAAAAATTAATTAATTATTACATTATTCTATTTTTATCAAAATAATTGTATTATTATTACTGCATATAACACCTAAAACTAAATATATATTATATTTGATAATTAATTTTGTCCTGTAAATTCGTAAATAAAAAAAATATAGTTTTCCGTTTTCACAGGGCCCCTTTAATGAGTGAGGCCCTAAGGCGGGTGCCTACTCCGCCTAATAGGTAATCCGGCACTATATATTATGCATAAAGTTATTATGTGATGACATCTAGATTGAATCAAGATGCACTTGAAGTAAAATAAAAATTAACAATTGTCTAAAAATGAGTTAAATTATATTTTATATGTATTTTTAGAGGTTTTTTGGAATGATGAGGTCTGATTGTGGGTCAAATGTTCACCCAGACTCAGTTCTTTATATATAAATGTTTTGTCTAATTTCCATATATTCATTAGTTAAGCCACCAAAGGGTAGCAATGTTTCTGGAGGTGAAATGTTGGAAACCCTGATGACCTTAGAAGTGTTACTGAAAATGTTTCAAAAAAAGTAAAATTTCTTGGGAGGATAGCATGGATCGTATATTGGACCAAGGGATACATGCGACGATCTTACAGAAATAATTGAAAGAACTCCTAATAATCCAAATTATTTTATAATAACATACATATCTGAATATATTAGACGCAAAGCAATACGTTTTTCTATCTGTCAGAACTGTCAAAATAGATTGAAGTTAAACAACTTTGAAAAACATAACAGAAATGAAGTGTTAGAAGTGCGTAGCAGAGGAGGATTATTTTTGAGGTTTTAGTAATGGGTTTTATGATTTAATTTCAATATTAGAATCAGTTATTGTTAAAACAATTGAAATTATTAAATTTAATGTAGATACATTTTTTGATGATGCCAGTATATTAGAAAATGTTGAAAACTTGCCACTTATTAGTTGCATTAAATATTGTTGAGAATTTACTCAATGAATACTTCATTTTTATATTGTAACAAGGATGCATATGGTTTGTAAAAGATCAAATAATGTTATTGACAACAATGCAAAAGATAAAACACGAGCACTCAGGAAGACCTCAAAACATTAGAACGTTGGAAAATGTTAATAATATTATTATTATTATTACTATTTTATTAATTTATTTCTTATGTAATAAGTCCTTATTTTGTACACCTAGATATTTCAATTAAGTATAAAGGTCAGAAAAATTACATCATTAATATTTTATTGATAATTGTGTTTATTACCTATTGTACAAAATATGTATATTACTACTAATAATTATCAAACACCAGTTTACAGTTAATAATTATTTTATATCTACAATATTATATCATTTATATCGCATTCTTTATTTTGGAAATAAATGCCAAATACTTCCAAAATTACTCTATGTCTATATCATGAAGAATAAACATAGACATATAAATAAATATTTTACACCCAATAATACCTATAAATAAATATTTATCTGTAAATGAGAATAAAAAACTTTATTTTTCATGCCTCATGGTCTGTAGTCTGAATGCATTTGTCAATTTGTCATATTGTTCAAATATTTCTAGTATAACCATCGAACGACGTGCAACCCGTAGTGATTCCGTGCAACTTTTATTATACGAACGAAAACTGGTCTGATTTTATCAGCGAATGTGAGCTCTTTTATCTTTATTCTTCATGGTATTATGTTAAGTATTTTCTTGCTGCAGTTTAAATATCGAATTTTAGAAAGAGAATAATTTTGCCTCAGTTTACATATAACCAGTCAGATGGCTCATTATATAGGGGTTTTCGAGGACTAACAATATGGTTATACCGACTGCTGATAGGTAGCGTTGTATCAATGAACAAATACAAATGAAACCCAACGTATAGCGGTCGGTGTATTACGAATTTTATCAAACAACCAACAACCGACTGTCGTGTTCGTAATCGGCGTTTATACCAAAATAGATTTCTGAATAAAACAAGTCGCATTAGTTAAAATTATTTATATAACACCTACCAGAATATTGGAAAAATATAAGAACAATATTCAAATAAATAAATAAATCCTAAAACACAATCTTAATAACAATATTATTAATTCAAATAAATTATTAATAAATGTAATTTTGATAGTACAAACATTAGATAATAATAAATATAAGAAGGCAATGAATCATGAAATTAAATATGATTTAAAATTTTAAATTTTGACACTTAAGCTTGTTGTGATGTAGTGGAAGTTGTTTTTAAATATTTTTCAGTTTAATAATTTTTCAATTATGATTAATTTATGTTCTTTACAATCATAATCATTAAACCACTGGTTAATTAAAACATCCACTTTTTTTTTTTATAGCAATACAGTATTTTTCAAAAATATTTAAAATATGATTACTTATTTTATTAAAATAAAAAGAGGGTGTTTTAAGTCAGATATTATCATTTTCAAAAGAACTTTATTTATTAAAATAATTTGATTTTTTTTCATTTAAATTTTTTATAGTTAAAAAATTATTTCAGCACAGGTGACAGTTAATTTTTTTTTTTACATAAAATATTCGGTAAAATTTGTTACTGAACAACCCTCTAAAGGGACTTTTATAATTTCGTTTTGGTTAGAAGGCAACGTTGATGGACTAGATGAAATAATCGATTCAGTGTCACTACAACTTGAAAATTTCAAATTTTAATTTATTTCATTACTGAAATATGATGTAAGTACGTTAATTACGGTGTCAATTATTGTATTATAGTCATCTATTTCTTGAGTTTCTTCACTATAAGTTTCTTTTTGTAATAACCCAAAAATACAAATGTAAAAATAAAAGATTTATAAAGGGGGAGGAAGAATATTGTATTGTGAGTTGATTACCTTCCTCCTTGTTCTAGGGAGGGCTCTCGGGTTTACAAAGTTTTGAGAGCCAAATATAATAGCACTCACTAGTTTCGTAGTAGGAATTTAGATGCAGCTCGTTGGCACTTACAGCTATTATTTTATCATTAAAAATACTGTACTTCAGTATCATAAAACATGTCGGATAAGATATAATATAGAGTTAGTAATTTTTTTTTCAATCGGTAGATTTTTGCTAACAATATTTTACATATTGGGACTTTGGAAAAATACTGAGTTATTATTACCTATATAATTACTTTTTTTTCTAAATAAATCGTTATAAACTTGGTAATTATTTTAAAGTTTCAACTAGGATCTTAGTAATCCCGCAAATAACAATGATAACAGTGAACATTAATTAATATTATCCGTTATCCTACAAATTTAGTATTGGTATTAACCATTTTTTCATGATACATACCGATGGTAGATCACTTGCACATAAGTATTAGATTTAGAATTAGTCGAAATATGAACATGGAACACTGGTAGGTAAATAAAACACATGATTAGACAGTAAAGATAATTATATTTCAAAATACTACAAATGACTATATAAAATGTTAAAAACAATACCTTCGATAAGTCACCAACTACTAAATAGGTATATTTTAATTCCTAACTACAATGGTTTACTATAATTAAACGCCTAAGTCACGTGGTCTAAAATCCTCAATAGCTTTATAGTAATTATTCGATTATTTGTTTTCATTATTATCATAATATAATAGTTACATAAATAAAAAGCAAACATTTTCGGTTACTACGTGTAAAATCCGCTGACCATTTTAAAATTCCTTTTACATAATTGTAGCATATCGTTCAAAATTGATTCATTACTCTAGAATAAACAAATTCGTGAGACATCTAAAAGATAAAGATTATAATATTACAATTTTATATTTTCTAGATAAAAAAAAAAAAAAAGTGTATTTAAATATGTTATATTTTAATAATATAAAATTGTAAATGTTATGAATATAACCAAACGCTACAAAATTGTTCACAGTTAAAACTTCTTCGGAAGTTCACATTGTAAAAACTTACAATGTTTAAAACCTGAACTAAATAATGAATGTGCTTACAATAAAATTATGTAAATAATACTTGATTCTAGTCGGAAAATTTTAAAATGTGTACAAGTACTTATCTATAATAATGTGGTTGTATTGTGGGATACATTGTAGCATCAGTGGTCACGATTCGTCCATTATTTAATTTTTTTTTTATTATTTAATATATTTTATTGAACATTTTATTAAAAGCGAGCCATGCGCGTTTTGAAACACATCATAATAGGTATAATAGGTTTGTGGAATAAGTCATCGAATTTATAAAAATCATAGTTAATGCTCACGATTGAATGGTAAAGAATAATTGCATACATAATTATTTCATTAGTGATTTTGCCTATATTTTAAGTGTAGAGCTCTGAAAAATTTAAATATATTAATAGAATATTTATTAGGAAAGAAATATATTTAAAATAATTATTTTTATATTATTTAGAACAGTTATATGGATAGTAATAATAATAATAATGTTACCATTTTATGTATGTTAGACAAATATTAGTTAATCAAGCTATTAAATGAAAATTTTTCCAATGTTTTATAATGTTTGTAATATTTTTGAAAAAAACATGGGCCATTTGTGTTATTATTGATACTAATAAAACAATAATATTTTATATTATATAATTTATCGATACTTGTGGAGAACTAAAATATTGTTGATGTTATGGAAACACAAGTATGCTATCGTATTTTGATATGATTGAAATCAAACTAAACGAAAAAACTTTTGTACCTACATTTATTTTTTATTTTTGAAATCGAAGCCATATTAATTTATGTATAATAATTTAAAGGAAAATCACTAGAAAAGCGTACTTAAACCGATGCATTTGAAATTATTTTACGATACAATAATATTCTTTACCGCACACGATGATGTTTTGTTTCAGCAATTGAATTGTCCAACACATTTCGTTACTAGTTTATATGGATAATATTGGATACAATTTTAATACTCATTTAAATATCTAAGGTATGGGATTGGAAATAAAATCGAAAAAAAAAGAATAAACACGAATGAAACAACATTGGAGTGGTTAAGACGTTAGAGCTGCAGTTGTGAAATCAAACGGGAATAAAAAATCGTTGTACGATCGGCGTACGCTATCGTGTTGAGTTTGTCACGTTGTGGGTGTGAATCGATAATGCATTAAGACGGTCTTAAAGGTGGGCTCGCATTAACATTGTTAATTGCAGACGTTTCAGCTACAGACGGATTGCGTTTAAAATGCGAGTGGCATGTGCCGTCGGAGTGTACTTGCCTACTAAATGCGTACGATGAACGTATAAAAGGATTTTCAAGCGAAACGGTTAGGTATTAACGGTTGTTATAGATATCGAGAGAAAACGTTTACGTTGAAGGCGCTGTAGGTGCGGACGAACGGGTGAGACGGTCGGGACGGATGGATTTGGAGATGTGGTGCGAGAAGGTTTTTGATGGCTTTGATAAACTATAGATATTTTATCTCACGGTATGAACGGGTGGATGGTGACGGGGAAAACGACGCGACCACGACAGTAGAGGGACGAAACGGAAACGGTGAAGACGACAGCGAACCGCGATTATTGGGGTCGGCCGATTCACCCCAGAAGTCTGTACAAGATGTACGGGTACGAGTGGTGATGCTGTTTGGGGCGAATGATGTGACGGCTGCGGTTCGGGTGGTCGGTGTACGCGTCGTAGCCGTTGGCCTTCCGGTGATTGGCGGTGCTCGAGGACGTGGATGACTGCGGTGCGGCGATCGATGGTGACGGAGACGGCGGGTACGGATTGACGATGGCGGTTGTGGTGTCCGCGGCCACGGTAGGTGGCGACGACGATGGTGTCGGGTCCCAGTTGTTATCGTCGTACGTGCCAGAAGCGCCGGTGGCCGTGGCCGAAGTGTCGTTGCTGGGCGCGGCCGGTTCCGCGGATGTGGAAGTCGAACCGACCGTGGTTGCACGAGCCGTCGTGGATGTCTTGACCGAACCGGTTGACGGGGTGTTGGTGATGATTACGGATCGGGTCATGGGAGTGCTGGTGGCTGTCTCAAATGGCTTTCGGGCGGCGTTCGTGTAGTTGACAGGCTTGTACGGGAAATCGTCAAAGTCGCTGCTGCGGCTGCTGTCGGTGGCCATCGGTGGCAGTTCGGTCTTCTTGTACACGCGTATTACCTGCGGCACCTGAGTCGTCGCCTTGGCGGCCATCGTGTAAGGGATCTTGACGGTGGACGTGACCGGTCGCCGAGTCACCGCGGCTACCGTTGACGTGGTGGTCGGATTTCTCGCGGTAGTACTGAGTATCGCTTTCTCGGTGGTCAAGTTAGGTCTTGTGGTGACCGGACTCCTGGCCGTGGTGCTCGAATGATGGTGGTGATGATGATGGTGGCCGCCACTGCTGACAGTCGTAGTGGTGGCGCTGGTGTTGACTGTGACCGTGGCGATAGGACTGTTCAGCGCGATCGTCGCTGACGGTTGGTCCGTCGAGGTCGACATCCTGATGACCGTGGATGACGAGGTGGTCGGAGGGCTTACGGTAGTCGCGTGGACGGTGGTGAGTTTTCCGGTGTTCGTTATGGTCGCGCTAGTAGAAGCAGCCGTCTTCACGTTGTTGGCCACAGTCTGCGGCACTACTCGGTTTGCGGTTGTCGCCGAATCGATGGCGTCCACGTCTAATTCCGTTTGCTTGGACTCAGTTCTAGTGGCTGTACTGATGGTCGTTGAGTCGGTGGTGGTTCTACCAGTAGTGGTGCTTGCGGTAGTGACGCTTCCAATAGTGGTATAGCCGGTGGTATTGCTGGAAATACTGGTGATGGTAGTTCTGGGGATGCTGGTAGTGATGGTGCTGGGGACGTTGGTGGTGGTGCTCGGTTTGTTAGTAGTGGTACTGGGGAGATTTCTGGTGGTACTGGGGATAACGGTGGTAGTGGTGGTGCTGGGGATACCAGTGGTGGTGGTGCTAGGGATACCGGTGGTGGTGGTGCTTGGAACACTGGTGGTGGTAGTGGTTGTGGTTGTGGTGGTGGTGGTGGTGGTGACGGCTGGAGCGTGGTGAGTGGTCGTGCTGGCAGTGATTTCAGCCGTGCCACCGATGAATGCGGAGTCGATGCCGTTGGTGTCGAAAAGGCCGCGGCCGGAAACTTTTATCGGCTCCTGAGCTATGGACATCTCTTGCGGCAAGTTGACCAGGCCGTCGATACCGCGTCCCATCACTTTCGATATCGACTGGATCGTTTCGTCGTTATACTGAGCGATTGTGGCCATCTCTATAGCGTAATCTTCGACGTCTGAAATCAAATGATTACTATTAATGTTATGCCTATTTGGTCACCTCACACAAATAAAAAATACGATTTAAATATTTAAGGCATCTAGTGGTAGCACCAAGGATGGACTGTACCCCACCCTTAAATTTCCCCGAAATTTGATTGGTCCTTTTTATTGATTATATAGAATTCTGTTTTGTATCTTTTGCATCATATTTTTAAATACATATGTGAATATTTGTGAATAAATTATTTGTTTTAAATTTCATAAAACAGAAATCGTTATTGAAATGAAAACAACAGCCCAAACGAAAATAATGAATGAATAATTCAAAACTGAATTTAAATAAAGTAGTGCAGGAATCAATATACTAATTAATTGGCCTTCAATTGTAAAACAAAATGTAGTTATGTTTAATATATTTGTATATAATATATTTTAATATATTGTAAATAATATATCGATTACGTATATTTATTTATTTTTATTTACTGATAATAAGCAACTTACAAACACGTATTATTTTTACAAAGTATTACCATCATGGAATTTCAAAAATTTGAGTTTTAAGTACCAATACCTTTTAGAACGTTTGGAAAATTACTAATTATTACAAATTTACTTTTCTTAACAAAATATTTTTTTTCTAGCATATTTTAACCGTATTTTGAACAATCCATTTTTTTTAAAGTACATAAGGTAGGATAACTACGTTTGAAATTAATCTTTCATTAATTTCGGAGGGGGTTTGAACCCCCAAAACCCTTCCCTACGTCCGGCTCTGCCTGTCGTTAATAGATACATTATTTTTGTTCTTAATCATATCCCGTAGAACCGTAGGTATCATTTATTTAAACGATTCTAAACATTTTTCCAATCATCGGTTCTTTTTGAGAATACTATAAGAAGTATGTGCATATTAATTTCATATTCTGTCAAGACATTTCATAAAAAAATAGAGTGAAAAAAATTAGTCTTAAAATTCGTAGATCTATGAGCAATATTTATGAACTATTCGGGTTATTTGTAACATGTTAGGTTACACGAGTGATAACTATAAAGTACTTTGTTAGTTATAAAATAGGCAAAACACAAATTAAGAGTTTCCTTCTCACTTGTGAATGCATAACTATATTAACTATAACTAAAACTGAACAGCCAAAACTAATTATCACATATTCTGTGTCTCTGGAAATTGACAATGGTAGGTATTATGCGTTTTGTATAGAACATTTTATTTTTAAATTATCTTTACTAAGTTTGATTTTCATTTCGATTAAATCACAACACACTTGACTACGGTATATTTTTAAAATATTTACTTGCTGTCCTTCAATTAGCGTCGATTTGGAACAGATCTATACTATACTTATGTGCATATTTAAAAGCTTTCAGATGACTTATACATTTACCATATTTGTACAACAGCACATTATAATGGAAAAATTAAACATTCAATTATTGGCATACTTGAAAGTAAACAAAATTTATGAATTATAGTTGTATATTTGAATAATAAGTAAATAAATATCATAATAGTATAATTTATTAGAGTTACTAAAGTTATTAATTATAAACATTTTATCATTTTGACGAGTAAATTAGTCAAATTTAATCGATTTTTACGTAATTGTATATTTGTCTATAATTTGCTATTGACACATTTTTAAGTCCATGCAATTGAGCACATATTTTATCCATTTCGATGAATGAAAGCTGTTATTTTACATTATATGAAATACTTTTAGTATACACAATAATATGGGTCATTTTTATATGCATGTACATAAACATAATTATTTGTTTTATTCGAACAGTCATTTAATAAAACTGACCAAAAGTATTGTTCTTAAAATATTATTTCATAAATTGCAGAAAATAAACTAAACTTAATTTAAAGTCAGCTAAAAGTTGAGCAATAAAATTCTTTATTGCAATTTACAACTTTATGTGACCTCACTTATGAATAGTTCATAAATCATGCAACAAGTAGGATGTATATTATTACTGTACTTGACCCATTGGAATCTGGATTAGTTTTATATTGTATTAACTAAGTGCTACTATAATGTAAGTTAAAAAGATTCCTGCACATAAAATAAATTAAAAATATTTTACAAAATGTAAAATGAGAATTTACGATTTACGAAATAGATAAATAATTGTATCTCGAAAACTAAGTTATTAAGATAACATTATACTACTTAAAAAAGTATGTACTTAAGTGATTAATAATGTATTATTAATTGTAACCTTATCATAGAATGTTCTAAAAAATATTTTGTTAGTTTAAATATCGACATTTTTTGTATTATAACAAAGTAGTACATTACCTGATTCAGAGCTGGAGGTTGTTGTTCTTAATTTGACGTCTGTTAGAATTGGCTTAATTGGTTTGATTATTGTCTTCAATAATTTATTTGAATTTGGACAACTTAACTGTTCAATTATTTCAGATTGATTCTAAAAAAAATCAACATTTAGGTATACGCCTTGTATATATAATGTTCAAAAATTTAAAGAATTTATATAACCTAAAATGGTCTTAATAAACTATAGTCTATAACAGGGGTGGCCAACCCAAATGATATTGCGGGCCACTTTGGAAATACATTACGAACTCGAGGGCTACATAAAATTGTATTTTTGTTTTGCTCCAAAACAAGAAAAAATTGGAGTAAAAATTTTAAATATCATAGGATTAATTATTATTATAAAATAAGTTTTGGTGTATTAATTATTTGAAATAACAGAATGAATTATTATTGTTTTTATAACCGTATTTTGAATCTAATTCTTTTAAGAACTCTTTAAATTGGGCATGACCAAAAACGTACCCTTTCCTTTTCAGCCAATTCACTTTTCGACCAAAACAAAAATTTATATAACAAATTTAAAACAATGATGAACATTGTTGTTAATAATTATTAAAATATTAATATAAAAGAGAACGATATTTTGTATTTAGTTTTGATCTCTTATCGTAATGAAAATTGTTTCATTTTTTTTTTCGAAAATTCAAAAATTCGAAAATCGGAATTTTAATTTAAAAAATTTTAGGACTTCGCTTGTTACGCCTGACGGTTCCACTCACAAACTCGAGTGCCACTGTGTTACACTATTTGGGGGGGGGGGTTGGGCTTAGCCCCAAGGGGAATTATAGTTTAATGCTAACCTAGGTTTTTTACAAATCTTGATACTGTTGCAAATGGGATTATGTTCTGTATGTGAACCTAAAACCTCGCTGCGCGAGTAAAACCCTGAATCGTCAATTATTTATTATAATAGTTTTCATCATAATCAAACATTGTATATCATTATTTTATTATTCTTAATGTATTATATACATTTTTGTTTTGGTCGAAAGTGAATCGGCCTATTTTAAATTTGGTCGAAAAGGGAAGGGTATGGTTTTGGCGAAAACGGACTCGCCCTTTAAACTGTCGATGCAGAAGATCGAATGTAATTCACTGTTTTTATGACTAATAGAATAATATGGTTCATCGATAATACTTGGGAACAAAGATTTTGTTGATGAATTAAACAATTTGTTGCGATTATGTTGTTAATAATACGGCTTGCGCGTTGTGCGGGCATTCCAGAATATTTTATTAGAACAAAAATAGTTTTTTTTTTGTAAACGTTTGATAACCTCGCGGCCCGCAAACATTACAAAGTGGGTTACATGCGGCTCGCGGCCGCGGGTTGGCCATCCCTGGTCTATTACATAATAAATTCAATAATTCTAATGGTATTACAGTTAAAACTTTTAAGTATAAATTTGTTTTTGTTATTTAATTTAAGCTATTATAAATTGAAATGTTTAGTTAAATGTGAAATTCAGGGTCACGGTCGCGTGGATAAAACTAATCAAACCATAGGCCGTTCATGGTATTGACGATCGCACTTTGCAACTGCATTTGCAATTGTATTAAATATATTATATTATTGTAAATTATTTTTTATAAATGCATATATATATATATATATTAGTTATATATTTTTTAAATAATGCTTTCACTTAACAGTGAAAAAAAAAAAATGAATATCCTATTATTTTCTAATAAGAAATAACCATAAGATTTTAATGCATTAATGTAATATACCTAACCTAGTCGTACCATAAGTTCTGTCCCTCTTTATCAGTTATTCTATAAATATTTTACAATAACACTAATGACTTTCTTTACGAATATAATTTTCATTAAGTGTCATATTTACTATTTCTGGTTAGTACAATAGTTCACGTCATGAATTAAACATGGAATGAGGTATTAAAGAAAATCGTATTGCTATCATTGCGTTATTTAAGTGTAATAAAACACCAACAGAGATTTTTAACTTATTAAAACTGTTAAAAATAACGAAAAAATTTGTTTACCGGACCATTAAACGGTTTAACGAGTTGAACACTATAGATGACAAGCCGAGAAGTGGACGTCCACGCGAAGCAAGAACGAATGCAGCAATCAAAGCTGTTGTATAGAGAATTCGCAAAAATCCGCTCCGCAAACAAAAAATCATGGCTAGAGAAATGAAAATTCCACCAAGAACCATGTCACGCATAATTAAAGAAGACCTTGGCCTTGGTGCTTATCAAAGATGTACCGGTCAGTGGTTGACGCTTTACATAAAATTAGAGCGACACGAGCGAAGAAGTTACTTCAGCAGTACGCGAAAAATGCTCACATACAGATACTGTTTACAGATGAAAACATTTTTACCGTAGAAGAAAAATTTAACCGTCAAAATGATAGAGCTTATGCTCACAACTTTCGGGAAGCTACTGAAAAAATTCAAAGAGTAGAAGGAGGACATCATCCAGCCTCAGTTATAGTTTGGTGAGGAGTATCATATGAGGGCGTTACTCAACTGCATTTCTGTGAGCAGGGAATCAAAACACGTGCTGTTAACTACCAAAGTGATATTTTAAAAAAGGTAGTAAAGCCTTTAAATGATACATTGTTTGCAGGAAAAAACTGGACCTTTCATCAGGATTCAACGCTTGTACATCAAGCAAAAATGACAACGCTGATTGGAGGTCAATTCACCAGAATTTATCGCCACTCAAGATTGGCCCTCAGGAAGTCTAGATCTCAATCCTTTGGATTACAGACTGTTTAGTATTTTAGTGGAGAAGGCCTGCTCTAAGCCTCATAGAAATATCGAGTCCTTCAAAGCCGATCTGGTGAAATCAGCTACCTCAATACCGATGGAAGTGGTGCGTGCTATCATAGACAAGTGGCCAGATCGTTTGAAGAAGTGTATAAATGCAAATGGTGGACATTTTGAATAGTATTAAGGTTTTTTTTTAGTTACTTAGTTAATAAAGAATAAATAAAATCAGATTTTTATATTTGTTTTATTTTATTTATTAAATATACACATTTATATAAGAGAAAAAACTTATGGCTAGAATAGGTACATTAATTTTAGGGGCATTTATATCTTTGCAAGGTAGAGGCATATTTTATTAGCCATTACCCTGCGAAAAAAGTTTGTGCACGTCTATGATTTAAATTAATTTATAGAATTATCAAATTATTTACTGGATGTCATATTACACTAGGCATGTGTTAACTACAAAGCTCCACTTTCAAAGATATAATTAGGTAAATATATGATATATATCATTGAATTGTTTTAAACAGTAAATTAATTAACTCGATTATAACTATAACAATGGATGTGTAATACAATGTATATTATACATATATAACATAAATACTAAAATGCACACGCTCGAATTTGTATATATATATATATATTGTATGTTTATGAATGGGTTGATTATTTTGTACCACATGAATAATTCGATATTGTTTAAATATGTAGTATGAAAATCCTAAAATTAACCTAACCTAACCCAGTTTAGTTTAACAATAATAAATCACAATTATATCGATATCAAATACATTGTCCATAATGTTGAAATGAAGCTTTCATTATAACTTGTGAATATATATTACTTTTTTTGTTGCTATTTTCTTTTTTAAATCAGCAATAGATCCGCCACTTGGAAACACCAGGAAATATTACTTCAAGTGACGAGTCACCATCGTTTTTCAAAAAAGGTACAACGAACTACTTACCTTTATAAAAACTACTCTAAAAATGTATTATTGTATTTAAAGTGTTTGTGGAAAAATTCGACGTAAATTTGCTGTTAGAAATTATCGTAAACAGTATTTAATGAACAGTGACAAATAAATAATAATAATAATTTAAATAACAAATAAATCGAAAATAATATAATGTGTTTAGATTGAGATTTTAGAAAAAACGGCCAGAGAAAAGAATTTGTCGAACTAGTAATAAATATTTAAATAATTGTATCGTTTTAACATATACTCGTAATTCTTATGCATAGAAACTTTTTCGCGCCCGTTTTGATTTTAAAACAAACGGCTGTGTGTATTTTTTTTACATTATTCAAATTAAATATTACAACAACAAACCATATTTCCTCTGCAAGTCACATTTTTGGAAACTCCCGGACTGCATTCTTTGGTGAGTTGAATGGCAGGACTCTCCGGCAAAAATGTCACAGTCATACCTTCCATCATACTTGTCATGCAACCATTGCTCTTGGATGCCCAATATGGTACTATAAAATAATGTAACACGCATTAATACACGTTTCGATTTGAACAAAGCCAATACAAACATATACTTCCGAGATAGTAAGACTAGAAAGTAAATTTGTTGTCGATTGCTCGAACGAATTGGTAAATAAACTATTCGCAAATTATATAAAGGTACGTAGGTACCAGGTACTAAGTTTCAAAATCTAATTCGAACTACGAACATTAATTTTCATATCTATTTAGGTACGTATTATATTATTATATATTATTATACCAGGAAGTTCGCAGACAAACGACGCTACTTCTGGGCCGCCGCAGTGTAAACTGTGCCATTTGAAATTGACTGTCGGGTCGGTGACTACGCAAACCGGGTCCAACGAACGTGGAACCTCTTCTCTAAAGTATCCGCTCCTTGCTAGTGGCTGGTAATTGCTGTAAACGCAGATAGATATTTCTGATACAAGCAATCACTAATGTACCTAAACATGGCTACTAATTATTATAGTAATTCGGTCGGTTAAGTGGATTAATGAAAATGTATAGAAAACGTTTTATACGTTGATTTTATTTTTGAAAAAATATGATTTGTTTTACTTGGACACATGATTGGTACAGAAAGAGTAGAATGGAGTAGTTGTAGTTTTAAAAATATTCAGTTGTTTTCAATGAAATTGAAATAGTTATGCAAAATGTTCGTCATATATTAAAAATAATAAGACGAAATGTGTAAATATTATTGTTGAAATGATAAAAAATGATATTATATACCTATAATTACATTTTTTGTTCCAGTTAAGTATTTTATATGACATTATAATGTAAATTAATAAAAATATTAAATAGATAGATTTGTCGGTTATACAAAAGATTATAACTCAAGTATTATAATAGAGTAAAAAATAATATTAATTCCGTATTTCAACCGCTATATAAGCTAATATTAACGCTTTTCATTTTTCCGTGGCGTTGCATTTACTCGTATTGTAACGTAATTATTGCCTCAAGCCATAATTGTATTGCAAATGTTTTATTTTATGTTTCTCTTTTAACAATTTTATCTTTTTGTAACGATAACTTTATGTTTTATCTTTTTCAAGATTATTCTATTGTGAAAATCGTAATACATTTTAAAATGCCTCTTTAAAAAAGCTACCAAAATAATCTTATTCGTTATATATACTATGATAATATGTTCCATTAATTAGGATATTACTAAGATTAAAATTTTAAATTCTTTAATATAGCAAATAACTTTCCCACATACTTTAGATAAAATAGATAAATGTATTACTTACGTCCATGTAAATTCACTAGCCTCACTGTTACGCTTCAGACCAATCCAAACATTTTCGGTAACGTCCAATTCCTTCAGATAACTACGAATTGCTTCAAACTGACTATTGGATTCGACTATAACAGAATTTTAAATTATAAATTAAATATTTTTAGTTTTATGCAAATTATGGTATACTAATATACTGTTTAGTTATAATCAGTATTCATTTTAAGTTTGAATAACTGAAGTTTATTTTTAACTCGTTAATACTATATTTGTATTTTATACTTTTTTTTTCAAAATAAGCTTTTCTGTATTTTGAAAATTAAAATAATAACGTAATGTTGCTGAAATTTTTTCTAACTGCATTAAAAGTACCTAGTAAACCTTAAATATTAAGTTTTTATGAAAGTTTAAAATTTCATTATATGGCGATCTTATATTATTCTTTTTATATTCATCATTTTTAGATTGAGGTGGATATTTAAAATTTCACTATGAGCAATAGGGTGGCTCACATTAACATAAGCTAGAATTTTTTTTTTTTGAGACATTTAAAATGAGTAACATTCAATTTTTTAAGTAATAACATAATATATTATATTAATTCTGTGAAAATTTGATTTCAATAAATCAAACCCTTCACGTTCCGCAATAAGGTTCAATTATGGCCCAAAGGGATTATTTTTTAGTTTTATTCAGTTATTTCTATAAGTCAGACGTTTACAAAAAAAATTCAAGAATATAAATTTATTCATATGTTTATTCATTGAGCAACGTTAGTGACTCGAATCATAATAAATTCTTTATTAAAATATAAGAAATATTTTGTTGATGTTAAAAATTGTTTTCATCTATACTCATATATTTTCATAACAATTAAAATACTATAGTACAATATATTTTTTAGAGAATCAATAAATATATTAAAATGTTTGTTTATATTGATTTTTTATTTAAAATGAATTATTTTTTAATAGATACGACATTTCATTAACAATTTTTTTTACAGTCAGAAATACAGTTATTTATTAATATTATTAATAATAATGTTACTTAATGAATAACCAATTTATAATATTATCCCATGGTGATTGAATGTCCAATATCCTTTTACCCCAAAACAGATGCTCATGGTAAACTTATAAGACTGTATAATTATATTACATATGATTTAATATAATTTATAATTCAGATATTAAGTCTTCACTTAGTATTTTGGTAAAATCTCTTAGCTAACGAACTCTTCCTTTAGTACTTCAAAATAACAAGTCGTTTTGGTACACAATTTATATTAGAAAACCAATATTCCGCATATATATATATTATATTTCGAACTATATACTGATTTTATAATTAATTATTTTTTCAAGTATATAATACAGTTATACACAAGGATCGAAGTATGTCTCACTCAGTAGTATATTTTATGCAAGAAGTAAAAAGGTAAAGGTCAAAGGTATACTAAACTCTACGAATCCTGCTTGTGTTTTTCATGTAATAAAAATATTATATAAGTAATATAATGTACTTTCCTTCTTTCAACTCTGAATCAATAATACTTATTTATATCAAAACAAAACTCACTAAATATATTTAAATAACGCGATTATTTTTTCGTAAACCAATTTAAATTATATACGTATAACAATAAATTATAATATTCAAATGTTATTACATTTTAGTTCATAGTGATAAAACGGTTGTACCGGAAAAAATATTGTATCTCTTAGCTTATAAATATTTAAATTTATTATACTCAGTGGTTCGGAAAAAATTATTTATTTTTGTAAAGTAAAATTGTTTGTTCAGAAATCAAAAGAATTTGCATACTACAAAATTGTTTCCACTTCATTATTTTTTCAAAAATATGACTTTTCATTTCCTATACAGTTAAATTAAAAAGTAATTTTTCATAAATAAAATAACTTAATGTTTGCATGTATTCGAAAATTTATTTATTTTAAGCCAAGAATTCATACATAAATATTGGTTTTTTGAATTAGCATTTTTATCATAAGTACATTTTTTATCTACTAACTGTTAAATTCCAGTCACCATATTAATAATATATATATTGTATTTATATGTAATAATATCAAAGTGATAATATTCTTATTTTATTTTTATTATTATTATTCAATTTTATATTATTCTGTTAAAATTTGTGGAATGAAATACAACAAATAAATATAAAGTAAGAACATGAAGAATCAAAAAAATAAGTAAATAAATAATGAAACTTATGATTATTATAATTATGAAAACAGTATTTTGAACACAAATTCTATTGTGTGTCAATAATTACTAGATAACAATATAAGCTAATGAATAATAAGGGCTTTAATTAATTTTATAGTATTAAATTATTTTTTACAAATAATGATTTTTAGTAAATACATTTTAGTTTTATTGCAGAAATGAGTTAAACGAAAAAAAAATGTATATTTAATGTTACAAAAAAAAAAAAAAAATCCAAACTTTTAATAGTCCATTAGAGTTCAAAAACGATGTAGGTATATATATTATGTTTTGTAATTTAACAACTAAAAAGTTATCATAAATCTTCAATACTTTAGTTTTACGTTGCCGTATATAATAAACAGTATCCAATTTATTTTTATTAAATCATAATAAGTACTGGGTTATAATGAATACATTTGACTTTTTTTATTACAATAGGTACACGGACTTTTTTTTTTTGTATTAAAATAAAAAATAAATATTACGCTTTTCTGAACTATATATTAATCTAAAATTTGACCTACAATTTGTTCGCTTTACGTTTACGTTTATAATATAATTCATCAAATTATTATTAAAAAATTAACCACCTCTCCAACACACGATAATCACTAATTGTTGTGTTTGTTTCGTCAATTCCACCGATTTGGTTTTCGAATATAAGAATAATAATTCCATTTAATTGTATTGCTTATAATATACTATAGTTAGTATTTATTATACATGTATTTTCTGTACATAAAATGCGTTCACTTAAGATTTAGGTTCAAACGTTTGAAATTATGATAGCTCTAAATGTATAATTTCAATAAAAATTATTATGTAAACGCGTTGAAATAGACCATAGCTAAATTAGTAGCTTTTTATATTTATTATAAATTCTATAAACAGTAGGTACCCATACTAACATCAGTTATTTCTTCAGTACCAATAATTAATACATGGAAAAAACTGCAAAGTTTTAAAAACAAAATTTAGACTTAGCCTAATTTAATGTTGAAAAATATTTAACAAAATGCATTTTAATTACCTAAATGTTATGTCATATAATATTTAATAAAAAATTGAACTCATTGTTGTTAGAATATAATTATCGATATAATTGTTATTATTACGTGTGATTTATGTGCTTCCGATTCTAAGAAAACTAATATTTTGAACCCATATATTTGTCTATTTAATTACAAGTCGATTAAAAAAATTAACAGGTCTCCTTGAAACTTAACTTAATCTCACTTTCGCACATTATTTATGGCGTTTTCGCCATAAGTATTCGTATTCGAATACGTATTCGTAATATATATTCGTCATAATTCAACCAAAGTATATGTGTTAACATTTAAGAACGAACGAAATGGTTCAGCTAAATTATATTGCACATATGATTCGCTCACACTCGCATAGACGTTTGCTAAAGCCATTTTCATTTTCGGTGGTCCAAATTAATGGATGTGTTTTGGAAAGTCTTATAGATTATATTTTTCTTACAGACCTTCATGTCCAAGATTTCAATTATACAAGACGCGTACACCAAATGTATTGCATGAAACTTAACTCTAATTTGATTTTCGGTCAGCTTCAGTCATTCCGTTGCAACGACTGCCGTATAAACACGAGGTTTAATACCTATATATAAGTAGCTGATTTTATTCTTCACACGATGTTCTCATTTTTCCCAATAAATCTCCGTCAGTGATACTAGAGAGAGAGAGAGAGAGAGAGAGAGAGAAAGATAGGGGAAGGGAGTGAAGAAGGAAATAAGAGACGGATCTAATTTTCCATACGTTTTTCACTTTTTGTGCCGGTGCTGCGGATTTCACGTGTAAATATCGAAACAGCTTGGCAAGATTTTGTGTATTATACCCCTTTGTCCGCAGCCGTACAATGCGATCAATCAGACGAGACGGACGGTGGCTGTAGTTGTCAAACCCGGCCGCCGACGCACAATGTTGCAGTAAAAAGGAGCCGGAGAAGATTTTCCAATGGATACCTACGCACTGCATCAATTACCGACTGAAGCAGACGAGAAAAATAAGTAATAATTATATGTATTCCCTTTCGGTGCTACGTGGGATGAAGCTTGAGTTTTTTTTCTCCAGAAAACGCCTCTATGTTTGAGTGTATGTATAGTAATGATAAACTACTACAAATTAGGTAATCTCCTACATATACATTATGTCTATTAGATTAACACTAGGTAAAAATTAAATGTTAAATCTCACATTAGTCTTATACAGTTTAAAATAAATTAAAATTAATAGAAATAATGAAATTAAATATATATATGATATATAAAATATCTATAAATTAATCTTATAATATGAATTCAATGTACGAAATATATATATCAATTCTTATAATTTAACTCCTACATTCACGGAACCCTTAAAAAATAGTTTGTGTTTCGCGGAACCCTAATGTTTTTAATTTCAATTCAACTCTAATTTTTTTAAAAAACAAAAAATATAGGAAAACCAATACTCTAAAAATATTTTTAATGATACTGTTAATATTGTCAATGATTACTCTTTATTAAAATTAGTATAAAACACAATTTTTTTTTAAATAATATGAAATAATACTTTTTCCAAATATAATATAAAATAAATTTCTCAATATTCACATACATCTGGCGGAACCCTTAGCATTGTCCCACGGAACCTTAAGGTTCCGTGGAACACACTTTGGGAAACGCTGCCATGTATCATGAAATAAAGAAAGTAATTTTAATAATATTTTAAATTTCCAAACAGGTTTTAAAAATAATATTCTTATATGAATATATTTTAGATAATAATAAATACTTAATAATTAACGATTTTAATTTTTTTACATATATACGTCTAATTAGAATGCAATTTAAAAAATATCCCCTAATGAAAATAAATGA